AGAAGTAGCCTCGCCTATGAGCCACCCCATCTGATTGGCTCTCGACCAGTTGGCGCCAATCCGGCCTGCTTAGGGAGCTTGGCCTGTCTACCCGTCCACCAGAGTTACTACTAACGTTTACTTGCTGTTCAGCACCACTGTAGGGGTCAGGACAGGTCTGGTCAGGATAGACAGACAGCCCGACATTTTCGAGGCGACGAACTTCCAACCCCCAATCCCACCGCATCCCATCCCATCGCATCGCATCTGCCATGCACTAGCTGCAAAGGGGGCCCTTATTCTTCGCTGTCAATCCTTGACTGTTTTTTTTGCTCTTCTCTGTACGATTTAGTTAATAGAGACCGGCCCGATCTGCGACGACAGCATCACCGCTACCATCCCGACCTTCGACCATCCCCGAGTTGCTCACTTGATCGGCAACGGCCACCCGCGACCAGCTTTTCTCAACGCCGCGTCCGCTCCGATCCCGCCCATCAGAGCAGCCCCAATTGCTCGCTTGTCTGCCGAGCAACGTCGACCCCCAGTCCTCCCTTGCGACGGAGTGGCATTGCCGCTAGCTCGCGCGCTTTTCTCTCCCGAGCTGCGCGCGTGTCTTGGTCTCGGGACAACCACCCAACCCAGCACCCCCGGCGAACCGCAGATGTGTATATCGGACCGGCTTGCCTCGACATTCCAACGGTGAAGGCGGTGGAGCAGGGCTGAATACCGTCACCCACTCACCAGCAACCGCCGCACAGCGCTTCAGGGCTCGAACCCGTGGGCATGAGTTGGCAACAGGTATCCGCAATGGGTGCTGGAAATGGCGCCGGTGGTGCCAACATGGGCGGCCAGGAGATGGGCGGCATGCCCATGAACGGTGGGAACCAGCCCCATGCTACCGAGTACACCCTCCAGGGCGTTATGCGCTTCCTCCAGACCGAGTGGCACCGGCACGAGCGCGACCGCAACGCGTGGGAGATTGACCGCCAGGAGATGAAGGGCCGCATAGCTGCTCTCGAAGGCTCTGCCCGGCGGGCCGATGCCACCCAGAAGGCCTTGAGGAGATATGTTGGCATCCTGGAGAAGAAGGTCAAGGAGCAGGCCATGCAGCTCAAGTCGACGTCCGAATCCCATTCGTCAGACGAACACGCCGTCAAGCAGCCGCCCAAGACCGACCGCGCCGCCCTCATAGCCGAGAAGCTGAAATGTGAGTTGACTCTTGTTTGTTTTACACGAGTGCATACTGAGACCTTGTGTAGCAACGGATGACAAGCCCAAGGAGCCCATCCCCGGCCTGGAAGGACTTCTCGGTGAACGTGTGCAGGAAGATGAGGAGCGTGAGAACCTCAAGACGTTCCTGGATCAGTGCCAGGCTGAATTCACGTATCTGATGCTTACGCCTGCGAACCCGATGCCACCTAGAGAATCGCCCCCCTTGCCCAGCATGGACGGCTTCAACGACGGTGACTACGGGGTGCCACTAGATGCCGCATTCCGAGGCTTGCACCTGAACCAAAATCAGAACCACATCAAGGATCCTGCACCACGTGCCCAGGCCAATCTGAACCACGCACCACCGGTGCAGCAGCAGCAGCAGCAGCATCATCAACAGCAACAACAACAACAACAACAACAACAACAACAACAACAACAACAACAGCAGCAGCAGCAGCAGCAGCAACAACAGCAGCAGCAGCAACTGCAACAGCAACAAGGCCAAGCCACCAACCTGGGACGACAGGCTGTGCAGGAACTCCAGGCTGCACCCATGATGCGGTCGGCCGATCCACAGAACGCAATCTACACCGACTGGCCCGCTCCTGTAGGGGTAGCGGTGACAAGCCGGGAGGAACCGCCTCCAAGGCCGCAGTTCAACAACGAGTACCCGAAGCAAAACAGCGTCGAGGAGCAACCTGAAAAGCGCGGCGCGTCAGAGACAGACGGCTGGGACTTCGGTGAAAGCTCCTTCCCAGAGACCACTTCTTCTCAACCTCTTCAAACCATGCCGTCACACCGCCCCGACACGGATGTCTTCCCCGCTGCCGACAACCTGCCAAAGTCCCCCAATCGGGGGCCCAACCCTCATCGACGGAAGACCTCACTGTCCCGCAGGCGCAGTATAGACCATGAGCTCTCGTTGAACCCCGCATCGCAGAAGGCAGACAGCGGCAACTTCAAGCTGCGCTACGGCCTTCGTGGACACCTCAACACTGTCCGGACCATAATTTTCTCGGGTGGCGGTAGCCCTGGCGAGCCCGAGATCTGCACCGCTGGTGATGACGGCTTGATCAAGCGCTTCCACATTCCCCGCGAGAACCCTAGTCACCTCAATGCCTCCGACCTGGATGTTCCTGCCGACTTTACGCATCGAGGCCATGCCGGTGCCGTTCTTTGTTTGACCTCGTGGTCCCCCTCTCCCAACTTCGCCACTGGTGGTCGTGCGCAAGGCGATGGCTGGATCTTCTCTGGTGGCCAAGACGCCTCCATCAGAGTATGGGAGCGCGGCCGCGTTGATCCCAAGGCCACGTTGGACGGCCATACCGATGCGGTCTGGGCTGTCTGCGTTTTGCCTGCCACTCTCGGCGCCGTCTTTGGCCAGACAAGCAGCTACGGTAGCCCAGATCGCATCTTGCTCGCATCTGGCGCAGCAGATGGTGCGGTCAAGATATGGTCCGTCAGCGCGCCGCCGCAGCTGACATCACCGCAACCCGGGCCTGCTGGACGGCGTGCTACAGGCAGCCGGGGCAGAGGCAACTCCATGAGCTCCGGATCACAGTTCCCCAACTCACCACAGCCAAACATGACTTCCAACACTCCATTCCACTCAACGCTGATCCACAACATTACCCGGTCGAATGGTTCCAAAGCTAGCCCTACATGTATTACACCACTTTCTGCGAACGGCGAGGCCTTTGTAGTGTCTTATTCCGATGCAGCTATTATTATATACGACACAAGAACTGGAGAAGAGATCGGTACCATGGCCAGCCTAGAAACATTTGATGGCACGTCTGCAACGAGCGTCAATGCTGTCGTTGCCACAACAGCTGCACTTGAGCAAAGCTCTGGGCCGGGCATGGGGGATGAAGATGGTAACGCAACGGCAGGCGGTGCGGGCCCTACCGGCGGAGGTACTGGCAGTGGGATCGAAGGTGTTGTCATCAGTGGCCACGAAGATCGCTATGTCCGTTTCTTCGATGCCAACAGTGGTATGTACACCAGTTGTCTCGGCACCTTCTGACGCTATGCTAACATGAAGACAGGTCAATGCACATACAACATGCTTGCTCACCCTGCCGCAATCTCGGCCTTGTCGCTTTCACCCGATGGGAGAGAACTGGTTTCCGCTGGGCATGATGCCAGCCTCCGGTTCTGGAGTCTAGAGAAGCGCAGTTGCACCCAGGAGATCACCAGCCACCGCATAATGCGCGGCGAGGGCGTCTGTGCCGTAGTCTGGAGCAGCGACGGCCGATGGGTTGTCAGCAGTGGCGGCGACGGCAGCGTCAAGGTCTTTGCTCGGTGATGAAGAAGAAGAGAGCCACGCCTTTTTTGGAAAATGATTTCAAGACCCCCGAGCAATCTCGACGCAAGATTGACGCCGCTACGAGTTCAGGAGATACGAGATGCGAGTTGGCCTGTTTTTCATGATACCTAGTCCCCTCATGGCCCCACAAGATGAGGATGACAGGCCTGTGTATAAATTCGAAAGGAGCTTACTTGCTCTGTGTGTGACACTAATGCAAATGGGGGATTTGACGCGGAACTTTCTTGCTGCCGTGGGTTGTTGTTGGCAGCCATTGTCTGCCAAGCATCGTGACTCTCTGATACGGCCTGTGAAATATTTATGCCAGTTCATCATCCCATTCCTTCGGTGTTGAGACAAACCTGTAGATTCCTGAGACTAAAGCCCCTATTTCAGTGTGTCCTACACGGTTGGACCATCAACGCAACCGCATGGGCTCCATCCTTGCCTCTTGTCTATCCTCAAACTGTGTCACGATGACTTCGTCCCTTTTTGCTGCTGTTGTAGATTATAAGCTGGCTTCCACCGGGTCACCGGTAAAGCGTTTGAGCATGTCCAGGTCAAGTATAACGTGTAGAAACCTGAGAGGACTTGTCTGCGCAAGACTGCAGTGAAATCACTGCCGCCGTACATTGCTATCGTGTCCATTGATTCATACAGCACGCTCTTTATGTACATGACACATCCATCCGCATGCCAGCGGAACCGTCCTTGACTCCACCCTCCCCGAGAACCACCTCACGAGCTGCAGCTGCACTGCATGGCCCTCTGGAACCTGGGCACCTCAGCGACCCAGCGAGCCTCCTCCTCCTTGTCACCCTTCCAGGGCTCGCCGCCCTCCTCGCCGGCGATTGTCCGCCCGTCCCACCCGTCCTCGAACGGGTGCAGCGCCATGCGCATGGCGCGGCCCAGCACCTCGCGCTCGCCGTCCTTCTCGACGCGCCGGATGATCTCGTCCAGGACCCAGCCGCGCGGCACGAAGCTCGGGTTGACGGCGCGCATGGCCGCGCGGCGCTCCTCGTCCGCTGCCTCCGCCTCGCCCCAGTCCTCGACGACCCGCGTCCGCCACTTGCCGAGCCACTCGCCCACGCGCTTGCGCGCCTCCTCGTCCTCCCGCGGCGTCGGGGCGCCGGCGTTGGTGCCGTCGTTCTTGGGGAAGAACAGCCCGGCCTTGACCTCGCGGGCCTCCTGGGTGTCGAGGTGGGCAGTGCGAAGGCCGCCGAGCCGGCGGAAGAAGAGGTTGAAGTCGAGCTCGAGCGCCTCCATGGTGTCGAGCAGCGAGCTGAACAGGTCGTCGAAGTCGGACTCGCGCGAGGTGCGCAGTCCGAGGCGCGCGCCCATCAGCCGCTTGTACTCGGCCAGGAACACGGCCTTGTACTCCTCGCCGGCCTGCAGGATGACCTTCTCGGCGCGGGCGATGATGCCGTCGGCCTCGGCCTCCTGGACGCCGTCCTCGACGAACTTGGGGTCGTCGACGCGGGCGCCGGCCCCGAGCAGCTCGCCCAGCGACTCGCCCAGCCGCACCAGGTTCCACCAGATGATGGACGGCTGGTTGCGGTAGCTGTAGCGCAGCATGTAGTCGTCGTGGTTGGGCGTGTAGGCGGGGTCAAAGTTGTCCATGAAGGCGAAGGGCCCGAAGTCGATCGACAGCCCGAACAGCGACGTGTTGTCCGTGTTGAGCACGCCGTTCATGAACCCGTACGCCTGCCACCGCGCTACCGTCAGGGCGTTGCGCCGCACGATCTCGCGGTACAGCCGCGCGAAGCGGTTCTCCGCGCTCTCGTCCGGGCCCTGCAATTCGTCCCGCGCCACGCTGCGGCCGGGCTCCGGTGAGCTCGTGGGCTTGTCCGGGTCCTCGAGCCGCGCGGGAAGCGCCTCCCAGCCCCCGAGCACGTCCTCTGCCACGTACGTCGCCAGCTTGCGGATCATGTCCCGCTCGCCGCGGGCGCGCAGGATGTCAAAGTTGCCGATGCGCAGCCAGCTCTGGGCGAAGCGGCTGACGATGGCGCCGGGCTCCATGGTCTCGCGCCGCACCTTGACCTCGGGGGTGAGGACCAGGCCGAGGGCGCGGGTGCTGGGGATGCCGAGCGCGTTCAGGTACTCGCTGACGATGAACTCGCGGATGCTGGACCGCAGCACGGCCTTGCCGTCGGCGAAGCGCGAGTACGGCGTCAGGCCGGCACCCTTCAACTGCAGCTCGTATCGGACGCCGGCCTGGTTCGTCGTCTCGAACAAGCTGATGGCTCGTCCGTCGCCCAGCTGGCCCGCCCACTGCCCGAACTGGAACCCGCCATACAGCTGCGCCCAGGGGTAGCCGGCATCTGATTTGTTTCCATCCGCACCGTCTACTTCTTTGCTACTGGCGCCGTCTTCCCAGCCCTGGATCTTGTTCCCTGCTAGCGTAGCTATGAAGTCCGGGTTCTTGGTATCAGAGGCTTCGATACCGAGGTCGCGGAGCGCGGCGGGCGAGACGGCCAGGAGCTCGGGGTTCTCGACAGTCTCGGGCCGCACCCAGGTAAAAAGGGCATCGCGGACTTGTCGCGGGCCGATCTTGTCGCGCGGCGTCTTGTGCGAATCGGCGGGTGTTGGGAAGGTCGAGTCGGGCGGCAGCTTGGAGGTGAAGTTCCAGGACTTGGGGATGTCGTTTATGGAGGCGCCGCCGCCCGGTGAGGGCGCGGACTTGGCGTGTAGGGCGGCCATCTGGACGAGGCGCGGGCGCGGTATCGAGGCTCGGCGCAGCAGTTGGCGACAGAGCATATGGAAGGAATCGTGGGTGTTGTGTATAGCAAGGGATGCTCTTGCTGTCTCGACTACGAAAGAAGCATGGGGAAGATGTTGCGATAGTCGCTATATCGGATGGCAATGCGTAGAAAATGAAAATTGGATAAAGCGCGAGAAATATCTGTCACAAAGGCACTTCTCCGTCCGTCCCGGCGACGTTGAGATCACATCATTACGTGGTTAGGAAGTATGGAGTGGCGATTCGGAAGAGGTCCCGTCGCCCTGTCAGAGCTGTCCCGGCCGAGGTTCATGCCGCAAATCTCAAACCGGACATGTACACTAAGTTGACTAAATGGCATTGGAAGGTACAATGTTGTACCTGCGATCTATTTCGCCGGCCAGTCTAGCACTTCAATCTATGCTTGTCACGACTATAGGACTATATCATTATCTTGAATCTTGCACATCTCTCGAATGTATGCTTGGCCAAGCTTGACGTTGATGGCCCAGGCTGCCCGGCCTCTTATCGCGGGATGGATAACGTCATCCCTCCTACCCCACCATGTAGTTCGACTCTCCTGTATACCATAGTACGGCCGTGTTACCCTGGACCGAGAATGGGTTCGACGACGGTACCAAGACGTTTGTACGACACGAAAACGCCGCAAAGTGTCTTTGCAATATAACCCATCTCCTGCCAATGAGCTGCCGATCCCGCCGTGAAGCTACGGGGCATATTCAGAAGTATACAAACCACTATCCGCACGTTATAGAATTAGGGAAAGACCAAAGCAATGGTGGGGAAGGAACCCTCGTAACGTGCACTGAATGATGCCATCACCCATCTACCGGCACCAGGGCCTGGCAGGGTTGCTCACTGTGCTCCATGAGGCCGCATACCGGCCCCGTAAATTCAACTATTGCCGTATAATATCCTCGGACAAGGCCTCTCCCCAGCTTGTCGAGCTGTCTGATTCAAAAAAACGAAGCAACCACTTCACTGGCATTGAACCCCGTTTTCAATAGTAGATGTCATCTCTTCTCCTTCGCCGGACTTATACTTTGACTTCCTATTCTCCGCGATCTGCATTGGCGTTCAGTGCATCTCTACGACAGCCGTCTGCGTTCTCACCATTTAGAAGCACATCGCTTCGGGCATTCTCGGCTCAGAGGGTAGCTCAGTTCAGAACCGTTCCCAGCAAAATGCATTCTGTCGCAGGGCACTTCAAACCCGACGCCTCGGGCGCAGCTCCGAAGCAGATGGAATACCTTCCGCACCTGAAGCTGAATGATGGGAACGAAATCCCCATGGTACATCTATACTATCTGACTTTCGACCTCTCATATAGGTGGAGGTTACATGGACATCCTGGGACTAACCACTATGGTGTAGCTCTCATATGGCCTAGGCACCGCCCGAGCTAAAGATAGGGATGCTACCGAGCAGGACGAAGAGGTCGTGAAGCTGACCACCATGGCTATCAAGAACGGGTACTACCACCTCGATGGAGCCGAGGGTGAGTAGATGATCAATCCAACTTTTTGGGCACCTAAGACTCGGCACTGACACCTGCTCAGTCTATAAGAACGAGGAGGAGCTCGGCGCCGCCATCAAAGCGGCCGGCGTGCCGCGCGAGAAGCTCTACGTCGTCACCAAGCTGTCGGGCACCAAGAAGCAGGACGTGCAGACGGCCTTCGAGACGTCGCTGGCCAAGCTGGGACTCGACTACGTGGACCTGTACCTGGTGCACGCGCCGTACCTGGCCCACACGCCCGAGGAGCTGCAGGCCGTGTGGGCTAAGATGGAGGCCATCAAGGACTCGGGCAAGGCCCGGTCCATCGGCGTGTCCAACTTCCTGCAGGAGCACATCGAGACGGTCCTCAAGACGGCCCGGATCCCCCCGGCCATTAACCAGATCGAGTACCACCCGTACCTGCAGCACGGCGGCCTGGTCGAGTTCCACCGCCAGAACAACATCGCCATCTCGGCCTACGGGCCCCTGACGGCCGTCACCAAGGCCAAGCCGGGACCCCTGGACGCCACGTACGCGGACCTGGCCAACAAGTATGGCGTTACGGAGGCCGATGTGGCCTTGAGATGGTGTCTGGACCAAGGGATCGTAGCCATCACCACGAGCTCCAATGAGCAGAGGCTCCAGGGCTATTTGCGAAAGCTACCCAGCTTCAAGCTCACGCCCAAGGAGGTTGAGACGATCTCTGAGCTGGGTCAGGAGAAACACTTTAGGGGATTCTGGAACAACCGGTTCAAGAACGATGATCGTCGATAACTGGACTGATTCGCATCTCCACTGCATATAAACTGTGTTTATTGACTGTCACCTAAGAAATAGGACAGGCCTAGACTAAAGTACCGAAAAACGTATATGTGACAAGCTTATAACTCATCGTCTGACTCTGTTTCATCGTCGTCCGCCGTCTTTGGTGACTCCGGCTTCCTGTTCTTAGTTTGGTACGGTAGAGTCCGCCTAGGGGGTGAAACATCGTCATCGTCTTCATCGTCTGTGGGTGGTGTTGCATCCCCCTTACCCTTTCGACTAGACTTTGGCGATGACGAAGCTCTACGCCGCGATGCCGCAGACCTTGCCGTAGGTTTCCTCTTGGTGGTCGACTTTGCAGGCGGTTCTGGCGGATCCTCGACATCTTCGTCTTCGCTCTGTGTTTCTGCCCCCTGCTCCTCGTCGGTCGTCTCCTGTGCATCCATGTCCTGGTCATCCTCGGGCTCTTCCTTGATGTCTGTAGATTGATCGACGTCCATCTTTGTGAAGCCATCATCGCTCTCGTCTGATGACTCCTGAGCAGCTTTGCGTTTTCCACCCCTTGATGCCCTGGCCTTCCTCATGGTATTTTGGCTCGCACCGACATTCTCTAGTTTATCGGGGTTTACATCTGCGGATGCCAAGAGGCGGTTCTGCTGACGGATCTTGAGCTTCTTCTCATTGAGAAGATCCCGGAATTTCTCGAGAAGCTGCCGCTCGTCATCCTCCTTGGCCTTGATAATATCCTCGAGTTGGGTCTTCAACTCGTTGACGGACTTCTCTAGCTCTTCCGCCTTGGCTGTGGCAGCAGCCAGATCGTCAAGGACCCTGGCCCGTGAACCAATGGCGGCCACGCACCAGTCGAAGAGTTGCGGCCCATTGTCAGCGCCGGTCTTGGGGTCTGTGACAATGTCAAACTCCTTCAGCTTGATGGACCCAAGCCGTTGCTAGAGCCTGGTCAGCGGCCAAGACGATCAGACGGCACGATGATAAGGACGAACCGTTATTCCTTGGATGTTCTTGCGGAAGTTCAATGTAGTTGACTCCGATTGGAGATCAGCCTTGATCTCGATATCGCGAGCATGGGCATGGTCTGGCTCGATCAAGGTTGAAATCAAGATTTGTTCCCACTCCTCATCCGTGCAGTGACCACTGGGGGCTTTCCATTCGTTCACCCTCCGGTGACGCACTGTTTTGAAACGAAACAAGGCAAGTCAGCATTCAGGGTCCGAATCCACGAGCGCTAAGATCCCGATGCATGAAATACACGTGCCGGGGTGATGGAGCCGGCCGCGTCGATCACGAGCCTAGGCCAACGGCACGTGGATATGTACGAGAAAACCTTACTTACACTTCACCTCATATGCCCCTGTGCCCTCTGTGCCCACGAGTCTGAGGTCGAGCGGATGCTGCTTGCCGTTTGGGATGACTTGTAGAAGATAGAACTCATCCTTCTTACCCGAAATTGGGAAGCGGAGGACGGGCGAGTATGCCATATTGCGGAGGCTCCTGCGAGACGGCCGTAGCAGGAAGTCTAAGCGATGAGCGTCTGCGCGGTTGCGTAGGTACCCAGATAGGCTTGTCCGATGAGACGAGCAGAGAATCGAGATTAAGGGTCGGCGTTGGTTCCGCCAGGGAAGAGTCGAGGAATCAGATGGCCCGGGATAATCAAATGAGACTACGTTTCAGCTGTCACGGATGGTATATGATGGTGTGGGGTCGTATAATAGTCCCAAGGCTGATATCATATCCAGAACTCGGGGAGCATGGATCAGCTCAGAAGCAGAGCTGCAAGGTAGCCAAGGTAAAGAGCTTGCATAAACGTGACGTGCGCCGACGCGTTGCAGCAGGTGCTGGCACAAAGTCAAAGAGAGTCAAAGAGAGTCAAAGCAATTCAGAGAGCAAAGCTCCGTCACAGAGGCGAGGTCTGAGCAATGCCGCGCGTGGAACGGCGCTCTTTAATACGTCGCGGCCGAGGGCAGTCTGTTGCGATGGCCGTCGCCAATTGGAGGTGTCTCGGGCCGTCCAGACACCCGTGTGCTCTCCTAGGCAGCGCTGCAGGCACCAGCGCCGTGCCAGCGACGGGGGAACGGGGCACGCTTAGTACTGGGCTCCAGCCGGCCTCCGCCTGTTGCCTCACCAAAGCGCAGAATATAGCAGACCATAACAAACAAATATTGGGGCGAGTGTAATTAATCAGGATGAAGACATTCCTGATTGTCTTGCATTAGAGATCAGCTGCCCGGGACAGGGTACGAAAAGGGCAATTATCGCAGACGGATGGAATGAAGTGAAACATTGGGAAGGAGGGGTGTGGTTTGTCTCTGCGCAGTCGACAGGCTGACCCGTGAGCGCGTCAGACCGCGTCAAGCTCGCGATACGGAGGCTTCCAGAGGGCTTCTCCTCGGAAGACTGCTGAGGTGTGCCGTGCCTGTGCCGTGTGCACCTCAGGGGTCCAGGGCCAGCCTGCCAGGGGGGGGCTAGGTGCTCTGTGCAGCCTGTGCGCTTCTTCCTCAGCGCCGAAACCCGCGAAGCAGCGTCCCCCGGCCACGTGATTTCACTGAGAAAATCCTGCTCCAGGGGAGGGGCCAGTGGGCCCCCGCTGTTGTTGGGCCCCGATCTAGGGCCCACAGGGTCTTTTTTGGCCCGTGCCCCCGCCAGCCCAGCAGCCCCAGCGGCACCCAGCCAGCGCTGCCAGTTTGCCAGCCTTCCGGCCACCAAAGCTCGATTTTGCAACCCCCCCAGTCCCCAGCCTCTCACCAGACCCAGGTCCACGTCTACGATCCACGAATAGCAGAGACCGGCCACACGACCACGATCGATACACCGACCTTCTCGAATCCGACGACCACACGGACTGCAGGCCAAATCCTGTTCTCGCTTGTCCACCCTCAGCGGCTGCGATTCTTCTCGTGCCTGGCATTGTGTCGCGCAAGCTTGCTGCATCATTCCTCCTCTGTTATTGACGTGCCCACCCACCGACGCCACGGCATCCCACGTCGACCCTCATCTTCACGCCATTTGCCACAGATTGCCGCAAAACACCACCAGATCACCTTCCAAGAAATCATTCGCGGCCGGAAATTGCATCTGCGACGCACCCCTACATATCACATCTGCCTCTGGACTCCCGCGGGATAGACTGGCCGCGAGAACAAGGCCTTGCATCTACGCTACTGAAACACACCACCCCGAGAAACGAAACGACAGATGAACCACGACGATGCGACGAGAGAACATGGGAAACTGCTGATGTGAATATGATTCCCGGATATTGAGCCCCAGAGCTTCGTTGAGTGCTGAGAGCCTTGCGAGGGCGAACGTGGTCGCGACGTCCACCTCTTGAAGTCTGGATCCGTCACGCCGTCGCGACCCTGTACACATATTACGATTTGGCTCCGCAGCACGACTTACGACTACCGCAACATTGTGGTTTCTGACCCGAATTCCTTCGCTTAGCACCTTCCCCCGTACCAGAGATCCGCTCTCTGGCCTTCACACACACCCACCATTATGGACACTTTACGACTTAAACCCAGGCTACCCGTCGAGGACGAGGTTGAGAACTGGGACGATGACGACTTTATGATAGATAATGAGGACCTGACCTTCCGGAGCGCTTCCACCGCCACTACGAGCAACCATCCAAATCGTAGGGACAGCCATGCTTCGTTTAGATCGGACCGAGAGTCCCTGTTTGGGGACGAGGAGAGGCAGGTTCACCTGGCTGGGGAGGACGAGAAGTCTACCATGGATGCCATAGCCGCCGCCACGACGGCTGGCATTCCTATTCCCCAGAATGTTCCGCCTTCCGCCTTGATGGGCGGCACTATCAAGCGCCTAGGCGGCCGCAAGATTAAGAAGGTCATCCAGGAAGATTGGGGTGATGACATCGAGATGCCCAAGAACGGCCAAGCCCTCCGAATGAAGCACCGCGATGCTTCTCAGTTTCCAGAGACTTTGCGTCAGGTTAGCGGCTCGGTGACATCAAGTCCGGTCAAGCTGATGAGCCCGCCTGTCATCCACGAGTCTCCACGGAAAGAAAACCAGCCGCCGACATCGTCCCCGGCGTCCACCTTGGATAGATTCCGAGACAATGATGACGATGACGACGATGTCTTCGGTGACGGCCCGGCCACCATCAAGGCACCTAAACTCCGCCCCCAACACAAGCCCATCTCTCTTATAACCCCGCCGACCCCCCAGAAGAAGGATGAAGATGATGACTTCGAAATGGATTTGGAGCTTCCTTCCAGCGGAAAACTCAAGCTTACCAACCGGAGAGATATACCGCCCAAGACTCCCAATGTCAACAGTGGTGATGAGTTCGACTGGGGAGAAGGCAGCTTGGGGACCAGATTTGGAGGCACTCGAAGGGATCCATTCTCGAATCGCAGCTCTAGTGCATCTGCTCTGAGCCCAAGCATCGCAAGCTCGATCACGGCTGAAAGCGAGGACGATGTCTTTGATGGCATAGTCCTACCTACCGGGCCCCTAGACCTTAATGAGCGCCTCAAGCGGAGGAAGCAGAGCCGGTCTCCCGCACGACCTTCAGATATGGACAAGCGTCCTAGATCATCTAAACAACATGGCCCAGAGACGCCTGTCGCCGAGAAGGACAAAGAGGATCTCCTGGATGGTCTTGATCTTGGCGATAGTGACGTGTTTGGCTCCGGAAAATTTACGCTGCACCGCAATGTAAAGGTCAAGGAGACAAGGCAGTCCAGCCCTGCACGGCCCAAGACCGCACTCTCTTTGACATTCACGCAGAAGCCGGTGGCCGCTCAACCCTCACGCTTGCCTCGACCCACACACATCCATCATGAGCGTTCGCATACGCAATCTTCCCTGGAACCCGTCTCAGAAAGCGGTGGTCCCATCCCCGTCCGACCGGCTCGAAGGTCACAATCCCGGATGGGCCACTCGGCCACATCGTCTGTATCTAGTATTGCCACCCCTACTACTCCATCTTCGACAATGTCCTCCCAACCATCAACCCCGAGGCGGCGAGAGCTTGGCCAAAAAGCCTCGACCGGACAGTTGCGGAACGAGTCTACAACCACGAGCGCTCAACTTCTGCGATTTAAGAGGTCGCTTCCAGTCATGAAGGGGCCTGAGTCACCGGCACGGTCCGTTGGATCTCGCTATGAAAGGCCGTCCTCCAGGACAGATTCACACCGGTCCCAGTCGGCTTTAAGGCCCAAGACTCCGGTAGAACGAGCGCGAACAGCTTATGAAGGCAGTGCAGCTCAGGCCAGGAAGAACTACGTACCATTCTTGGCTGGTGGCTCTACCGCCTCCCAGTCGCATCATGTTGCTGCCAGGAGTTCGCGGACCCTCCGACGCCATGACTCTGATTACGGTCCAGAGACTCGCCCGCTGTCTCGTGCCATGTCTCGATCCACGATGAGGTCGCCGAGTCCCCGGAAGAACCGCAGTGTCGACAAGATTGCCATTGAACCCTGGCAGCAGCTCAGTAAGCCTCGGCGCCAGCGCCAGTTTGGCGACGGCACGGAGCTCGACGGGTTCGACGACTTGCCGACATCGGCACAAACAGAGTCGAAATATACCAAGCAGCCTCAGGGTAGCAGTCGAGGGTCAATCAGGAATAAGATATACCAAAACGTGTTGCCCGATCGCAGCACACCATCACCCGTGTCGCCATACTCCCCGGCCCGGGTTGATTATCAACCACACTTCGCCCGGGACACTGCTGCCAGTCGAATGGCTAGGGAAGCTAGTCTGGCACAGCGCGCCCCTTCAGGGCCCCTCGCCCCTCTGACATCCCAGCGAATCGGTCAACTATCTACGAGAACAAACTTGAACCCCCATATACCTCATCTTCCACATGGTTCGATACGGACCAAGAAGACGCGGAAACCTCCACAACTCAAGCCCCACCTCATCTCTAATTTGACTTCCGCCAAGGAGAGCAAGGGTATGTATCATTCACCGATCCAGTATTTAGCTCTTACTAACGTGTTGATGTAGTGGTTAATGGGATGACTTATGACCCAGTAACATGTCGATGGGATGGAAACGAGAATGTCCTGAACGCATTTGATGCTCCCGCTTCATCACCATCAACGGCGTCTTTACCGCCACATATGGCTGGCAACAAAGAAAACGGGACGCCCCGACCGTACCTCATCACTCCTATGGGTGTCCCGAAGGGCGTCAAGCGGGAAGGAAACATGGTCTTCGACCCACAGGCAATGCGTTGGCTTGAGTTAACCAACAAGGTGGCATCTGCCACTAGCACCGATGACCCCATGGAGGGGTTCGATGCTTTGGAGGACGAGGATGACCCGTTCAAGGACATTCCCGATCTCGAAGATAAAGAGGCAGAGAAGGGCGAAGGGGGCAACGGCCGTGTCAGCGACATTGGAAGTGAATGGCTCGTTGGAGAGGAATTCGACGTTGGACCCGAATTCGTGCGCAGGCAGAGAGAAGAAGAAGACCGCTGGCGCAAGAAGTGCGAACGATGGATAAGCACCACTGCTCGCGACAATGATGCATGGCGATGGGCCCTTAGAGATATTGTCCAGGGCTCATAGGTTCAGGCCAGAAGTTGTCTTTCGGCATCCACTGAGTAGCTTGTCACTCGCTGGCAACGGTCCCTCAAGACTTTGGCGTTTCTGGGCATACTATCTGGTAATGAGTGGGGGTTTTGGAAGGAACAAGGGGGGACCTCCTAATGATCCTTACGCGGCATTGTACTCACTACTTACGACCCATTTCAGCATAACATGGGACACTTGGAAGGGAAAGGATCAAGGTGCCTAGGAGGCCAGGAGGACTCCATTCACACTGGAAGTGCACGGCACTCCCCGCTGGCGACCTTTGATGCATGATACATGACGGGGCCATTACAGCCGCACCTACATAGGTGCATCGAAGTTTTGGTTTTGTTTTTGGCGGGTGGGAGGGTTGAGGTTTATTTTTGCATCTGGGCAAAACGGCTTTGGTTCACGACGAAGGAATGAATGACATTAATGACTTGCAATGCTTATGATATCGAATTGTACTTATAGGGCTACTATCATCGACAAGGGAGTGTCGAAAGAGTTGATAGACCAAAAAAGGGATGTTTGTTGTTGCCGATGCCAATAACATGGTTCTTTCGCAGTGCTTGAATTGATATGCGTGGGTTTGACTGTGCCAGTCCACACATGTGGCTGGCTTGGGTTTCGATGCCATCCTGTCTTCTACGCTACTGATATCAAGCTGCAGCCAAGTAATGGCTGCGTTCAAATTGATTAGTATCAGTCGTGGTCGCAGTTCGGCCTGATCTGTAGAAAGAACAAATTATCTCGATAACCTCGACGTGCCTTTGCTGCTCCTTGGATAGAGTCTGACATTTTCTCGCCAAAGGTGAAGCTCAAAAACTCGATTATACATAAGACCATAGACCATACTTGTCCATCATCTTGACATTGTCTAGGTCTCGCCGAGGAAATCCTCCGCGACTACGTACACCACGTCAGAACCAAGTGTCTCAGCAAGAGGCTGCCCTGGTCAAACTCGGTCAACGTGACACGCCTGAACCCGACCATTGTCGCCATGGCGAGTTGGAAATCAGTCCATATTTCAAGCCGACCAGGAGCATATAATGGAAGTCCTTTCCGGCGATGATTCTTGGAACACTGATGTAGTCGCTTTTTTGAGTGTACCTTGCATTCGCCAGAGGTAGTCAGGTCGGAAGGGGTCACACAAATGCCAGCGCTTGGGCCACGCCCTCCAGCTAGCTACCACCACCAACCACCACCAACCCCAGAGGCTGCGATTTCGTAGGCCAAGCCATCCTCTTTTTACCCCAGGTCGCCAAGCTGCACGAATCCTGAATGCGCCGCCTTGTTGAGCCTGGCGTCCGCCATTTTCGCAAGCCCAAGGCCTAATCCTATGACTTGGAAGCAAACTCCTTGGCATCAGGCCGCCAATTGCAATTGATTGGTGCCGTCTGCTGTGTTTCATCTTTTTGTCCTTGTACAGCTCAGTGACAATGACGTAGACGTAATGTGAGCGTGACACCTGAACGCGAACGGTGAATCTTGATGCAGGGCTGGGCTACCACATAGAAAATGTGTATATACTGGCAACAGTCCAGGTGGGTTTGCCTTTACTCTCCTAATCTCTTGTTCATCTCTATAGCATAGCATAGCTGCTCCACCATCGCGCTGGACGACCCACCTGCAGTTGTAGGTCAAGGTGCAGCCCTGCTATCCCAAGATCAACAAGGCAGCTCGAGTCGTTCACCACATGCCGCAGTCCATCATGGGCTTTCTGGGTCGCCGCAAGGAGCCACGTGCTACCACGAATCGGGAGCGGAAATCATGGCTTCGGCGCAGCGAGCCCTACAGCGTCGAGAAACGGCCAAGCTTTGGCCAGTGGTTGAAGGTCACCATTTTGGACATTCTGACGATGATCGTTCTTGGTGTCATTGCCCTAGTGGTAAGGTCTCGGATTGGACCTTGGGAGGCTTCTCATATCTGACATGTCTTTAGGTTTTCCGCGCTGGCCCAGCAGGCACACGCACGTTTCCTCTCACGGTTACCAACACCGGTGAGGTCGTCTACCCGCAGTTCGCATACCCATACCGACCTCAGTTCGTTGCGGCGTGGCTAGCTACCTTCTTGGCAGCCGTGATCCCGATTGTCATCATTCTGCTAGCTCAGATCCGGATCCGTAGCTTCTGGGATATCAACAATGGCATCATTGGCTTGATCTATGCCCTCGAAACCTCGGCTGCATTCCAGGTCATCATCAAGTGGCTCATCGGCGGCCTACGACCGCACTTCTACGATATCTGCAGGCCTGACCCCTCTCTTGCGTCACAGGGCCAATTCAATGCGACGGGGTTGAACGGCGTGGGCTACCAGAACTACATGTTCACGGCGGAGATATGCACTGGTGAAATAGAGGGGATCAACAACGCGCTCGAGAGCTTCCCCAGCGGGCACTCGACTACCATATTCGCCGGCATGGTGTATCTCTACTTATACCTAAACGCCAAGCTCAAGGTTTTCTCAAACTACCACCCAGCAATGTGGAAGCTGGTGCTCCTGTACTGCCCTATCCTCGGGGCCTGTTTGGTCGGTGGCTCCTTGACCGTGGATCAAAGTCACAACTGGTACGATATCGTCGCCGGCGGAACCATCGGGACTGTTTTTGCGTTCTCTTCGTACCGGATGGTGTACGCAGCGATCTGGGATTCACGCAAGAATCATATCCCACTCAACAGGAGCAGTGCGTTTGTATGGTCAGATGGCGTGGAGGGTTCCCGTATGGTTTTCACGAAGCGCGCCGGTTGGAGGCCGAGCAAACGAGGCACTCATGCTGTGAATGGAAATGAGCAGCGAGCCAGCTTTAGCAACGGCCACAGCCCCAAATTCCCCCGAGGCACTGCGAGAGGATCTAGGAGAGGTGATGACATAGTCTAAAGAATCGGGCGAGATTTCAGTTTATAACTGTACGGGCAATTTCTAGGAGTGGATGGCTTGAAGACTGGCTGTTCGACGTATAAGTAACGAATACTGTCAATGCAATAATACATTCTCAGACAGCATGAGGCAAGTTGATTGAATGATCAAATGTGTACAGTAAGTTTAGAATTCAATTCAGCCTTGGGAGTGCACTCTGCCCCATCGGTATCATTTCATTGGCGGCTCCGTTTAAAGTTGAGGATCCTCGCGAAGCCTTCGGTATTCGGCAGCCCGTGTGGATCTACCCCGGATAGGAAGGTCGGCATTGCAACGTAACTGCTCATTCCGCATCTCGTCCTACAGTACTCGGAGGTGAATCATGACCCAGATTTCTAAAGTACTTGACCAGCAGGTGGTAGTATCAGCCGTGGATTCAACAGATAACTTTGTCTTGGCATGCATGCATGGAGTAATTTCTCCTGCATCCCCATTATTCGTACCGCTTCTAGCCCCTGAGTGGATGGCGAGATGCCGAACCAGGATGGGGTTACAATCGGATTGTGGCAAAGATGTACGATGCAACAAAATATGGCAGCAACAGCGCAGTGTATATACAAAAGCGCGGCAACAGTCCATTATAGTTCCCCCGCTGCTGTCGTTCTAGAGTGTTGTGCATCGGGCCATCGCTCTTGAACTCCACATATCGCGTTCTCCAGAGCGTGTTCAAATTCTGGGGTCGAGACTACCACATACGGCGTCCGCTGAGGTTGATCCAAAGAAATACAGTCAGAGGGATTTAAAAATTGATGCTGTGCAAGCTCGCGATGGGTCCCTACCAGACGCTTGCGACGCTCATTGCGTTGCACTCGAATGCAGCTTTGGCAGCATTGGTCGGGGTATCCAACTTGGATCCCTTTGGGGTGCTCGATCCACAGAACTGGGTCAATCCTGATAACATGACCTGGGCTGATTTCAAACCACCTCCGGGGACGAATTGGAGCGACCCACCCCGGAAGGGATCAGAACGGAACTTCAACATCGCGCTCGTGACGATAGACTACTCAGATCGCCCCTTCGTCGTCACTCAGCCGACCGGCTCGACAATCTACGGCAACCCGCTGCCGGCAGCCCCTCTCCTAACAAGAGATGATGTGCCGGTATACTACCGTGATCTACTAAATACTCCGAATGACTTGAACAAAGGCCATACTCTGCATGAGTACTGGATGGGCGACTCGCTTGGACGCTACGGCGTGGACTTGACAGTGTTTGGTGCTTATGAAATGCCGTCTCTATCTTACCAGTACGGCATCACAAACGACATGAATTCTGGCGGCTGCCCTGAGACCGGTGTCTGTAACAAGGATATCCGCACCGATGCTTTGAGACTGTGGCGGGCAGATGTGGGCAACGCAACCGCCGACGCGTTCGAGTTGGTATTTATCCTCTCAGCTGGGCAAGACGAGTCGTCTACTTGGCAAGAGTTTGGGGAGATGAAGTTCCAAACCAAGGATGACGTCCCAGAGGAGTTCGGCCCGCCAGATGCCGCCGCCGCAAACCTGACCAACTATGCGAAAACGCGATATGTCGAGTGGACTTCCTGGGCGGCTGCATCCAACACCTGGCCGAACGCTGGAGGTGGGTCATCTACACAGGCCGAAAGCTCGGGGATGTCGACATACGCGCACGAATTGAGTCATCTGCTCGATATTGGCGACAACTACAATAACCCCTACGGCACTCCTCTTCGTAGGGCGTTCGCCGGCCCGTTTTCGATGATGGATCGAGGGAGCTTCAATGGTCCCGGCGGCCCTCATTCGAGGTGGCAGATTCCCGCACTAGAGGGTGGCTCGATGGGATCTCTGCATACAGTGCGAGATAAGGCTCAGCTGGGCCTTATTAGCAACTCCAGCATACTCCACCTGTCACGCGAAGCGCTGGCTGACTCGGGACTCGTGGTGGCGGAAGTCACAGCTCGTGCAGTCGATCCAGGTGAGAGCGGACTGATGGGTCTTCGCATCAACATGAACGCAGACCGGTCACCAGCCTGCAGTATCCAAACTGATGTTCTATGTGACGGTGGCCGATACAACCACTACCACGTCGAAGTCATCGACCGAGTCGGTGCTGACTCGTTTCAGCCAGACTCGGGTGTAATGATTAGCAAGACGAAGGAGCAGGACTCTCAGCCCTTTGTCTGGGTCATAGACGCAAATCCGCAGGATATCGAACTAGTCGACTTCTATCGCCCGAATGGCACCGCGGCCATGATCACCATGGGCGACTATCGTCAACTTGCTGATGCCCTTTTCCATGCGGGAACGCGGTCAGGCAGTGAATTCGAATACGTCGATACAGCGAATAGCCTCCATTTCTACGTAATTGATGTAATCCGCGACGGTGCTGGAGTGCTCTCTTACAGCATTGGCATACGTTCGCTGAACGGTACTGGGGGCCCAAGTGAACATGGCATCTCGCTTGAGGCGGGAACGACCACAGCGGAAAATGTGACGGATCAGGGCGTCTTCTGCACATTTCCACTGCTTAACAACGGAACTTACGTACCAGGCGAGTACGGACATCCAGACGACGCATCGGCATATCTTGACTCCGATATTTACCGGATCAGCGCCGAGGTAGACGGACAAGGGTGGCGCGTTGAATTGCCCAATACACTGGCCGCGGTCAAGTTCGGCGCGAGTGGCGAGGCTAAAGTTGCTGTCGGTGCTGATGAAAATGCAGTTACGACTGCAGTCGTCACGTTGACCGTCTCGTCAGAGTCTGACCCGTCTGTTATTGCAACTGCTGAGTGCCTGTTACAGAAGTAGCAAGGATAGTGGTGTAAAGATTTGCATCGTAATACATCCCAAGATATCTATACGCAAGACCATGAATTGCTGTAGCTGTAGGTCTCGAGTTGTTCATTCTCTGACCACAATGAGTTCCAATTGGTTGTTACCCTGACCGTCGTGACACCCCATCGGTTACTCTAGCTGTACCTAAGACAATGCAAGAATTTTTCAAATCCTGTCAATCGGCTCTCGCCACGTTTCTATCCGTACAGCTCGCTGCCTACGATGTCCTTTCAAGAACACGCCTTCCTGTATACTGGCTTCATGCAGGGGTATCCAAGTTACGTTCTATGTCACAACGGATAGTGTATAAAATAAAGCCCTGTGATAGGCTTACTAAGCAAACAGTGCCACATACCACCGGAGAACATGTACGTAGCATCGTGCGTCAGGGTCACGGAAGATGGCATCTGATAATAGTCACTCGTTACTTGCTAAACCAGAGACATGCCACGCGCCAGCTCAGACTCACGAACTCTGGTATGTAAGACAGATTGTCTGTCTGGATCCTGGTACAATTAGGGTCGTCACAGACAGATAACTGCGGACCCAAAATTGCAATGTATCTCTTCAATGGTGTGTTGCGATGTACTTTAAATATAATTTCTATACTGGTCGTGCCTACTAAGAGTGAAGCGAGCATGTGCGTCTTCAGACCGAACCTGCACAGAGAATTGTTTCCTGCACGTGGAACAGGCAATCACGGCGAAGGATCAGGCGTTGAACATGCACAGGCATGTCCACACCCTCAGGATTATTTCTCAGCATGTTTTGGAGATGTCCCGGAATGCGTCCAAATGCCTATCGTATTACTCACTCAAGTCTTCTGAAAAGCCAGTAGCTGAGTATTTGTCACTTGAATTGCATCAACCGCCCGGACTGACTACCTACAAGTCCCAGTTCAATGTAGGAGTAATAAAGTTTAGAAACAGTTATGATTATGCGATCAAGGTTTGCGAGAATGATACGAAGTAAAATGTGCTGGTTTTTGAGGGTTTGGAAGAACCTGTCACGCTGAATGATGTTATATTCACTCAGTCCAAACTTTAAACTTGAGATAGAATGCGAGGGCTTCGGAGATGAAACACTATGGTAATATATAAATCCATGAAATAGCCAGAAGCTAACATTCAGTTCGTGTCTACACTCGTCACAGCCAAAAACAAGGAAATCCTCAACTGGAACATTCAACAACAAGTTTCACACAAATCAAATCAATACTACATCTTCGACAACCAGATCAGCGAAGATCAGGCTACCGCTATTACTACAGGAAGCTGCACAATCGACATACGTACGTAAGTCCCTTCAGAAATAGGCGAAGCCATATGAAGACATTAACTTGCAAAAGCGATCAGGGAAACTTGACGGTAAATCATGAAGCTCGTCGCTATCACCACTATCGTCGCTCTTATAGCGAACTCGGCCTCAGCACCAGTGATTGTGAAGCCGCAAAGCGATGTGAAAACTCGGCACATCATCCCAGTAACTGACGTCGGATGTGGCGGTGATGTACTGGATCCTTCAGACACGGCGGAGGCGAAGAAAAAGATGATCAGATGGGACAGAGCGGGAAACAAAGTGGACCAGAAGAATTGGCATCCGGAGTATTTCAATGGAACGGTCTGGTACTTGTGCAATTGCAAACTCTTCTGGAGAGATGGCGCTCCGGAAGAAGAGCTGAACCAAGTTGAGCAGATCTTGTCGGAAACATGCGGTCCCGCCCACACTGGCTGGGTTTGGAGCAAACCGTGGCAAAAGGCATACAATGTGGCGAGTGTGAAGACAATATCGGGCAAGAAACCTCCTCATCTCTGTCCCCGTCACTGCATGTGGGCGCATATTGGAGACTAAAACCTAGGCAGCCGCACCACGAGATGTCCTCGACGTCAGTTCAATGTGAGCTCACCGGGGATGATGTCAGTCGAGTAGTCTAGCCAACGAAAGTGTATAGCCTCGATTAACTTCGACTTCATCCTCCGGGATCAACATTGATGAGTCCGTCGTCGCAGGTACATTAGAACCCCTGCCACTGTAGGAGTGAGATGTATGGATAATCGGTCAAGGCAGCTGGGACATTATAAGGGACACTACTGGAGCATGTGAGCGTCTGCTAGAGCCAATCAATCTGTGTATATCAAGAAACATAGCGACCTCAGATAAATCATTTGCCCACTCATTTCCTAATTTGAACTCGCATGAAGCACGCTAATCCAAGGATGAGAGTTGACACTGCAAATTGTTGAAAGTTTATAGTCAGTTTCAATTGAGTCTCCTTGGTAGAGCAGAGGGGGCAATGCGTTGGGTATTAGAAGTGGGGTCTGAACTACGGAAAAGTGAACCCGTATGTACCATTGCACGTGGTGGCAATTCGTCAGAGGGTGGGTAGTGTTACGGGTCGATTTGAGCCACCACATGAAGGCGGAGACGGATCGTGCGCGTGACGATATAAATGGTACCATGCCCAGTTAGCTAGAGGGTTAGTCTACAGAGTACAGCTATCTTATTATTGAGACCTACTCTTCTTTTCATCTTGTCCTGTCTAAAACGCCCTTTCAGTTTGCGGCCGAAGCATCTGGCAGAATATCTAGTCACCACGTGTTCCAAACGTGCTAAAAGTGCACAATGATCAAATTTGATCGACAAAAAAACGAAGAAACTAGAACGACTTCAATAGAAAAATTCGCCATTACAAACGTCCTTGTTTTCGATGGCGAAGCGGTCAGGGGTCCGGAAACTGTAGTCGTCGAGAATGGGACCATTGGAACCAAGTCCGACGGTGCTACAATTGTGGATGGTACCGGTTGTATGGTGTTACCGGGGCTCATCGACACACATGTTCATATCGTCGACGAAACTGAGTTGCAGAACTGTGCGAGGTATGGCGTCACGACAGCATGCGACTTGGGTGCATATCCAAAAAATCTCTTTGAGAAACTGAAAAAAGTCAATTGGCCAACGGAATACCTTTCCTCGGGGCTTGCAGCCTTCCCTCCTCAGAGCTTACACGCCCAATTCCACTCGAACTTGGACAAAGACATGTCCCTGAGGCCAGAGCATCGCGTCGCGGACTGGGTCGAAGCTAGGGTATCTGAATGCGTTGATTTCATCAAGATTATCGCCGACGAACCGGGATTTGATCAAGCGGTTCTCAATGAACTAGGCCGATATTCTAGAGCCAAAGGCAAAGTAACAATTGCTCATGCCACGAATTACACAGCTTACGAGAGAGGAGTGGCTGCCGACTACGATATCTTGACACACGTCCCTCTAGAAAGACCAGTTGATTCCGTAATGGTAGATAAGATGCTCGCACAAGGGACAGTATCCTCTCCAACATTGGTGATGATGAAGCTTATGGTGGGAAGCGAGCACTTCAAACTCCCCGGCGCAGACTATCAAAACTGCCTGAGAGGGGTCAAAGAAATGTATAAGGCTGGTGTTCCCATCCTCGCTGGCACCGATTCAAATCTTTTGAACATGCCAGTTCACCATGGGGCGAGCATCCATGACGAACTGGACCTTCTCGTCACAGCTGGACTGGATCCTACAGATGCGCTTAGAGGCGCTACGTCATTAGCAGCGAAGCACTTTGGGCTACATGATCGAGGCAGAATTGTGCCTGGGTTCAAGGCAGATTTAATCCTGGTTGAAGGAAATCCAACTGTAAATATCAAAGATACTACGAAGATTAGGAAAGTGTGGAAGGACGGGACGGAAATACCACACTCTGGAACAGGAGACCACATAGCATGATAACATGCACACTTTGCACTGGACACTGGCGGCCCCTTAGCGTCTCTCCACCGATCAGAACACAATGGTATTGTTTAGAAACTCGTTAGTATGATTTGATCCACTTGCTGGTTGGGATAAAGAAGGTTGAATGGTTGTTGAACAATAAGTAGGTTGCACTTCAAGAGATAACCGCCCGACGCGGCTTGTTTGTTGCGCCCAAGTATGGTCTGAATGCCATGCGATTGACCCGCTGCAACGGTAGCTCCCTCGATTTCTCGGGCTCAGGCAACTTAGGAGACTAAATTACGGTATCTGCCAAGGGTCGATCTTGATAAAATGGCATCATCAATTCGGGATCAGGTTCTTGGTGTGCAAGAACTTCTTGAATCCATCTTGCTTCAGCTAGACCAGAAAACCATCCTAGTTTCAGCCTCTCGAGTTAGCAAGAAATGGCGAGCAACAATTGACCTTTCGCCTGCATTAAAGCGGCACCTATTCTTTGAACCTGACTTGGGCGCCCCTCCCACTCATAACCCGCTCCTAGCACTTCATTTCCCATTCATGTTTTACCACGTGGTATCTCCAGATAACGTCGCGCCGTTCAGCTCTCTAACAACGGCCAAGCTAGATGATCTGGACAATGAATTTCCCGCAATGCCTTGGCTTGTTGAGAAGAAAGAAGCCTACATGTATGAAAATGCCAGTTGGAAGACGATGCTCGTACACCAACCACCCTTCCGGGGACTAGGGTGTATTGTCACCGACCACCACATTCTGCTTCTCGGCTCCGGTAACCGAACCTGTTCGGACAGACCTATAATGGCACAGGATTTGATGGTCTCCAGTCTTGCACATTACCATCTACAGGTGAGTGGAAGCTACGTTCCTACAATAACTAGTTTTCGCGTGCTATGGAGAAACTTGCCTGCTGATATGATCAGTCTGGGAGCAGCTGCCGACGCAGACAGCAATATTTTTCTAACGTCAGATAATCTAGATCGTGTAGCGGATATATTGCCCGAGTTGGATTTACAGATGGAATTATTTGGAATTGTGTTGCACATGGATATTTGTCAAGAAACGCCGTCGGCGCTGACTAGTGCGACAGGCATTCTGTGGGAGATTTTGAACTGCGATTGTTGTCTATTAGATTCTACTTAATTTAGACGACTAGACTCTAGATTGATACGCCCCACAGATAAGAAGAACTAGCTTTGTAAGTGTAGATGCGGCGCACCAAATGCGTCACGGCAAGGTTACAAAGGAGTTCTGGGGGGTTTCTCTATCCTATGAGATTAGATTGAATTGACCAATGATAATACCCCATTCCGTTTCATAACTGAGTACAGTATGCTCAAAAAGTCATGTTACCTAGGTACTAATAGTGATCGAATAAGGAGTATATCCTCAGAATTTTCTCCACTCATACCGGTCTGACTCATTCGGTATGCACTTTCGGGTGCTGCACCCGGCAACGGCTGGTCTTACATCTGACGACTGTCAATGTGGTTATATAGGAAACCTCCATCATTGTCAACACGAAACAATAGCTGCAACTTGCATTTCTCTAAATCCTACGAACAATGGAATTTCACAAGGAAGCTCTCGCATCTTGGGAGACCAACGCCTCGTTCTGGAATGAAGGTGTGGGGAGGGATGGCAACAAATACTGGAAGTCACTTCAGATGCCAGCTCTTGAGCGCATGATCGACGTGCGTTCGGGCAGCCGAGCCCTGGAATTCGCGACAGGCAATGGGCTGGTAGCTAGGTGGCTTGTAAGCCGCGGTTGCAATTCGGTCCTCGCAACCGATGGAAGTGCAGGCATGCTCAAACATGCAGAAAATCGCCAATCAGCTGACGAGGCCTCCAAAATTTCCTACAGGCAGCTTGATGTCACGGACCCTGTCTCATACGATGAGTTAAAAGCGGATCCTCGAGCTGTAAGTAGCAGAGAACCGCCTTAGGCCTCTCGCTGATCTATTCACACATTGGTAGACTGGTGGGTTTGATATCATTATCATCAACATGGCAATCATGGACATTGCGGATATACAGCCGTTGGCCCAGGCACTGCCAAAACTATTGAAGCCTGACGGAGTGTGAGTACTTTTGCGACAGATGTTTACTGTCTGAAATTGACCGTTTCTGTCATGCAAATCGGGTAGTGGAGAGGCATGCCTACTAAGTCGTGGATAGATTCGTTGCCACGGTCCTCCACCCTGTGTTTTTCACCTGCGGCGCAACACGGTCGATTGAGATTGACAGCTCCGCCGGTATTACCGACAAACCGATTGTGACCAGGGCCAAAGTAATACGGCAGTACCTGAATGTTCCGCCATATCACGGCGTGGCCCTGTATGGCCAGCCGGCGCAGCAGGTCAGTCACTGTCGACATGATTGAAGTGGGACCCTACCCTTACTCTATGTATCAAAGGTCTATTTCCATCGCCCAACACATGAGCTATTCAAAACATTTTTCCAAGCTGGGATGGTCATGGATGCTATTGAAGAGCCTGCTTTCACCGGACGGGACAGTGAACCAGACCGGATCGAATCACATTCTAACTTTGACCAACTTCCAGCCATCTTAGCATTTCGGCTACGGGTCAAGTCTTGAAAAGGCCGTATTGAGGTGTGGTACCTGATAGCCGGAAAATTGTCCTCGTGTTGTCCCACGATAATTCGATAGTCAGGCGCTGCGATAGTGCGTTGAGGGGTATTGATGATTATGGACCGAGTTTTTCATGATCAATAGGAAAACTGATCAATTGTTTTCATACTCTGAATGATAATACTTGGTATGGGCCGAATCTTTTGGTGGCAGTGGTTTACGACCGGCAGTGTCTCGTGAGCCGCACTAAATGAACCCACTCTTGTGTCAGAGTGCTCTGGCATTTTCCACTTCCTACTTTTCTTTATGCATGCATTAGATCGTATGTAACGATGTGTATGACCGAGTGGGAAAGCCTGGAAGCAGAAGGTTCAACTTTCAACGGTGCATCGCGATCATCTTCACTGAGTATATGACACCACGACATTCGATACGACCAAAGCGTATAGTAATTCCAACGAGTCCCAATATCCCCAGCTGACGGAGCCTTGCTGGGTTAACTATCTCGGTGGGCTTGGCCCATCCGCATTTCACGGGCTGCAAGGCCGCCATCTATTGTAAGCTCTAGCTGTTCTTAGCCATCTAAAGGAAAGCGATCCTGTTGTTTCACCGCGCGTCAATCCGAACTCTTGCCTCAAATACTGCAAAAGTGTTGGGAACGGGCCCGATAGTTTGATAACGGCCAATGCAGCGTGATAATATCTGTAGAGAGGTTGCTGGATACGACCCGATGATAACGGTCTTGGTAATGCAGCCAGCCCGTGCCATGCCAGTGTTGATGATTGATTTTCTGTGACACAACAGAAATCCTATGTCCCAAGGGAACGGAACCGACCTTTTCGTGCACAGGGGTGGTGGATAGGCGGCTAGAGAGGGCCCGTGAATGGTCATCTGCACCTGGGTTATGGAGGATACGGCCCCTGTCGGGAAGCCGAATCTGCGGCAATATTCGGGTACTTGAGAAATAGAGAACTCATCGAAATGAAACATATGAGAACCGAACGTATTCTCTCCAGGTCGACGAACCTTCCAAAACACCAAGCGCTGTTGTGACGGAATCTGTATCCTGACACTTGCAATGGCACATCCTCATCAGTACCACTACGACCCGTCTCACGAATATGACCTTCCTCAAGAGGAGAATATGGGGTCAGTTCCACCATATCCCTACCACCTCATGACCCCGCCGCCGCCGCCGCCACCACAATTCCCGTCGCAATTCTCTCCACCTCTACTTCTACCACCACAGCTGCTAGCTTCATACGTGCCGCCACAAGTACCGGTTCAATCTCAGGTGATGACACAGCAATACTCGCCGTTTCTCGTAGATGAGGAGACATACAACTTTGGGCAGTATGACTATGTTCCATCCCAGGCAATGACGCAACCCCCCGACATGGAGGAATTTCTCCTGGCCCCACCTCCGAACCCAGAACCAGACACGCATGAAGTGACTGGTACTTCGATCATCGCGCCGGGCACAATTGCAGACAGTAATGGACGTCTTTACCAAGGATATCGAGAGGGGCGTTACTTCTTACCGAACGACCCCGTACGTCTTACTTGATTGACCGATGCGGAGCTCGTAAGCTTATTGAGATTGCCTAGGCCGAACAAGACCGGCTCGATTTCCAACACGCCGGCACGATGATTCTTCTTGATGGCAAGTTAGCTTGGGCACCCATCCAGTCGCCAAAATATGTTCTTGACATAGCAACGGCAAGTGGCATTTTGTGTTCTTAGTAGTCTCTGCCTTCGGCTTTGGAATACTGACAGTGAGCATTGTAGGGGACTGGCATTTGGGCCTCAGAATTCGCGGAGCAACATCCAGAGAGTCACGTAATTGGTAGTGACTTGACGTTGATCCAGCCGGAGGCCAGAGTTCCTAACTTAAGCTTTGTCCAAGAGGATTCGGAGGAGTTATGGGTCCACAGCCAACTCTTTGATTATATCCACCTTCGGTATGTCTACACGTGCTTCGATGACCCCCGGACTGTTATTAGATCGGCATTCGAGAATCTCAACCCGGGTGGATGGATCGAGTTCCAAGACTCGGCAATGGAGCTTCATTCTGCGAAAGGTGCCGCCTATATAGCTGACAACCCTTTAAAACGGCTTATGGATCTCGCGGTTGAAGGCGCGGCTAGACAGGGCCGAGACATTCGCGTCTCGAGGCATTTTAAGCGATGGTTGGAAGAAGCTGGCTGTAAGTTTATGCTGTTTACCTCCGGGTCTTACCTTGAATGGGATACTGGCACGTCTGAAGGGTCGACAATCATGACCGCAATCAACGAGTTATCCTTGTTGCGAGTATGGTCCTAAAACAGATGCATAACTGATCCCATTACAGTCGTTGATGTCGTCGAGAAGAAACTAGCAATCCCCGCCAAGGAGTGGCATCCAAGCCCGAAGTTAAAGAAGGCTGGCAAGTATTTCAGCAGGATGATGATGGATAGCCTTCGGGGGATCGCGTACAAGATGATTCAAGGCAACGGGCTTACCGGAGACGAGATCGACGAGGTGGTGACGCAGGGCAAGACACAGGTCCGCAACTTGGACATGCAAGGATTCTTTCCTTTGTAAGCCCCCCTCCCCTTCGAGCCTCTTCTATGGTGTGTACAGGGTTAACAATGTAATGTGAAGCTGGGTTGTGTATGGGCGGCGGCCAGTTATAAAAAGCGAGCCTACTCATTCATAGGAGGGCGATGCGTTTGTGTCTTCCATGTTTATTCAGCAAGATACATAAACCCACTTGATAGTTTTATCAACCATTCGGCATGCTTCGATTGCTTTTTCGTAATTAAACGTGTACAGTAAACAAACGTTGATGGTGTTCCATCTCCGAAGTTGGTTGGGAGTAGTGAGATGCCCTGTTTCTTGCGTTCATAATTTCGGCTTCCTCTGACCCCTCATTTACGTTCCACCTCATCGGAGTCGCTGCTGGAAACAATGCAGAACCCGAAGACGACATTCGGAATAGTACGGCGGCTACTTGTCAGTCTAATGCATGGCGCAGACTCCACATGCCACGAACACGTGTACGGCGTACGCGTATGGGTTCTTCTCCCGCTGCTTGTCACATGCAGGCACACAAAGCGCTAAAGTAGCTGCGAAGATGGCACATGTTTTCAGTTAGCATCCGATCATTGCCGGCAGATCTTGCCATGTGGGATGGCGCAAACCGCACTAGTTAGCCCTCTGTCAATGTTTGCCGGCACCCGAACCCCACGGCTCGGGCCGAGAAGTGTCTCAAACAAGTGGTCACATTTTCCCCAGTCAGTATGTATGGAATGGAAGAGACCAAAGGCTTCATCTCGTTCAGTAGTCGGACTAAGGAGAGCTCTTCCTGTAATGTGAGGGACCGAACAAGTGATAGATGCAGCGTGGACAAAAGGTGAAAGTTTATCCGGACCGTTGGCAAGGTTATCCGCCATATCTACAGCTCCAGCCACTCTTCATGCAGGATATTAGTTGACGATGTGAAGATCAATCACCCGATTCATCAGACGATTTCACAGTGGTCGGCCAAGTTGATGTTAGTTTCCAGACTTGATGCACACATATGGTTAGCTCGTGGTCTGTGCCATCGACGGTCACAAAACGTGTTACGGTAGCGCTGAGAAATACCTCACTACGATCAATAGTCCCTTGTAGATCACCTGAGTTTCACCAACTAAAAAGCTTGCATATCAATAGTCCACGCGGAAGACTATCCAGCATGCATCTAGAAATCCTTGAGAAAGCTGCAAAATCGCCCTCCGAAAATTCACTCAGCTGAGGACACGCACTAGATAGTAGATACACCGCTCCTCTTATGTGTTACCCGAATCATCGAGGCGAGCGCTTGATATACTTGACGCACACCTTGAACAATCCATGTGCTAATCTTTTCAAGCCATGGGGACAACCTGCCTCTTTCGTAGGGTTATGGTACAGCTGACTCTACATCAGCCAGCCTCGGCATTGATGTTCGACGCCGTCCCACCGTACCCGTACCAATTGCAATACAGATACCTATCTATAACCTGATCACATGCACCCTGGTCTGCAGAATCCTGGGGTTACATAATGGTTACACTTGAAAAGGCTTCCTGATCAAGTACACCGTGGGTGGGATAAGGTGGAGGTGTTGACCCACTTCCGGTCGGAAAACGCTCCCATACACGAATGCAAACGACTCAGGATGTGGGCAGTGTGACTACTGGTTTCCTCACCTTGAAAGTCAGCATCTCTCCAGTCTCACCGCCGGCGGCTGTCACTAGATGCCGGGGATAGGGCAAGTTGCGTGATAATTCTCCCCTTGCATGTTTGTTTGTCAGATGTTCTCTAGGTGGACTGTCCGAGTAGCTATATCGTGAGTTGTGAAATTCATCAATGGTATTGCGCATGTAAAGAGAGACGAGCCCATAACATGCCTTAATCATTGCGCATTTATACCAAATTGAGTAACGGACTAGCCGATGGCATGTTCAATTGAAGGGTGCTGTTTACTCATAAATGTGCAATCATAGAAGCTGAAATTAATTTGTAACAAGCGCCTTGAAGATAGCGCTATCAATCAATACGTTTCCTTTGTAATGAAAGCAACCAGGCAGTCGTAGCTGGGCCACCAAGGTTTTTCTTTGCTGCGCTAACAGCAGTCGACAAGTTCCTTCGCAGCTTCGCAATCGACTTCCGTACACTCTTGTACAAGGACGGCCACCGCCCATCATCCATCTGGAGACCTGTGCGTTCTAACAATTTGAATCGTTGAACTTTGCCGCTCGGTGTTCTGGGTATACTCTCGACAAACACAACACCTCCAGCTAGCTTCTTGTAGCTTACAAGACGGCTACGTACGAGATCATAAATCTCTTGGCCGAGTACAGACTCTCTACCAGGATGCCTTTGGACGACATAGGCACGAGGAGCCTCGGTAACCTTATCCTCGGACAAAACGCCAACTACTGCGCAGTCCACGACATTTGGGTGTTGTATAATAACCGCCTCGAGTTCAGCGGGTGCAACTTGCCATCTGACGAGAGTTAGTTTACTTCAGCATCAATAGGGTAAAGCTCGAACACTCACCCCTTCACTTTGATCAACTCTTTCGACCTTCCAACAATGTAGAGCTTGTCCTCGTGTACCTGCGCTATGTCGCCAGTTGGAAACCAACCATCTTCGTTGCACATTGGGATTCCCAGATACCCGGTCATGATCGCTTTTGATCGAATAAGAAGCTCACCAGGCTGGTTGTCCTTCACAACTTGTCGGCCAAAATCATCAACAAGCTTCATCTCGTAGTCTTCCATGAGCCGCCCAATGGACCCGGTATCATCATGCTCACCCCACCGAAAAAGAACCGCTGGGCCGAACTCTGTCATTCCCCAAACAGGCGTTACAGTCGCTCCTGGCTGAAGATATGAGCGCATTTGTCTCATTGCTGTAGCATCAATTGGGGCGCCACCAATGCCGATGTACTGGATCGTAGACATCAGTTGGCGCAGAGGTCTATCGGATCTGTTCATGGCGTGAACCATTGGGGGTGCCATATAGGTTTCACTTATCGCGTATTTGTGGATATTCGATATATAGTCGTCAAGTGAGAACCGCGCCATGATGTACAGAGGTTCTCCGTATCTGAGTGGTGAGAACAGGGCCCAAGCAACCCCGAAGATGTGAAAGAGTGGGAGACAAGCTAGTCGCACTACTTCATAAGGCGTTTTCGTAAAGAGGCTCTTGTGTTGAGCGATCAGGGAGTAGTGAGAAAGGCTGGCGAGCTTGGGTAAACCTGTAGTACCAGATGTGGGAAAGTAGATTGCTGGTGTGTTTCTTGCAGCCTCCTCGTCAGGCAATGTATCCCATGGTGATTCTCCATGTTTTCTAAGGTCGCTGACGAAGTTGGTGCCAGCAGATGCATCTTTCTCAGACGCAAGCGTGTCGTCTGCCTTGGCCGGATGATCCAAATGTTCTGATTGCATTGAGAGGTCGTCGAAAGCAAAAACGCATTCATTGGGTATACCCTTGATTTCGCACATTTGTGCAATTGTGGGGATGGCACCTGGAGATGCAATAATGAGACGAGGCCTGGCAATGTTCGCGATATGAACAAGCTCGTCCAGCTGATATGCAGGATTGGTTCCACAGAACACGCCGCCTGCTCCGACAATACCAAGTATCAAGGCGATATAGAAACACTATAACAATGAGTTGCTGTTTGGCGGCAATGAATAACAGACTTACATTGTTTGGCATGCAGACCAACACCGGATCACCTTTCCTAAGCCCTGCGGCTCGGAAGCCGGCAATAAGTTGCTTCACCAAACATTCCGTTTGAGTTGCACTCAATGATACCGAGGAATCTGCGGCGTCGATATACAGAGGCTTATCTGAGTTGTAAGAAGCTTGTGCATCGAGCGCGAACGAAACAATATCCATATTCCGGTTGAAGGGGGTAAATTTCACTTGTTTGGCGGTCTTGTAATACGATGTTGGTCAACGAGGTGCGGTAAATTGGTTAACACTCTACTTTGCTTATGTTCCAAAGTCTTTATATCTCGCTTTAGGTAAGCTGTGTTCGGCGCATGTCATTGACGGATCTAAGCGATGAGCTGTATGCAGCTCCGATCATGTTGGCGGTGTGGATAAGCGGCATGCAGGAATGTGGATATTATGCAACCAAAGAATAGCTTCGTGAGGAGTAGAAGTCTGGGTGCAGTTCCGCCCGCATAGTGGGAACCCGATACTGACATTTTCAGCCACCGGCATTCGAGCTGGAAACCGAGCCCCGCTAACGACTCCACACACGGAACACCGCCTCCAAAACTCCTCATCCAGATATCTGACATCGCCGACCTAATGACCACGAACTCGCTGCCCACCCAAGCCAGTAGTTCAAAAGTTAGTTGTGATTCTCTCTTGAGCTAACTAGTCGGCGTTAGAAAGCACAAGTCCCGCACAGTCTAGCACAATTGGAGTATGCACGAGTTTGAGCTATTGATGGATGCATGTTGTTGTAACTGTCTCATTGGGTGGCTATGTGGTGCAACTGCTAGGAATGCTTCTGAAGTGGGAATACTAACCTCCTAGCAAATGCACGTGTCTGCATGTGTGCGTGATATTCTCGGTGTAAGTCATACGACGGGGCGGGAGGCGGGTAGTCCAGAGCCGCAATGCGTCGCGGTGTACCATCTTGCGGTAGTACCGTGTAGTATATAAAATCATGCATACATAGGCCTCCAAGATTTTGCTTTTTTTCGTAAGACATATCGTCAAAGTATAACGCCAGATTTCTTGCCCTGGTCCCCTCATGGAATCTCACTTACCCGGAACAGGGACAGCCAAGATGTCTCAACTTGAACATCACGTTAGATCATCTATCGACATCGAGAAACAAGTTGAGCCCGTCGTGCATAAGCGCTTTGCGAGGCTCAGATATGGGTTGCTCAACACCTACCGGCGCTTGTTCGGTCTGGCATTCATGGGAAACCTCATCGCATTCATCATCGTCATGGCCCGCGACCGATTTCTTCTTGACTGCATCAACGCTTGTGCAATCAATATATTGGTCTGCGGTCTTGCACGGCAACCTCTAGTTGTCAATGCCCTATTCGTGTCTCTCTGCGCTGTGCCCAGATCGGCACCACTCAGACTCCGACATTTAGCATGCAAGATTTTCCATCTAGGAGGCGTTCACAGTGGAACTGGTGTAGCCTCATGTGTGTGGTACATCGGATTTCTCGCAGTTTACACATATCAATATCAGCCTTCACCCGTGGCAACCGCGGTGCTAGTACTGGGATACTTGATTCTTGCTGTCCTAATACTGACAGTTGGTGTATCTACTCCAAAGTTTCGGATGATGCACCACGATTGGTTTGAGTTGACACATCGCTTCTCAAGCTGGGCTGTTCTGGCGCTGTTCTGGGCACTCCTCCTCACTTTCGCATCTCAGCAGCAACCATCTATGGGCGGCTTCTTGGTGTCGCAACCGGCATTTTGGGCTATTATCATCGTTACGATTGCCATCATCCAGCCATGGGTAATGCTTCGACGAGTGCAAGTGATGGCTGAGCCTCTCTCGAAGCATGCTATCCGTCTACACTTCTCTCACACGTCTATAATGTACGGACAGGGCATTTCGATTTCGAAACACCCGCTCCGAGACTGGCACAGCTTTGCCACAATTACGGACAGATTCGATACTCCGGATACGAGGTTCTCTTGTCTCATCTCAAAAGCCGGCGATTGGACCTCCTCTATCATTTCACAGCCTGCGAACCGCGTGTGGGTTCGTGGCGTTCCGATCTATGGCTTTGGGTACGTGATGCGTGTTTTCAGCCGCATCATTGTCGTCACAACTGGGTCAGGCATTGGACCCTGCTTGTCGTTCATCGATGACGATAATAGGCCACAAATGCGTGTGGTATGGCAAACCAAGTCTCCATTGCAGACATACTCCCAAAGAACGATCGATCTAGTACACAAAATGGACCCAGATCCATTGGTGATCGACACAAACATTTCAGGAAGGGTGGATATGCTACAAGATGTACTGCGTCTACATCAAGAGTTCAAGGCTGAAGCTGTCTGTGTTATCAGCAACCCTATGGTCACCAAAAAACTTGTCAATGATCTTGAGGAGCGCGGTGTATATGCATATGGCCCAATTTTTGATAGTTAGCTACTTATTACCCTTATATCAAGCTACTTTGCAATTTTGCCCCTAGCTACACGTATCAATCTCTATCACTATAAATGTTGTTCATTCTTATAAATTCATTCTGGCTGCTAAATTCATGATATCCATGGGAGCCAGGTTTGTAAGAATGAGGTGTTTTGTTGGATGAGTCGTCACGGTCTTTACCTAAGATTCGTAGCACTAACTTGGGTAAAGTGGGCGCACAGGCCGACATGATGACAAGGTCGGTTTCAATACTAGAAGGTTCAGTGTGCGCAAGGGAAGAAAATAACAGTAAGACTCACTACGTAGTGATCATCAATGAGAATAATCCCCATGTGACATCCTCGACCGTATTTTGATAGAGCTGAGTGGTCTTTACGATGGCTGCAATCATGGCCCTGCGGATTGTTGATCAACAGAGGTTTGTAGTATGAGCTTAGGAGCTTTTCTTACAGAAAACCAAGACCCATGATTGTCATAATTGCAAATTTGCGGCTATTTTTCATTTGCAAATTCCAAAATATTGTAATGGGGAAGACAGCCAGGACCAAGTCCGTGAATGCTGACCATGCTGGATCAAAGGCAACTTGAGTTAGTCGACGACATTGCGCACAGTGCAAGAAAAGGAAAACGACTTACCGCCTCCCACGTATGTGACATCCTTCAATACATAACTTGGGAGACAAGTCGCCTCCGAAAAAGGTTGCCAAAGGTGAGAAGGCGGATTACACTGAGCGAAGAGCATGATGAAAGAGAGAGCAGAAGTTATAAAGAGTACTGCGATAACGGAATATAGAAAGTATACTCCTCGTTTCGCAGTGCCCATTAATTTGATGATTAGCATGACGACGGCCAGCTTCGGCAAGCAGTAGGCTGTTATGCCAACTGGTTGCAAGACAGTCGCATAATATAGGGTGTTGGTTATCTCTTCTTCGGATAAGTAATAAATATGGCGGCCAATGCCGTGGGACACCGCAACGGAGGACAACGAGTTTGTGGCGATGTTCAAGAGAGATGCAGCGACTATGATGCCGTCATCCCATCCAGCAGATCGGGTTATACAAACCCTGCTGTATATACGCAAAGCGACGAAAATGGTGGCAAGAGTAGCTCCGACCCAGCCTACAATGTTGATAATGTAGCCTCTACTTTCATCAGGAGGGAGCAGAGTGCTGTGTTCAGAGGCCATTGGTCCAACCCAAGGAATCGGGGCAAGATTTGTTGAACTAAACACAAGAATGATCTCAGCAACAACTCAGGCTGCAGGAGATTAGCAAAGGGCTCAAATGGAGAGACCGATAGTGATGAATCGAAGCAGAGTCAAAAACGTAGACGACACGAGATGTGAACGATCTACATCGCTGCACAATAAAGCATATGTATAAGGGAGCATACATTGTAAGCGCTAATGTGTAATTTCAGGTACATAAACCAGCTGCACGTCACGTCTAATCCGCCGGATCCTTAGTGCTACATGGAAGATGTAGCATAACATGTTCTGCATGATCATTGGAAGGTTGGCGGCCCATGGATCAACTACAGAATATGATGCATCTGCCCAGCTGCGGGCCGGATGTTTCTGCAGCTGTTGAGACGCCAGCCTGCCAGCAAAACCCCTCCAGTTTCAGCACCATTTCGCGAGCAAACGGAATTTGCAGGGCATCACACGGTCCAATGTTCCCAAGCACGCCAGGCGCCACTAAATCGCAGCTAGCCCAGCTTTGACTTCAAAGAAATCCATGGTATATAGGCTAAATCGACCCAAGAATAAAACGCCGACCTCAACCCTCGACACTCGAAGGACCCACCCTTGCTTGCATAAGGCTGACGTGCGAGCATGGGCGCGTACGAATGACAGCGGGCCGTTCCATGGCCGTTCCATTCCTTCATTTTGCTGAAAGCGCTGGAAGTATATCAATGTGCAATCGCTTTGCCGTTACGGGCCAGGTAATCATCGAGTGTACGGCAACAGCAAGTACTGTAAGCTGCAAAGGTCTAGCGTCTCCGGCTAAGTGACAACGAATCAAGGGCGGCATTTCGACGCCGCAATCCAGCAGTACGCATGTTACTATGGTGCAGGTAGAGAAGAGGAAGACTAATGCTACCTTGTGCGGAAACACGAACTCTCTGCATAAGGTTACCGAAATTTGCACATCCAACCTGGGTGCCGAGGCTAAAGATCCTGGTTGGTTGTAGGGATGGAGTTATGTGCATATCGTATAATATGTCTTGGCAGATCCTTGAAGCAGGGAGACAAGGAAGCCGATGCATATAACAGTGGCAAACATACAGTAAGGTAGGAGACCCCTGGCACTGACAGATTGGGGGAATGGTATTGCTTTGGGATCGCAGCATTCGGTGCATCGCTGATCTACGTATAAGGCTTCTGGTCTCGGTGTAGCTGCACAAGAACTGCACCACGCCAATACAGTTCCATTATCGGTTCCCACCAGGGTTGGACAGCATACTACTCAATTTCTCATCATGTCGGGTTTCTCCAAGGACAATATCTCTCAGGCGCTGAGCCAAGTTGCTGCCGAGGGCAATGATTTCCTAAATGGCCAACCAGGATCACGAGAGAAGCTGATAGCGAGCGCTCGAGATCTTATAGCCGTTGCCGAAAGCCCCGTTGAGTCGCTTCTATGGAGTATCTGGGCACAGGTATGGACTTCACTTTTAGTCGAGCGATATTAACTCTTTATCCAGCCAACCCGTACTGTTGCGGCGCGCATTGCAGTAGATCTCAAAATTTTTGAGACGGCTGTCCAAGACGATGGCCGGCCGAAAACAGATTATGAGCTGGCTGCTCCAACAGGAGCGTCGCCTGAGCTTGTCAAGCGTATCGCGAGAGTGTGCGTCTCGATGCGTATGCTAGATGAAAAGGGACCAGGGCTATATGTTCCAAACGGACTTACTCATGTCCTAACACAACCAGAATATGCTGCTGGTATCGTCTTTTGGTTAGTGGGCGCCAGTAGAAGCAAATGGTTTACAGTGGCTTACCTGTTGAGCAGTTTCGATAGCGCAAATCCGTCCTTCGCTCAAATGCCCGCCTATCTGAGGAGCACCCGATTCCAGAATCCTAAGGATCCCGTGCAAGGACCGTTCCAGTATGCCCATAAGTGTGGACATGCCTTTGGGTGGCTTCTCGAGCACCCAGACACATTCGAGGCTTTTCATGGCTATGTACATGCGCTTAGAGTACATCGTCCATCTTGGTTCGAGATGTACCCCGTTCAGGAATGTCTGCTGGATGGTCTGAAGCCGGAGGGTGATGCATCCGCCCTCGTCGATATTGGTGGCGGCACGGGTCAGATCCTGGAGGATTTCCACGCGAGTGTGCCACACTATACCGGCCGCCTTGTGCTCCAAGATCTTCCTGAGGTCATTGCGACTGCTTCGGGCTTGAGGGTGGGCAAGGACCCGCGCTTCGAGCTGCAAACGCATGACTTCTTTACCGAGCAGCCAATTAAGGGTGCACGCGCTTATTTTATGCGTTCTGTCCTCCACGACTGGCCCGACGATAAATGCCGTATAATACTCAAGCACCTTAAGGATGCTATGGAACCAGGCTATTCGAGGATTCTCGTGAGCGATTGTGTATGTATTTCCCGGTGGATTTTTGCGTTTTCATGTGCCCGCTACACTGGAAGGAAATGATTTACCGACACCAGTTCTACCACATACTTCCCTTAGACTATACGGTAGTTGGAAATGGTCCCTTCAAATCCTCTACAAAACATCTGCTGACTACAGGTCCTACATAGATCGTCGCCGATGAGCGTGCCGCCTGGCAGCACTTGTCACTCGACATCTTCATGATGGCTCTGGCTTCGTCTCAAGAGCGAACCGCAAAGGAGTGGCATGAACTCGTCGAAAGTTGCGGGCTGAAGATAACGGGCTTTTATAATAAAGGTCAGGGGAACGAAGGTCTGATTGAGATCGCGCATCCATAGTGTACTAGGGACATAAGGCTTGTTCATGTTAACCACAACCGCCAGGAGATTACGTTGATTGATAATGCTTAGTATAAACCTTGAGGGGTTGCATAGTGTTACGGTAACACAAATGGCTTGAAGACTCGGGTGCGAATCCTGTCATATTGCAAGAATCTATGGCTGGGAAGGATCACGTCACAGCAACCATGCCAGCAATCCGCCACAAACTCCGTAACAGAAAGTAGACTCACTTAGTGCAGGGATGCGATACCCTGACAAGCGCACCTTCCACTAGTAGTTACTGCAATTATGCAACGTACCTGGAAGTGGATCTACCTATCACAACAGTACTTCTGAATACAGGCTATTAACCACCTCCAAGCTACGCCGCTGCAACATGCCAATTAGCTACTCTACCCGTTTGATAGTTGTGATTCCATTAAAGCATTACTGCTGCAACCCTGTGCTGCATAAATGACCTGAGGGTTATGAGCACCATAAATTGTCGCCCCGGCTGAACCGGAGAAATGGTTATAAATCTAATCCCGTGACCAACCTAATCGGATCGGGTGCATATGTATGCAACCACGGACTCCGCCGTACAATACATACCTAGGCAGATATCTTGCTTTGCAGCTTGTCCCAACGGAGGACTTTCTCGTTAAGTCAAGGCACAGATTTTGCGTCGTTTCCTCGAATTATATCCAACGATCCAATCAGATCATCCCTGCTGCTTGTTTGACTAGGCACTCGTAACTACCTAAAAGGATCGCCGGCGTGACATTTCTTGCGTATAAAGAGGACCGAGGACTACATCAAATAATTGTGTCCAGCCCGGACTGTCTTCTCTGAAGTAGTCCCACTCCCAGGCCATCACAATTCTCAACTTGAAGTTTTGAGCTCCCTAAACGCCCTTGTCTCGTATCCCCAGTGCCCAGTTGCAGCCATGTCTCGCAGGCAGCCGAGTACGAAGCTGTCAACTAACAAGGACACTCCCCATGATGACGACGCTGCGAAACTGTTCGACGGCATTCACAGTGGTGCATGGGTCTATCGGTTCCCTCCGTCCTGGGTCCCATACATACAGCTCGCGCGCCTCAGCCCCCCCGTACCTGTGCTTCTGATCTACTTTCCGCACGTGTTTGGCATTGCTCACGCGGCGGCTACGCAGAAAGCACCTTTGGGGGATGTCATACGTGTCTGTCTCTTGCTGCTTGGCGGCAGCTTCTTCCTGTCAAACGCAATCCATAGGTGGAACGACTTGATCGATGCTCCCATTGACAGGCAGATTCCACGCACGCGCAATCGTCCTGTTGCACGAGGAGCCATCAGCCCCCAAGGCGCAATGATCTTTACAATCTCCCAGGCGTTTGGCGCAGCTCTGTTCTTACTCTTCTTACCCAGTGATACGGTATTGTGTACGTTGCCCAGCATAGTTGCAAATACGTACTACCCATTTGCGAAGAGACACACGCACTTTCCCCAAGTGGTGCTCGGTGTTGCTCTACAGTGGGCAGTGATAGTCGGTAGTTGTGCTATGGGCGGTGGCAGCCCACGGGCCAACACATCGGTTCTCTACCTGTTCCTGGGCTCTCTGCTCTGGACGGTGATTTACGACACGATCTACGGCTTTCAAGACTACGCAGACGACATCAAGATAGGTGTCAAAAGCACTGCGGTTCTTTTTGGGGAATGGGGAAAGCCTATCTTGTGGCTCATGAGCAACTGTATGGCGGGTCTGTTACTCGCGTCAGGCCAAGCTGCTGAGATGAGCCTGATTTATCTTGTGATCGCAGTGGGAGGTACCTTTGGATGTCTCAACTGGATGATGGCCAGTGTCAACCTCAAATCTCCCGACAGCTGTGCATGGTGGTTCACGTATGGCTTCTGGGGTCCTGCCGTATCGATCTCGCTTGGGCTTCTTTGCGAATATATCTTCGCCTAGACTCATCGATCCGCGCGATAGTCTACAAGATGTTGAGGATAGACGGGCTGCTGCAGGCAAAGATACGCAACAGACAACCAGACAACCAATCAGTCAGCCCCAAGGGTGAAGTTTAGCTAATGCCCACCATCTCTATCAAGGGCGGTATCATGGTCGCCGGGTGCTTTCAGGCAAGTCACCGTAATTCAAACGATGGACAAACTAGGAGACCTAGGAAAACAAATTTAAGCCCTCCCTTATTTTGTTAACGACTGTCGTATCTAGTAATACAACCAGTTGCACCCGTCTCTACCTTGCATTACTTGTTTCAACAAAAGGAGTCGTTCAGTAACCGCCAGATGGTGACTCAGCCGCAGCTCCAATGGCCAAGAGCCGGGTGCAAGATGGAGATGTCTGATTACTCTTGAAACTCGGAAGATTCGCCCAATAGCTCACGGACCATGTGCCACATGGATATCCAATGAAACAGAGAGAACTTCTCACTATCCCTGAAATGGTCTCTATTCTCCTCGCTATTAGAGGCCCTCCCATACAATAAGTACTGGTCAGTGCGTTTTGCTTCTATTGCTTCTATGTATGGGAGCTGGTCCATGAGCTATCAGGCGAATCTTCCGAGTTTCAACGGTATCTCATTGTCAAAAAGGGAGCCAAGTAAGTTAAACCTTGGCCAACCACACAGCAGCTGGTTAGGAGAGGGTTAAATACTGTATTGAGTTCGATGCTCAATGGCGCCAGGGCATTGAGTGACCCTGCGGGTCCCTCTTTTTTCTACAGCTACCCAGGCTACCTGTCCCCACTACCTAGAGCTTACCTAGGTAGCTCCCGAACGCCCCTGGCGCCAGCCTACAGGTGCCCCTCCAACGAACGTCGATCATCCATCCATCCCATCGATCCGTTTGAAGAAAACATTCATTCATCAGGATATGTTCAACACGAGCAGGCTATGGGCTTTCGATCAAACATAGCTTAATTAAATCTCCTCCAAGATGCCTCTGTAAGTTCCCACGCTAGCCCTCTGCGCTACTTCTCGAGGCGCTGTACCGTAGCAACTCTAACCCCACCTGTCTCCCCTGCAGCCATCTTCTGGGCAAGAAGTCATGGAACGTCTACAACGCCGACAACATAGCGCGCGTGCGGCGCGACGAGGCCGAGGCCCGCGAGCGCGAGCTGGCCGAGGAACAGCGCATGCAGGAGATCGATGGGGAGCGGCGCCTGGCCATTCTCCGGGGCGAAGTGCCGCCGCCACTGCCCCGAGCGGCATCGGCAGAGGACGCAGGGCCGGACGGTCGATACCAGCGCGACGCCAGGGGCCAAGAGTCCTCGCGCGACTGGGCTAAGCAGGGAGGCGGCGAACGCAGGAAGCGCAAACGCGTGGGCGAGGACGACACGGACTTTGAGATGCGCGTGGCGCGGGAGCGGGCGCAGTCGCACGGCGCGCCGGACTCGACGATGCAGACGGGATCCAGCACTGCCCTCGTGCCGCACAAGAGCAGCGACGCGCCGCTGACGGACGCCACCGGCCACATCGACCTGTTTCCCGTGTCATCTGCGTCCGGGACCGGGCCGCACCAGAAGAATGCCGAGGCCGAGGCCGAGAAGGCCCGCAAGCGCCGCGAGTACGAGGACCAGTACACAATGCGCTTCTCCAACGCGGCCGGGTTCAAGACGTCGGTCACCGAGGGCCCGTGGTACAAGAGCGGAAAATCCGGTGATGCGGAGCCGGGGCCTGAGGAGGCCGGAGAAGTGGGCAAGGATGCGTTTGGCAACCCGGACCCGGGGCGGCGGAATCGCGACGCCGCACGAATTGATGCGAATGATCCGCTGGCGATGATGAAAAGGGGCGCAAAGAAGGTTAGGGAGGTGGAGCGGGAGAGGAAGGTCCTGAATGAGGAGAGGGAGCGGGAGATGAGACGCCTGCGCAAGGAGGAGAGGAGGGACAGAAAGAGGCGCCGAGAAGACGACGACTTGGACGGGTTTAGCCTTGATGGTCCTGCACCAGAGAGCCGCACACGGGCCCACGGGGCCAGGCGAGGCCATGACGAGGAGAGACGGCGAAAGCACCGCTCATCGCGCCACGATGAGGATCGTGATCGCAGGGAGAGGAGCCACCGTTCCTCCGGCAGGGACAGTGAGAGGCATGGGCATCGATCCGAACACCGGCACAGAGACGGTGACCGACGGCAGCATTCCCACAAAGACCGCGAATCCAGAGACAAGGAAAGCCAGCTAAGAGACAGCCGCCTTCGACGCGAGATGTCGAGGACGGATCATTATTAACATTACTATTGGCATAGGAGTTGGCGTTTTCTAGTGATTCTAGCATAGAGATACCCCATAGTTCCAGTCGTTTATTAGCAGAATGTCTGCGCTCAGACACAATACCCTCAGGCGGTAGTTTTCGCCCTTCGCGACTTGCCATGGTGCAGGCGTGGCCGACGACCCAATGTGACGGACGACCTCCTCGTCGGCGTCATGGCCCCGGCGTCGTCGTCCCATTTCCAGATGGCGCTGGACCCGCTCCGCCGGCCGATGATCCACCCCTCCCGCGGATCCCATATCACGCTGCCGGACCGCGCGTTGTCCTATGCGCCGCGAGTCTTCCACGGCAGCTTGATTTCCACCGCGAGCATGTCCTTGCTGACGAAGTCGACCACCTTGGGCGCCGCATCCAGGCCCTTAAGCGCCTTCATGACCTGGTCCAGCGTGTCCTGGCTCAGCCCCTCCTTACGGTCGCTGTAGATGTCGACGCCCTCTTTGGTGAACAGGGTAGGCGCGAACCAGGTGACAACCCAGCGCTCGACGCCGTCGGCGTGCGGGCGCTCGCCCCAGCCCAGGACCTCCCAGTGGCTGCTCGCGATCTTGAGCCAGCCCTTGCCGCGCCAGTTCCAGGAGCCGGGCGTGGACGGGTCGGGGGTGTCGATGCCCTCGACCTTCTTGAGCGAGCCCTTCTTCTCGTACTCGACCAGGTCGTCGACATTGTCGGTGGCCTGCCCCGCGGGTGCGGCCAGCGGCTTGTAGGTGATGCGCACGTTGCTGGCGGAGCGCCACATGGGCAGGGTTGAGTGCGTCACGGACCAGGTCCGGCAGACCCAATCGAGAGGCGGCGAGACAAAGGTCGTGTTGGATGTCGTTGCGGGTTGCGACTTGTCTGTGAGGTACTTGGATGGGGCGCGCAGTTCGATGGTGCTCGGGGGCGTCGTGGCTGCCGTCGGCGTCGTCTCTGGAGCTGCCATGTTGATCTGAGGGTTGCGCTGCACGGTAGGAATATGAATTGATCGCAAATGTTACAGGGTTCAGCCGAAAGATCCTGTTGCGACAACAGTTGTGAGTAGCGATGCCAGGAGCAGATAGGTTGGGTAGTCTCTTGGAGATGCGAGATGCGATTATGGAACGGGAGCTAGGACAGGCGGGTGTACGGCCTTCTTGTACCGGAGGGATCAACGAACGGCGGCGAAATGATGCCAATCTATCACAGCGTCTGGCACTGTCGATTGGTCGCTGAGAAAAGAAGTATGTACAGTGAACAACGGAGGCAAGACAGCAGGAATAGCTATCCCAGCGTGTCCAGCTTCATATCGGCATCTCGAGCTTCCGGCACTTGCCAGCGGAGCCAGGGAGCTAACTCAAGGGACCAGTGACCATCGATCAGTTAGCGTTTCAGGGATCCGGTGATGTCACAGCGATTACAGAGCAGTCGACCTCCCTGGGCCCTCCTATAGCTCTCCACTGCCATCCGATTGGACCTCGAGGTGCTTAACTTACGTGCTGGCTGATCAACGGCGCCACCGCCTCGCATCCTCTTGTGAACCTGCGCCGACAGTCGAGTTGAGAAATCGCGATTAGGACTGAGTTCTTCTTCGGACGCCTTGTCCTACCTCGGCCAGATGCGGCTCTTGTCCACGCAGCCCGCACAGCAGGCGACGGCGCTGATTGTGAGAAGTGACGGGATTCCCCACAGCCCTGGAGCCCGGCCAACCCCAGTGCAGTTGCTGAAGAAAGCCTGGAGAAGCCAAAAGCAATGCTGGGCAAACTGTCAAGAGTAGCCTAGGCCAAAGTCTAGCAAGCTAAGGCCGGGGCCCCTTGCCCACGTTCCCGCACCACGAGGCTGAACCGAATGGGGCACAAGGCCTTAAAAGTTGAGTTGGTTTAACCACCGTATCTCAGTTTAGCGATATTGGGCCATCCCGACCCGAAACTTATGGCCAACGTCAGTTTCTCCATTCCCCATTACTTCCACATTCTCAACCCAAGCACGTGGATCTGGGCGAAGAGAAGTTCTCAGGCTATCGGAGAGAGGTTTGCAGACAGCTTCCTTTCCTGCTATTGGTTCCTTTGGTTCTTGTACCTGGGTCTCCTTACCCGGGCTCCAAGTGACCCCACAACAAATTGTTTCTCAAGTCGCAAAGTTTGAACGTCGCGAAATCCTCTCTGATCGTCAAGCAGCTAGGCCGACGTTGCCAATTTGCCCGCAACCCCCGACCTCGACGCCTTCCCGACCACGTCCCAGCCATGGACGACGCCGACGCCGACGCCATGGCCCGCGCCATGGGCTTCTCGGGCTTCGGCACCCAGCCCGCCAGCAAGCGGCGCAAGTACAATCCGCGCATCGACGAAGCCGTCACCGACGCCGCACCCGCTCCGGGCCTCCCTGTGCGCCACAACCAGGGCAAGGGCGCTAATTCGCTGCCGTTGGGGGTCAGGCGTGCAAACAAGGACGAGATCTCGCTCGATGATGATGACGACGACGCCGCCGAGGACGGGGCGCCCGCCGTTGTCCAGCAGGATGAGGTCAGGGCTGGGGGAGCACGGTCGTCTAATGGGAACGACGACGAAGATGACCCGGAGCCTCAGTATATCGACACGTCGCGCCCGTCCTTACCAGAAGTAGACGATGTCCAGTCCAAGATCAACGCCATCGTCGGGTCAACGACAGATCCAGCCCAGCCAGGGCCCCAAGGCCCCTTCGCGGGCGCTCGAGGGGGACATCGTCCGGGAGGCCGTGGCGGTGAACGGGAGGGCCACGTGTGGTACGAGGACTACTATGATCCGACGACGAACATGAACCCCTGGGAGAAGCTGGAGAAGGATCTGGGCTTGAAGCCGACGAACTCTTGGCTGACCTGGGAGGAGTCCAAGGCCCGGTGGCAGGAGATTCAGGAGAAGAGCCTGCAACAAACGCCTGCTTGAACACTTCTCGACTGCTCGAGTGCGACGCGGAACTACCATGTAGCGTCGAAGAGCACCCGAGATCACCAGTGTTTATAAAGCGATCATCGAATACCTGTCTTCTACCTGGCTCAAGGTGTCAGACACTCTACCGGCCGGTCTATGGCTCTCCGGCCCTTGGGTGCTCAGCCATCACGTGACACCCTCCGTCGTCCACGTATTGTATGTCTCACGGGGTGACTGGAGCTAGATGGTCATGACGCGTGGAGGGAGGGTCTTGCCCACCTCCCTTGGGCCACCCAGGGAGCCCCAGGGCTTGATCACAGGCCACAAGCACCGTGTGGACTACATCACTACGCACATGGGCTATGTCAACAGGAAGAAAAGCCGTTATATTAGTACGCCGAGGGAGACCAACTCGTCATGGTCCAATGGGAATGACCAAAGCGCTCTGGAATCAAGATATCAACACACCCTTCTCGAGCCTAGGGGGCACCACGCCGCCGTCCAGTACAGAAGAGGTAATATCCACGGCCCCGAAATGGCAAAGTGCCATCGTCATCGCTATGGACTGTCTACAACCCTGTCTCCTGCCTCGCGTGTACCCCTAGGGTCAGACCAGCCTCCATTTTTGGCTCCTGCCGCCTCATTCCTTGCTCAGCACCAAGACCTTGGTTCTGTGACTTCCATGGGCAACCCTGCAGTCTGCTTGCATATCTGCAGCCCTGCCGCCGCCTGTCACCACACCGGTCGCACGCAGCTCGCGTGGCTCCCCGCTCTCCCGTACATGCTAAAGGATGGTGTACTTTTGAAAATGGTGTCCACGGTGTACCCAGATTACTCCCCTCGTCCAATCATAAGTCATGTCCTCGTGAAACAGCCGCAGCCCTCCCGCGCCGCCGCTGCCCTCCTATGCAGCAACGTGGGGAACGAGCCGAACAGCTCGATGCAGGAACGCCCGCTCTGTCCATACCCACCCACAACCCCATCATTGACACTGCGTCGTAAAGCAGCGACATGATGGCGTCTGGGCCAGGGGCCGTTCTGCCGCGCGCTTCTCCTCGACATCCACCAAACAACGCCAGGTATTATTCCGTGCAGATCCACGGGGCCGAAAAAGGAAAGGGGTGTGTACGCATGCTGCAGATGCCAAAAACTGAGATCCCAGATCCCAGATGGCGCCAAAAATAGAGATCCGCTAAAAACTAAGACATGGGGTAGAAGATGGGTAAGGTGAGTTTGCTAGCCCTGGCCGTGCGGCTCAAAATCTAGTACTCGGGCGAAGGGTACCTTTCGCGAGCCTTCTTGTACTCCTTGGAGTGCTTCTTCGAGGCCTTGGTCTTCATAGAGCTGTCAAGCTTGTTAGTCTCAATTCATGTAGCAGTAGATCGTAGTCCCTGCAGGATCTTGCAGGCTGCCGTTCTCTCGATGCAATTAAAGTTGAGGCTCTGGGGCTACTCACGAAACCTTCTTTGACGTCCACTCGAGATTGGCGCGGACTTCTTGCGCATCCTGAACTCCTTCTTGGAAGCGCGCGCGCGACTTGGCAAGACGAGCTTGGGCCTTCGCCTGTAGCTCGAGGAGCTGTCTGTGCTTGTTGTTGAGTTGCCCAGATCTGAAGACGGTTATTAATAGGTCGCTCTCCACATTGCTTGTAGGATCTTGAACATTATACTTACGTCTGTGCTTGGACGGCCAAACTGCGGTCAAGCGGGATTGGATCAAAAGACTCAGCAAAACGATCGTGAATATAGTCATTGAAATCCACGCCACTTGCGGAGGCAGATGTGTCCCAGTCGCCGCTGTAACTTCCGTCGTAGGTAGAATCACCAACGGAGTAGCTGTTGCCATAAGACGCGGTACCTGATGTTACAGAGGCATCATGGTCCTCTGGCGGCGATACGGAGTAGGCGCTGCCGCTACTGTGGTAATAGGCCGAGTATTGGTCGCCCTTGGTGGGGATAGGCACACCTGTTGTGTAGTAGTGGGACGAATAGGAAGCCATTGCTGTTGATATAGAGGTGTATAGGGGCAGAACAGTATAGGTACTGGTTGGAGAAGTAGGTGTGGTTCAGGGGAAGTATCAACACTTGAAGTGATATGAGAGTTCAATGAGAAACTAAGACAACTCTTGAGGGTTTTTCCTGAACAGTGCAATGGTGTTCTGGGGACTCAGGAAAGTGATGAGGAAGGAAGAGGAAGCAAACAGACCAAACCCATCAACGATACCCCTATTTATACTTTTTCCGAGCCTCCCCGGCTCACTAGAAAACGACATCTTCGTTGCCAGAAGGATAAGTCCCGATGAAACTATTCGCCGAGCATAACGAACCCCGCTCGATGGCGAAGAGGAAGGTAGGAGGCAAGGGGCCGGATAGAGTGGTGATGGGTGACGATGCTCTAGCCCGGGTCCTAGTGCTGTCACTCACTTACTCGTTTCATCATCTCCTGCGGGCAAGGTGTAGAGCCAACGCGCATGCCGGGGAGTCTGGCCGACAAGCAGATCCCTGACCGTATATCTGCCAGGAATCAGAAGCTTGGATTGGCTCCACGGCTGAGTTTCGATTGCTCAGAGAAAGAAGCCATCAATCTCGTCTGCATGTGCCGAGAGACGATTGTCCCCCTTTCCTAGACTACATGGGTGGAGACGACCTCGTTGGAGGGGGGTGAGAGCCAGAGCAAGCGAGCAGGGTCTAGATAGTTCGGAAGTCAGGAGCAGAATGGAAACTATCACCTCTGGGGGTGAACCGATGGTCACGGCAAAGGGGGGCGGAAACCAGGCGGACGTGTTGCCGTCAGTCTCTAAGTCTTTGCAACAGTAGCTACCTGACAGATAGTGCCCGGCTGACTGACTACTTGAACTAAGGATAAAAGCGGTTGGAAGTTAAAAAGTCAGCCTAGGCAAAGCAACATTACCGGTAGCCCGTACGGATGACGGCGTTTCCAGATGGAGGATGGAGCACGCACCAAATCATCTACTTGAACACTGGGGCGTGCTTCAGTCAACTGGATCGGACGATGACCCTCATATGCAAGGTTCTCTGTCGAAGACCCAACGGCTTTCTGCTCCCACGCCCCCTCCAACAGCCAGAGGCACACAGAACAGAGGAGGATGAGGGCTTCAGACAAGCGCGGCTAGACTAGCGGATGGCAAAAGCGGCGATGGATCGCGTCTGGGCCACTGGCCCACGAGCCGGGAGCTGGGAAGGAAGAGAGGAGAGCCTGCAGCGGAGTCAGAGATGCGTTTGGTCGATAAGAGTGGGCATGGAGGGAGGCATCGAGCGTTGAGCCGTCCAGAAACCGGCGTGCTGGATATTGTTCCAAGCCAGGAGTCCGGTCAGGCAGAAGTGCAGCAAGTCGGGCAATTTTTTTTTCTTTCGTTGTGTATGATGTGTTGTCAAGTCTCCGGGGGTGTGTCATCAGCGAATACAATTTCACGTTGCATTTCCCTCCTCGGGCTGCCGTCGAATTATTTAGTCTGGAATTTATGTGCCCTTTGAATTAGGAAAGACTACGCAGCAGGCAGGCAGGCAGGCAGGCAGGCACGTTCTTTTCCTTCAGCCCAGGGCCTTGCAGGGTGAGGTGACTTTTCTCCAAGCTGCACGCAATCAATCCCCCCAAAACCTGGGGGCCCTGTCGCTTCCGCATCGGGCTTGGGAGGCGACTCTGTCTAGAGAAATTCCAGAAGGGTGCAGGGGAGTTCCAAGAATTGGCTGAATTTCGCGAATTTCCATTGGCCAGAAAGTCGGGATTTCGCTGGACAGGGGTGGTGGAATTGAGCAGAACGAAACGTGGTCGTCAGTCAGTCGTGACCTGACCCCTCTTCAGGTGCTCGAAAAAGTGCGTGCGATTGCCCCTCCGTCATCCGTCCAATGCCCCGCCACGGGACGCTGTTGTGGTGAGCGATGATGATGGCCGTGTCTCCATGGACGAAAATGGGCTTTGCGCCTCGGGAGTGCATTAGAACACGGAGCCGGCGGACATTGCGCGTGCAATGGGGTATGGCTTCGTTTTGTAGTGGCCAACGAGTAGCCTGCGTACCGTCGAAACGGCCCAACCTGCGCATTACCCAAGGGGTGGGATGCTGCATGTGATTTTAGTTGCGTCCGAGATACATTGACAACTAAGACTGCATGCGCTGGCTGCCTCACCCTCATGGGTGGGTTTCCAAGGGGGTGCGCTCCGTCCCGCACGAGTGAGGAATAAAACAGTCGGCCACTGGAAGGCGAGATACTTCACACACTGGTATCTCAATGTAGACTCGTAGTCTGCTGCCATATAGATGCTGCTGGCGATACAGGACCACCTTCTGTTATAAGATGCCGCAGATGGGCTGCGTGTATATACGTGTGCCGCATACTTCTAGACTGGCGGCCACTAACCTGTAAAGACTGGAGCGGGCGAGCACTAGATATTTGATTACACACCAAGTAGTGGCATACAGGGCCGGCGAACTCTAGTAGGCAGGCTGAAAAGATCCTACCGGTTGCTTTGGTGGTACCCAAACCTTGCTCGGTGAAAGACAAGGGGTTTTTCGTCGTGCTAAGAGAAGCGCAAGTCCAGCCGTGTCAGCAGACCAGCATACTGACTACAGGGTTTCATGTCCACATCTGGCTCTTCGAAATATACAGCCCTTCATTCTGTGCGTCGACAGGCGCTGACACAATGCTCCTGAGAATATGAGCTTCTACGGGCGCCAATTGTACAGCCTCTTCATGTCGAGACAGATCATATTTGGAGCGGACGAAGGGCGTTGACCCTTACGGCAAACAGTTGCTGTTGGAAGGTCTCATTTCTGCCTATCATGTCGTCGAACTAGGTAGACCCAGCTTTCGGGTCCATGTCATGTTGGGCTAGTCATTTCTGCATTAGCTCATGGAGGTCGGCTTGTCTCGTACATAATATGTACACGCCTTGCCGGGCGGGCCCTCATCACTGTTGGTCTTCTAAAGTCCAGATGATCGCCTAGCGACTTCGGGACAGGGGTCTTCTTTAGTATACGGGCAATGTCCATACAATCTCAGAGGATTGCTTGCTTGCTCGGTCTTGAGTCCTAGCCCTGCCATAATATAGAGGCGTGTCCTTCACCATGCGAGGAAGAACAGTAACCAACATTCATTGAGTAGAGGAATATTGACTTGTGTACCGAAGCATGACGAGATGAGCCCGGTGGTGAGAAAATACATTCTAGCCGACTATGGGGGTCATGCAGGAGGCTTGGTTAAATGCGGTGGATACCGACTAGGTACAGCGAGCAGTAGTATGTGTTGTATGTCGGAGTGTATGCAGTCGAACAGTAATTGCGCTCCGATGATGATGGGGCAGTGTCTCATAGGGTGGGTGAAGTAGCCGAGTAGGCCTTGAGCATTCTGAGAGGCCAATTCCGCCTTGGGTGGCGGTTTTTGACAACAAATTCTACATGATTCTGAATGCAGATTGCGACGTTGCCTCTTTATCTGTATGCAAGTCCACATATGCGCTGGACATTGCGAGTTACTGCTGTCTAAGTCCTTCGAAGTACTCACGATATCTAATCCGAGATGCATGTGCCTACTCTTTTGGGATCATAAGCCGCTGGCCTTCAATAGTTGGTCACTGCAGCGGACGGTGGGTTTCGACTCCCTCCCAAGAGACCCGGTTATGCACGATGTATCTGTCCCAGGCAGTGGACGATGGCCCGGCAATGTGAGCGTTCAAATCCCAGAGGCAACGGACCGGACTGTGCGGGAACCGAGTCTAGCTATTGGATGCAGACATCATCCCGATCTAAGGAGCTGCACAGGCGCTGAACTCGCACTAGCAGCCATGCTGCAGATGAGCTTGCGACCTTGTCCTTGCTCAGAGGTCATCTGAGTTCCACGATCCTTGACACCATAGAGCAGAGAGGGTAGTTTATGCCAAATACTTCGAACAGTCATCCCACCCGGATCCTTGTCCATCTGGGGCCAGCCAATGCCCTACCATCCTTGTCTTGCCCATGCCAACGCCAATCAAACAGTGTTTGCTCTGTCTTGAGTTGTCCTTCTACTGTAGTTCGTCTATCATTAACCAAAAATCTTGAGAAATCCCCATATGCCGATGCCGCTCAGGACCGGTATCGTGAGATTATCATCCCAGCCAAAAACATCGATCACCTCGCTGCCGGCCGCAACGAACCCGGACCATAAGCTCATCAGGCCCAAGGCGGGGACTCCACTAATCGTTGTTTGCTCTTCGCTCAATCCAAGCAAGCCCGTGACGAAGTGAGGTAAGCGCAGGGAGCCGCTGAACATGAAAGGATGCAACTCGTCGCCTGGGAAAGAGGGGGTTCGTGGGGCGAGCCAACCCCAGAACCAACCGGCCGTGATGACACCCACCAGGAGTGCAGCGAGTGAGCCTGCAAGGGACTTGCCTCGTCTGATTCGGGGAGTATGTCTGCCGTATAGTCGACCAAACGTACTAGCGGCAGTATCGCACCAGCTAAGGAGCATGACAGAAACAACAGCCACGTCCTTGGGGAAGAAATGGAGAACGATCCAGGCCCCCAAGAGATAGAAAATGACGCCGTTGTATCCAGAATACTCGCTTTCCCGCATAAAGGCACCAAGGCACTTGACGTAAAACCGATTTAGTGACGCATATGTGTGCCGGAGGAAGTCGGTGGTGGCAATGGGTATCAGAAATCCCATTAGCCAAGGGGTGACCCTCGATGTCTGTGTACCAGTTACGTAGAGCCAATACACCAGGAAACCGATCGACACGTGCAGGACCTTCCTTGGGACCTCATGCTTGTGTACCAACGTTCTGAAGTGTCGGTGTATTGGAATCAAGCCCAAGGGGCTTGGGCTGCGACTAAAGTCTCGCCAGTTCCAGCCCGTCGGGGATACTGGCGTCGGCGCAAGGTGGCCATTGGATGTCGTGAACATCCCATTGGCATGTTCGTTCAGCTCTTGTTCGGGGGCTTTGGCAACCCGTTTCGATCGTGGCTTCGTAGTGGACGAGAGACCCGCGACTGTGCGTGTCTTGATCGGGCTTCGAGATCGCGTCCGGGCCCGCCGAAGATCTGGATCCGACTCTTCATCCACGTTTTCCTCGATAGGCAGCTGGGGTGTGATGCTGCTGCCAGTTTGACGCCTTCGCGCAGCCGAACGGGTAACAGGCCCGAAATATGAATCTTGGGAGCCATCGAGGAGGGTTTCTGAAGGTGTTGGGCTCGGAGAAATGACGCGAGGTGTTGCCGGAATGACCGGCTTGCCGCGAGTAGACATGTCGTAAGGAAAAGGTGGGAGAATAGGATAGAAAACAGCACCGGTAAAAAGTCGTCGTAAGTCGTAAAATCGTAAAGGCCAGAAAGTTGAGTGGAGGTGGTTATCTCTTCGAGATTTGCGCGTGGTGAAGGGAGAATTGGTGCCAAAAAGCGAGGCGGCGGCTGGTATTGAATCCAGCGTGAATTATGATGACGATGATGCAGCAGAGGCGAGCCCTACCGCATGCATGATGGTTGGGGGAAATAGAGATGTCGCGGACGGGGCTCAAAAGCCTGATCTGGGGCACATGAACCGGCTCATCCGAGACGCAAGAGGGAGTCCAGATGATAGGCTGGCAAGCGACAGTCGGGGTGGCTTGCGATGGTGGACAAGTTGGATGTTGCCAGAGGTTGGTCAGATTGAATTTTTCACAAGCCAGATACAGATACCTAGGTACAGACCGACTCAGGCGCCGAGCGGTGACATAAGGCGGGCCGCCGCACACGATCAGCACCCCGGCTCCAGCCCGCCAATCCCCCAAAGCCCCCCGTCGTTCGCTTCCACCGCGACGGGTTCCGTCTCCAGCGGTCCATGCTGGGATTAATTCTCCGGTCAACCCAACTTATCAGGTCTGTCGGCGTTCCTGAATTGGCTCCGTTATCGAGCTGCACTGCTTCTAGGTTGGCAACATCTATGTCTCTCAACACACATATTATCTTGCCACTGTGCCGCTGTGCGGCCACGAGTTTGGAGACACATTCACGGACTCCTCAAATATTACCTAGGTACTTTGGGTCATTATTGGCCAGTAGCTAGTGTTAACCTTATTCTCGTCCCGTCTTCACGTTAACACCAACCTCCTCGAGGGATTACGATGGATTACAGAACACCCACTATGGCATTGAGACCTTTTCCCGTGAGACGATAGTTGTATTATAGATCAGGATTTCAAATTCAAGGCTACATCAACAACCCGAGTAAGTTCAGGCGCCTCCTGCGTTGTTGTATGCAAGGAGGTTGTTCGACGACAAGGCCAACCCCACGACACCTTCGTTTGCCAACGCCTGGATTCGCTCACAGAGGGCAATGGGATCACGCTCTCCCTCGAGCGCCAACAGGTACGCGCCCAGGCCAGTGACATGCGGCGTGGCCATGGATGTTCCGGAGATGATCCCGGTCGAGCCGTTGTTCCAGGTCGAGATGATGTCAACGCCAGGTGCGAAGATGTCAACACCGGGTCCCCAGTTAGAGAACGAAGCACGCTGATCGTTGGACTCAGTCGCTGCAACGGTGCAGACGCTCGGCTCGGATGCGGGCGATTGCAAGATGGCGAGAAGACCATCGTTACCTGCCGCAACAGCCAGGAACAGCCCAGCCTCAACTGCTGATGCTGCAGCATCGTTGACGGATTGCGAGAACAAACGCAAGCTCCCCAGTGACATGTTTGCCACAGCTTTCCCAATGCCTATCGGCTGTCAACATTTGAAATAGGAAGGAAAATCACCGATGGGTTATCGCTTGACTCTCAGGAGGACTACTTACGACCCTTGCTGGTTGCGTCGTCAACGGCCCATTGAATACCTGCGATTATCTGACTCAATGAACCAGAACCTTCAGAACTAAGGACCTTGACAGCGATCAGGTTGGTTTTCTTGGCTACACCGTATGTTGCTGAGCCAGTAGTTCCTGCGACATGTGTACCTGAAGGGAATGTCAGATCACGACCCTACAACTTAGCCCCTAGGTGAGAATGGGAACTTACCATGACCATGGCCGTCAACGTTTTCTTCGCCTTCAACGAAGTTGGCGCCCCACGTTGCCCGGCCTTCAAAGTCAGGGTGCTCAGTATAAATACCAGTATCGATGATATACGAGTAGGTTCCTTCTCCGGCTGATTCGTCGTAGATGTATTCTGTCGTTCCGGGTTCTACGTGAGAAATTCGGGCAAGCCCCCATGGGGCATCACTCTGAGTTACCAGAGCATTCAAAGAAACCTTGGCATCCGGCTCGATGTATGCAACCTGTTAAACCTAAGGTCAGCCAAAACGAAGCCGCCGTCTTTGTATATTGGCTCTGAAGTCTGACCTCACTCAGTTTCGAGATCGTTTCGATCAATCCGTTTGCTGCGGAGACATGATAGCCTTTGAAGTTGCCGAGCGTATAGCTGAACTTTGGGGCCAGTCCGCCAAGGATATCTGTCGCTGACTGGATACTGCTTAGGATACCATCACTAGTCGTCTCGGGCTTCAAGACAACGATAAACTCGCCCGGGATAGTCGTATCCTCCCTCGCCTCGAGGATAGGAGCCCCAAGAGCAATAGGAGCAGCAAGGATTAAGGAAAGCAACTTCATCTTGCTTCTAATTGGGATATGTATGAATTCTCCGAACAACCCAAGATAAGGAGAAACTGCCCAGAGAAAGCTTGTACCTGGGGCCGGCTACCATTCGCCTTTTATGAGCTTGCATCTACCCGCCTGCTCCAACCTCCACCCTTGCTGCCTGTATTGTGATATGCGCCTCAATTGCACATGTTGACCGACATCTCTCAACTTCGGCTCCGCTGATGGCACGATGCCTATCACGACCTCAATTCGGCAGAAGCCCTGTGGCCGGCCAAGCGCTAGTGGGCAATAACCGCAGAGTTGACAGCCGGGGCGGTCGCTCTTGAGGAGACGCCAAGACACAAGCTTAATCCTGAACCGTGGAGGGCGGCCGTCGATCCCTATGTTGGTTACCGCTTCGAGCGACAAACCTATTGATCGAGAGTCTGAGCTCTTGCCCTTTGCCGCGTTCCCCTCATTTGGACCCTGGCCAAGGATGCAAAACAACATGCAAGATTGCCATTCATTGCCCTTGGTGACTCGTGGGGTAACCGGGGTTCACTTGTCAGTCTGCAGCTGAGGGTTATGTTATCATTACGATGTTGTATGCATGCATTTCGCAACGTGAGCAGGCAACCAGGCTTCAGCACTGTCAGGAGCCTGGGATGGAATCGCACATGACAAAACGAGGGCTCTTTGGTCGCTGTAGGTGCGATTCGCATCGAAAGGGCCTCGTAATGAAACAGCCTAACACCATGTGAGGTATGTATCAGAAAAGGGACTAGATTACGAGCAGGTCTGTTGGGGGAACAACGAATGTCCCAAGCAACCGGCAAGGGAACTGGTCGTTGGTCAAGATGATGAGCAGATGCTGATCTCGCCCCACCTTTCGGTCCAAGTTAGGGAGCTATGATCCATAGAAGATCACTTGTCCTTCAACGGCGATTCGTCCTTTTTCTTGTTGATGCGATGTGATGTGATATGGTATATCCTTCATGCTTCTGGTGAGTCTACTGGTTGTAGCATTGGCTTGGCGGGTTGCCCATGGATGATCAGACTAGAGCCAACACATTTAGTCCCTCAAGAGGCTTTGGTCATCGCAACGTTCAATTGATACAGTTCACTTCATGAACTTATATTACACAAACGGAGGCTCGCCTCTCGGTGCCTCGAAGCTGGCCATCGGCAACGCGTAGAAATCAGTGCATCCCCGTGTCCCCGTGAGCTTCTTCAGGCCCAACGGACATTACCTATCGTAATCGTGTCTTACAGCGTGGGACATGGGGTTGGTTTCTTCTGAGTCAGCCTGCAAACCTCCAATGCCCAGAGTTGAGTCTGCCGAAGATTTTCATAGCTTCCATGGTCCGCGGTTCAGTCGGAGGAAGAAACCAATATCACAGAGGGAGCTCCCGCCCAGAGTGAAAGACGAGCTCGCAGCAGTGATGTTTCCCCGGGGTAGGTCCTTCCAAGCCACTTGGGGTGTCCTAGGCACAAGAGAGGATAGAGTTCCAGTCCTAGCAAAGAAGCTGTAACGTTTTTCAATTCGAAAGCTGCCGCTCACCGAAGTAGGCGCGAGCCAGGAGAATGCACCGTAGCCAAAGTCCGCCGTGGCTCCGGGCAGCCGGGCTCGTCACAAGGTCGGCACCGGAGGCGGGCAAGCTGTGACAGCGGGACGTAGGCAGCCCCTCGACCCGTGCACGAGACGCTAAGCCGCATTGGCCCAACTTCGCCCCACCAGTCAGGGCGTCGAAACGTCAGATGCGACATGGCAGGCAGCTCCAAGCGGACCCAACGCATTTCTGGTCAACTACAAAGAACATCTCAGCGACAAGACGACATCGTGGCAACCCGACGCTGGAAGCGCCACTCCAGTTCTGGTAACTTCTCTTCTGTGTTAAGGAAAACGCATCATTCGCTTGCCACTGCATCCTCGAGCAAACCGCTAGGCGGCCTGGCATTTCGCTGCCTGAACCACACATGTAACCACCCCCACCAACAACCTGGAACGCACCAACTTGTCATCTTTGTACTGACCAGATGTCCACAACCAGAGACTCATACAGACGAGTTCAAACGACGACAAATACCCATTACCGAGATACCAGCCACGTCATACTTTCAAGGCCACAGGAGCCTTATCACGGCGTTCAGACCATCTGTTCACACGTGAACCAGCGATTTACCCAAGTTCGGCCCCGCGCCATCTTCGAATAGACTACGACGACATTTCTCCTTCCATCTTACACCAATTCACCAGATATCGTGTTTCTATCAGCAGCTATGGACTCGCGGAACGCTCTCTTCGGCAGGGGACCTCGCGCCGGGCTGCCTGGTCGGCAAGTGCAAGGCGGAAACCCAGCGGGTTATAATCAGGCTCCCCCGCCGCCCCCTCGAGACTACGGCGGTCCCGGGGACTACAACTCACAAGGTGGCGGCTACGGCGCTCCATCGCCTGGATACGGTGCACCACCACCATCTCGCCAGCCGCAGAGAATGTCTGGTGGTGGCGGTGCTGGCTACGGCGGCGCCCCAAGTCGTGCTATCCCTCTCGGCATCGAGAAGCTACCCAACGGGCATGAATTCATTTTCCGCAATTTGTCGGCAGTATCGCCCAACGATTTTCAGTCACGCGATGGCGGTGATGTCTATGTCTTGTTACGAGGGCCGTCACTTCAGGGCGAATATGTCGTCACGGCTCGACCGCTTCCGGGCTTTCCGAGCGGGAGAATCAGTCTGGCGGAACATCAGAGATCGTGGTGCGGCATCGCGATGCAAGACCAGTTCACTGGAGAGGTGTACGACCCCTTTGCAAACAGCAAAAAGGCTTACCTAGGCACCCTCGACCTCGAGGTTGGCTTTGCACGGTCGAAGGTGACCGAGACTCCTTACGATCAGGATAAGCTCTCTGAAGAAATTGCCAAGCTTTTTGGAAACCAGATGTTCTCTCCCGGTCAAAGGTTCCTAATGGATGTGCAAAGCATTCCATTGGCTTTTACTGTCAAGACGGTCCAGCTTGTGGACTTAAGCATGGAAAAGGGAGGCACCTCGGACGCTCCCTCTACCAGCGACAGAAGCGCCCGGGGAATCCTTACCAACGTCACTACCATCAACTTCTTCAAAGACGCAAAGTCCCCAATCAAGCTGAAGGGGTCGGCAAGGAGACCGGCTACCAATGCCATTCTCCGACCTGACTTCAAGTTTGAGAATATGGGCATTGGAGGACTCGACGAGGAATTCTCCACTATCTTCCGAAGAGCGTTCTCCTCACGTCTTCTTCCTAGTGGCCTCGTCGACCAGATGGGTATTCCTCATGTGAAGGGCATGCTGCTCTTCGGCCCTCCAGGAACCGGAAAAACCTTGATTGCCAGGCAAATCGGAAAGATGCTCAATGCCCGGGAGCCTAAAATTATCAATGGCCCCGAGATCTTGAACAAGTTCGTTGGTCAGTCAGAGGAGAATGTTCGCAAGATGTTCGCAGATGCCGAAAAGGAATACAAGGAGAAGGGCGAAGAGAGTGGACTTCACATCATCATCTTTGACGAGTTGGACGCTGTCTGCAAACAGAGAGGCAGTGGAGGAGGTGGTGGCACTGGTGTTGGAGACAGTGTTGTCAACCAACTTCTGACCAAGCTAGACGGTGTTGAACAACTCAACAACATCCTGCTTATCGGTATGACCAACCGGAAAGATATGATTGACGATGCTTTACTTCGTCCTGGTCGTCTCGAGGTCCATGTTGAGATTTCGCTTCCTGATGAAAATGGCCGTCAACAGATCTTTAAAATCCACACGGCCAAGATGCGGGAAAACGGTCGCCTAGAAAGCAATGTCGACATCAGAGAACTTGCGGCCCGAACGAAGAACTTTTCTGGCGCCGAGATCAATGGCCTCGTCAAAGCCGCTTCTTCATATGCCTTCACCCGCCAGGTTAAGATTGGGGAGCTCTCTAATCCTCAGGTGAACTATGATGACATCAAAGTGGGACAAGAAGACTTCCTCCTCGCCCTGGAAGATGTTAAGCCGGCCTTTGGTGTTTCGGAAGAAGAGCTCGAGTCCGCGCTCCCTCTCGGCATCATTCCGTTCAGTCATCATATCAACCGAATACGTTCCGACGGTCAATTCTTTGCCAAACAGGTCGCCACCTCGGCGAACCAAAGGCTCTTCTCAGTACTTCTCCACGGCCCTAGGGGCTCAGGGAAAACGGCTTTGGCTGCTGATATTGGCATCAACTCTGGTTTCCCCTTCGTGAAACTAGCCAGTGCCAAGCACATGCTTGGAATGAGCGAGCAAGGCAAGATTGATTACCTACGGAAAGTCTTCAGCGATGCCTACAAATCCCCAACGAGTATTGTCATCCTTGATGGAATCGAGAAAATGATCGAATGGACACCGGTCGGACCGCGATTCCAGAGCGGTGTCATGACTGCAATTAGCGTCATGATGAAAGCGGAACCTCCCAAGGGACGACGCCTCCTCGTTCTGGGCACAACGTCTCGTCGCAGTATTTTCCAGCAACTTGACGTTCTTGAATTCGACCGTGAGCTGGCTGTTCCTGCCGTGAAGGATGTGACAGAGCTTAAAGCGCTGCTTGCAGCCAGAGGTTACCAGCAGCAGGATGTCAACGAGGCTGGGTACGAGGTTGAAACTCTTATCGGCTCAACTGAAGTCGGGCTTGGCGTTGCTCAGGTCCTGTCTGCCCTAGAAACGGCGGAGGCGAAGAGTGCTCAGGATGATCGACCCATTGGGCAAATTTTCGCTGGGGAGCTTTCAGAAATCATGACCACCATGTAAACTCTTACCGATATCAGATGGTGAGCATGGGGGATCTACCTCCATGCCCTTTAGAACTGGGGATAAATAAATAAATAAATTAGACTTGGTTCAAAATTACCTCACTGCATACTTATCAAGATCATGCCATTGTCAGGCTACCACTCTGGCCAGCTCCAGGTCCACCGGCGGCCTTGTTGATGGCAAAGAAATGATTACCCAATGCCTGAGGTGTTGCTGGTGAGGATGGCGCTTTTGGGCCTTGGGTTTTTTGTAGTCCGTTGATGACGGCAAGTAGGTACAAGAGCGGCCACAAATCCCCTAGAAGTCCGGGGTGCCCCACGATCTCTTTCAGGACAATCTTCCTTGACAGCCAGTGTATGTTCCGGAGCACTGATCCTGGTTCCGAACTTCATATGTACAGATGCTGTGATTGAAGCTCATAGGTCTTGGGGGCTTCCCTCGAAACGAAGAATTGGCCCTCGAATTGATACATATACCAAGCGCTTATCTCACAACTTAATGGAGGCTCAAGACCCTCTCTTATGTGGTCTCTGAAGGCTCGAGGGGGAAAAACACATTGGAGATCCAATCTCTGGAGTTCCCAAGTCCACCAACATATTCTAGGGTTATTGTCACATGGCATGATCAGTTTCTGCTGCTGCCGAGCTGTCATGTGCCCTCGGGCCGTCCCTTGAACCCAATTAGGTGACTTGCGTCATCTCTTGCGCCGCTGTACTGAATGGTTCGACGCGCAACTGTGACGAGAGGCGCGTTCTGCAGCGAAAGGCTACATTTATCGCCCGGACGGGCAAGGGTGAGTGGATCTGCACTCTGCAACCCTCAAATCACGAGATCGGACGTCGCTGCGAGAGTGGGCACGGGTGTGACAACTGTGCCGCTTTGCAGCATCTCGGGCCGCGTCGCGTTCTATGCGAGCCGGGCGCGGCAATTTGGTGGCGCTTAACGGTGCGCTTCTCTGGCTTGATTGGTTGTCTATGGAGAGGAGAGAGCCAACATGCATATATATCCCATTTGATTTTCTGGTTTCTACGGTATTTCTGGGTCCCTCTTCTCCGTTGTGTTCTAAAACTTCTAACCTCTGATCGCCGCTGCTGCAGCACGTGTGCTGGGGAGACCATACTTTCTGATTATCATGGCTCGATTTTCCGATATACCAGTTGAGCTTCTTCTACATGTTGTCCGTCTGCTGGGCACTTGGACGGATCTCACCGCTGTCTTGGCAGTGAACCGGTACACGAAAAAAGTCGTCCAACCTTTCATCCTCGACCAATTAGCCAACACAGACCTCCTCTCTGTGTACTTGTCTTGGCTGATTGATAATCAACATGCCGACGCCGTGCAAGCAGTTTTGGACTTTGGCGCAGACCCAAATGAAATCCTCAGCCAACTGAAAACACGATTGATACTTGACGAGGCTTTCACATCGTCATCGTCGCCGTCGCCGGTAATCACGTTGCATTATCGGCGAGCAGGCGGATTGGAAGCCTCATTGAAGGAGCCCGGTCATTGTCGAGAGAAAGACGATCCTGGTGAGGACGATCTTGGTGAAGTCTCCAACGGTGTTGCCGCCCCCGGAAAACCAGGACTTTCACGACCATGGAGGCTCCTTGAATATCTATCGTTTTATCGCGGCGCTGATTTTTCTCCTCTTCATCTTGCGGCTCAGAGAGGCAACGTTGAAATCGTCGCAAACCTTCTTGGCCGTGGTGCCGATGTGGAGTCCTTGTCCCTAGATACCCTAGGGAGTGCTGCTATGGCAATGAGAATCCTATTCCCTGGCTTGCAGCAAGGTCAGAACACAGCCGATCAAACACGACCATATGTATACTTCACTCCCCTATATATGGCTGCCATTTCGGCAAATATCTCCGCGGCAAAGTGTCTTTTGGCTTCAGGTGCATCGGCGAAAAGGTGCATCGTACCGAAGCACAATCTTTTGGTCTCTGGGTGGATGGTGCCCACGACAATAATACACCTGGCTGCCTTCGTTGGTTCCTCGGAACTGGTCAAATATGTGGTTGATAATCGATATGACAGTGGGATAAATTCGAACGACGAGTCCGGCCTCAGTCCGCTGGCATACGCCACCGTGAGCGGAAACTTAAGCACCGTGGGGCTATACCTGCTCCAAAAAGGGGCTAACCCGAACGTTACCACCTCTCTTAAGTGCAGTTTACTGCTTGAGACCTGCTGGCATGGGCGATTTGGTGACGCACTGCTGTTACTCGACTATGGGGTTGAGCTTGGGAAGTCACAAGATCTTATTGTGCCCGCTCTCCACGCATGCTGTAGGACGAATAATGGCCCGTTGAGGATGTCTAGTAAATGGCAGAGTGACATCCCAACATCATCTGACCGGCATCTCCGAGCTCAAGTTGTCAAAAGACTCGTGGAATCCGGTGCAGATGTCAATGAGCAGGTTCAGTTTCCTGGTCTGGGTCCCGATACAACGACCCCTGTACTGCTCGCAGCCGAATCCGGATTGGTAGATGTGGTTGCTGAACTGATTGCTGCTGGCGCCAACGTTTCAGTTCCGAACGCCATGCACCGCAATGCCTTACTGGCGGCTATGGGGGGACATCAGGACTTGCTGTCCAAATACGACACGATCTCCTACCTCCTCGAACAGGGTTGTGACGTTAACGAGAGAACTGCCTGGGGTGGAACGCCACTTCATTTACTTGGAACCATGAGCACAAGGAATTCACATAGCTATTGTGATCACTGTGAGGAGATGATCGGCCGAGAGCTCATCACACGGGGCACAGATATTCACGCCAGAACCACTCAGAGTCAACCAATAACCGTCTTTCAAGTATTTTGCAAACTCGGATCCTACACGCTGTGCAAGGTATTGGCAGACCTTGGTGCTGCAAATTCATTGAAACCTCAGGAGTTCAAAACCATCTTTCGGAAACTGGTACAGAGTCGCTCTGTTCACCGTACAGATACCGAGGCCATCAAAATGCTTGATCTCTTACTGAGCCTGGATCGAACCCGATCGATTTTGAAAGACGCTGATTGCTTTGACTTTGCAGTTTTCAGCGGAGACACGATAATTGCACAGATGCTGCTTGAAAGGAATTGTTCGCTGGAGTCAAACGGCACTCAAAACTACCACTTCGTGTCCAGGGCATGTCTAATCGGAGCGGTCGAGGTTGTGGCGCTGCTTCTCGACCGTGGTGAAGACGCCAATGAACCGCGGTCGCTCGACCTTCAAGGAAAAACCAGGTTCCAGACCCCTTTAGAATGCGCCATAAGGTACAGCCACGACCTGACTGGGTGCCTTCTCGAGCACCGGCAGAAGTCCTTCCAGCTGGTAAAGCTTCTTCTCGACCGCGGCGCGTTCCTTGGTGGTCATGACCTTGTTCGCGCCGTAGTAATGCAATGTATTGGGTCCGATTTGTGGGAAATACTAGACATGCTGTTAGAACGCTGTGACGTTGGGATACACTCAGAGAGCGATATCAGCGAATATCTGGCGGCTCTTTGTGATTCCAAAGAACGAAGATGTCAACCAGAACTGCTGCAAGTGTTCTTCAAGCATTTCCTGAGGGCACCACGGACACTCAAAGTCATGAATGCGAACTTTCGCAACCGCTACAATCAAACTCCCATTTCCTGGCTGCTTTGCAGGTACGAGCCCTTACACTTCTGTCCATACGAGGATTGCAACTGCGGTGAACGTCTGCTGGACTGTATCGTTGTTCTTATGTCAGGCGGACAACTATCATATGCGCGCTCGCAAGCAGCTGAAGTGGACGAGGTCCTCACGCAGTGGTGGGATGACTTGAAGGGGGCTGTTCGCGATGCTACTTTACAGATGGGAGGACGCGTCACTGGAACAAGTCCTGGCGGGCGGGGCCGAAGTACCAGGCATTGTATAGAATTCCTGATGGACAGGCTGGGTTTATCAAGCGCCGACATCAGGAACGTGTCGACCCGGGCCACGTTCCTCAATACAGTTCTATAGGTATTTCGTGACTACTTGGGGTGCTCACACAAAACTGGAGAAATTTTAAAGAATTGAAGTGCACAAACAAAATTATGCCAGGAAGGATATTGAACAAAGTTGAGTGTATCAAAGCCCTGGGTACGCCAAAGTGGTTGCCAGAGAGGAAAAAGACCATGCCATAATCTGCACGCAGTTCTCACTATAAAAGACGTCGGCTCTGATACCCTTACTGGGGGGAAAACGACTAACTAGGGGCTTTCGGACCGAGTCCTACATCTTGAGGTGCAGAAAATGCGGGCATTATAGAGTTGCATTTTCATTCTGACAAGTACAACCAGCGATTTATATACTACCGCATCGGTAAAAACTTCAGGAGCAGTAGACACAATGGTAATATACAAGTCATCTAAAATCAAGCTGACGTTGAACCGAAGCATATACTATCCCCCAATGTCTTCCATATCTTCTTTGTTTCAAATCTTGCATTTATTCCCAACCTCGACAGAGAGCACAGTGTCCTCTGATTTCTCGCCCTGAAGGAAGCCACGGAAACAGGGGCGATCTTTGCTTGCCTGCGTCTTCGGGTAGTTCAGCCAACTATATGGGTGACGAGGCTGTCCCTACGCCTTACTGGATGTACCCAAAAGGACCTAATTGAAGAGAACCTCGTCCAAATAAAACAATTCAGAAAGGCTTTCGTCCATATACTATCCAGCTGCAGAGTGGAAGTCAGTCTTGAAACCCCAATTTCACCAAGGCGTTAGAAGCTTACAAGGGATAGTAGGCCTTAAGGCTCAGATCACGGTACTGGGGCTTGACATTGGCCACCATGTCGTCGATCTCGAACTCCGATAATCCGTATCCCTGGAGCATCTTCCACGATATCCCTCGCAAGTTGTCCAACATCATCCTGCTATGGTAGTGCCCTGCCTTCTTCAGCTTCGGATGGGAGTGCCATGCGTTAATCGGTAGACCTAGCGTCATTTCCACAACGTCGACAACTGACTAATGTTAGCTGTCGTCTACAAGTAATTGACATCATCTAAGAGCTCGAATACCCTATGCGGAATTTGTACCGCGAAACCAAATGCTGCTTGTAATGGGGAAGGCTCTCATTTAGACTTACACCCTGCCTCTTCTAACCAGCGCTTGTAATGCTTGGACACGAGGATGTCCCTGCCCAATCTCGCGCTTCCTTCAATAGCCAGGTCCAGAAGTTGTTTTAAGGGGTTATGATCCAAAACCCTCGGACCCTTTGCCGATCGGAGCTCAGGTGAGCCGTCCTGGAACTCGATCCATCCCCCGGGATTGAGATTCTCGAAAGCAGACTTGATGACCCGTCGCGGGTCGTCAAAACAGGTATAGACATATCTTAAGTGGATATAGTCGAACTTATAGCTGTATAGCCACTCCTCTTCTGCATCTTCTTGGACAAAGTTGAGGTTTGGAAGCCCAGGTGTAGGCTGAATGAGTGTCAAGTCTGAGCCGATGACCGTTGATTGGGGATGTTGCTCCGCAAACTCGCTAGCCCTATGGTGATTGAATTAGTGGTATGTTCTCAAGAGTACAGCCGTTTCTATTTTGTGGGTTGTGAAACTTGGTAGCATGTAGTTCGTATTGCGGTTTCCGCGCTGGCTTGAACTAGTTCCCAATGGTCTAAGACCATCTAATAGCCAACTCACCATATACCCGTCCCCGTTGCAATGTCAAGCACATATCTTGGAGATGTGATAGGGGCGCATGACAACTGATCATCCATGAGAAGGATGGTCCCCGCATGTTGGAAGTCAAGGCGATCTTGCTCGGCCTATCAAAAAGTAAGCCACCTAACAGGGATCATGTACCCGTCGGACTACATACAGCATCGTTTGGCAGATAATAGCGATCTGGTTTATATCCCTGATACGTCCTTCCGTTCGAGTCTTGGATCGAACCCGGCGCGGCGATGGAATCCCCGCTCACATCATGGATCCCTGCTTCAGGATCTGGAAGGACGACTTGAGGTAGTGGAAGTGGCATTGTCGAAAGCCGCGAAGTTTGGGACCCTCCGTTTGTGCCAGTAAAGATGGCTGTGAGTTGCCGGTTAGATGGCACTTGGGCCGCATTGGGTGCCCCCTCAGCGACATGGCTATCTATTCCAGCATATGGAGCAGAGTTGGCCCTTCCATGAACATGTCGTAAACCGTGAATATGATCTGGCTGGATAGGCAGAGAGAACTGGGACTGGAGATAACTTCGCCAAAGCTTGCCCAGCTCATTTGGCCTGTTGCACATTAGCAAATGTTCCCTGCAAATATCTTTTAGAGAGGGGACTTACGAAGAAGACCTCGGCGCTAGGTTCCTGTCATCATCGGTCTGGTTGTGTGTGTGTGACATAGTATGTTAATTGGAGGTAGGTCGCTGATGCAGAGGCTTATGATGCGAGAATCCAGCATGACAGGCAAGAACCAATACCTAGTCAATAGCCACGACGCACCGTGCCTGGTTTCTGGGGGTTGAATCTGGCTGTGGGGTGACTCCTGTCGCGACAGGGGGCGAGCTGACCATTCAGGAGTCAAAGTTAGCCGCTCCAACTATGTCCAAGCCTCCTTTTACTTAATCCTTCACCTCGCTTCCAGACTGTCGGATATTTTGAGAGGCCACGTCCTCATGGATTTCGGCAGTTCACTGAAGGTGAAAAATTGGGGTTGGTCGTAAATAGAGACTTCTGGCATGACACAAAACAGACTATGCTACTCGCGGTCAAGAATACAAGTTGTGCACTCAACCTCCTCTTTTGAAGCTTTGACTAAACCCTGTGTACATCTCATAAAAAGAAGCAGCTCCGGTAACTCTACGCGTGACATTGACTGGCTATCAATCACAGGAAGCCTGCATACTAACCATAATCAACCTGCTCAGCTCAAGCTGCAATAGAGCGCGCGTAATTATTGTCAGGTTTTCAGAGTTTACATACCAGGCGATGCAAGTTGTTAAACCATATGTATGTCGAAAAGCTCTGCACCATGTGTTTAGGCCAATAACCCGTTCCCATTCGACCTAGCCTCACCTTACAACGTGGTCTTGCTGTCAATATCTACCGTTTCCCCATCATATGGCTTCCTTCCATACACGATATAGCTAAGCGGTGATGAGCGCTTGTGGCACGGCGGCAAGCGGGGTCGTCAAACTCACAACGGCCAGAATCCATGGATATCTGTGTTCTGGAACTCCTCCTTGCACTGAGCGACGAGCTGCTCAATCTCAAGCGGTGACAGCCCCTTGCTCTGAAGCATCTTCCACGTGATGCCGCGCGCGTTATCCGTAAGCATCCTGCGCATGTACATGCCGGCCCGCCGGAGCCTCTTGTTGGAGGGCCAGTCGTTGATGGGCCACGGGCGTTTGAACTCCGTAACGATCACAACTACCGAGTCGCACCGCGTCAGTTAGTCCACGGTCATTGGAGATCATTCCGTAGTTCCCGGAGAGAAAACCGAAGGGGGTCTTGGAGCCCGCTAGGGAGAGAGAATTGGCATTGACTTACACCCGGCCTCCTCGAGCCACTGCTTGTAGTACGGCGCCACAAGGATATTGCGGCCCTTGGCGGCCGCGCCCTCGATCATCAAGTCCCAAGTCCGCTTGATGGCGGTGCCGTCGGCGTCGAGGACGCGTGGGCAGGTATCGTGAAATTCGATCCAGCCCCCCGGGGCTAGACTCTCGAAGGCGTACTGGATCACCGTGCGCGGGTGGTCAAGGCATGAGTGCATCAGCCGCATGTGAATATAGTCGAAGTAACCCGGCGGGTATAGCCAGGGTTCCTCGACGTCCTCCTGCACAAAGGTGCAGTTGGCTGGTTTATTTTCCGGCTGGATCATGCTAATGTCGTTGCCGATGATGCTGGACTCAGGGTACTGTGTTTGGTATCAGCTGTGGTTGCCAAGTGTGGCGAGGTTGTGATATCTCACTTTCTGTGCGAACTCGATTGCCCAAATACCACTGTATTTTCGTTGTCAGTAAGCTTCATACTTCCCTCCTCCGCGAAGGCCGACCCCCATGATCTTGATTTTAGAGGCTACATTTGTTTGGATGCATTCATTTAGATTTAGAAACTTGTTTCTAAGAGATAGGCGCACCGTTTACTCACGTTCCGGTTCCAATATCCAACACATTCTTTGGCGGACCGGGCAGCGGCGCCCATGACAGCAGATCCCCCAGGAGGATGGTGAGGCCGGCATGCTGAAAATCTAGGCGGTCCTGTTCAGCCTACCACCATCAGGAGTAAGCGACCGAATGTTGCCACGTGTCATGCCTTCCAGAATGATAGATATGCTTACCGGATCGTTGGGCAGGAAATAACGGTCCTCACGATATCCTTGGTAGGTTCTCCCATTCAAATCGACAATCGAGCCAGCCTCGAGGACCGAGGAACCCGTGGAATCATGCAGGTCTGGCTCAGTATCAAGGAAAAAGTCGGACGGTATCAGGGAAACCGCGGGTCCATTAGCTAGCATGGTCTGGTTCCAAGTTACCTCACCAAAGCCTGTTCCCTGCTGTGATGGGAGCCTTTGAGATGAAAGCAATTGGGAAGGCCATAGTGGGACGGCATTGCTCGAACCATGTTGAGACTGACCCTGGTTGAGAAATCCGTGATAGTTGGAGTTGGGGTTCTTTGAATCATTCTCGGACTGGCTCTGACCAGAAAACTGCCCAGAGTAATTATAGTTTGCGTTGTGCGACATGGCCGAACTATCCCGCTCGGCGCTGCAATCCGAGGGGTCCTCTTCCTTCCGATCGGGGCGGGTTTCTCCCTTGCAGTTCGAAGGGGCCTCTTCTTTGCAGTTTGAGGAGACCTCTTCCTTGCAGTCTAAGAGAGTCTCCTCCTTTCGATCTGAGGGGGGTTCCCCTTTGCAGGATGAGGGAGATTCCTCTTTTCGGTCCGAGGAACTTTCCTCCTTGGGAAAAGACATGTCGAGGATCTTATTCATCCCTACTATATGCGAGTTGTGGGCGGTACGAGTCCGAGTTGCTGTTTGCTCGGCATCCCGAGGAGAGGGGTGCGGCACGGCCAGGCAGCGGGTCAGACATCGATGCGCCTGGCCACTCACGGGTCACAAGTAACCGCTCCGCATGGGACCCTTGTTGATAGAAAACCATCCATTCCGAACTGGCGGGCCGACAGCGGAATCATGGATTGCGGAGCGTGCCAATACTCTCTGCATTCAGGCAAGAAAGTCCAGTATCTCCTAGTAGACGGAAAGATGAGCCGCAGACTTAGCGCCGCCTATAACCTTGGAGCTTTAAAGGTTTATGTGAGGGAATAATCCAAGTAGGGAATTGCAGTATAAAGCAGACCCTTCGCGCACTAGGGCTTCATAGCGCCGACTTTATCTGTCGTGGCTTTTGCACCAGCTTTTAGCAGGTTATACCATTCTTAAGCATTCAGTTGCGCCCGACCCTAATATGCTATGTTGGTACTCCGTATATAGGCACTAAATAGCCAGGATCTGGCTCGGTCTTTCAATTATGGCTTCGTCGTCACGAACACATGTATGGACTTACACCCATGCAAGCAGTAACTTACTCAAGTGGAACGATTGAGTTAAGTGTCAATCGTTAGAACAGATGACTGGTGGTACCGAGCTGTATTGATCTGGCCCGATCTGACATGATTGAAGAAGAGAAAAATCCAAGGGCGTGTTCTCAGCGGTACCCAGGTAACGTTTCACATCGTGCCTTTTGGTCACACGCTCGGCATCCCAATACATCCGAAAAGCACGATGACAGTACAGTTTACCATATATTTTGCTTCCCTTACATAAGTGTTCTGATAATCAATTCCCCCATACGCCCGTTGACAGCCCCGCACCCGCTACATGGCTTCACGTTTATGTATAGGTCGTGCTCAGTTGATCTCAAGTATGCGGTCCTGAGCTCAATTCTGATCCGACTTCAGCTTGAAATTACTCAACCAGAAGCTACCGGTCATTGTCGCAGTTGTTCGATCCCAACCCAGGTTGTCCAGACTCTTCTGCTCTTCAACATTTTGGTACAGTTGCAACAACCATGGCATTGGGAGCTTATCATTTCGTCATCGCCGGCGGCGGCACAGCCGGGCTGGTCCTTGCCACCCGTCTATCCGAGGATTCTAGTCATTCTGTCCTTGTACTGGAGGCCGGCTCCGACCACAGCGACGATTTGCAGGCCAAACTCCCGCCTTATACTCGGCGCTCTTTGGGGGGGACGCTGATTGGAACTTTGCAAGCGAACCCAAGTACGTACCTACCATTCTTCGACAGGCCATCGCATTCAAGGTAACCTTGCGTTCTTTTCGTAGCCGAATCTCCTGGGAAGAGTAGCCAAATTGAATCAGGGCAGAGGCCTCGGCGGCTCAAGCACCGTGAACGGCCAGGTTTGGGCTCCATCTACTCAGGAAATCATCGACGAGTGGGAATCTCTTGGAAATCAGGGATGGAGCTGGCATTCACTTCGCAATGAATATGACCAGTCCAACACATTGCCAATGGTCCCTGAGTTCATCAAGTATACGCTGGGCGCGGATAGTTGGCAGACGACCAACAACACCGCTTCGGGTCCAATTCGAACCTCATATCCGCTACCGACGCATCCCATCAGAAAGGCATGGGCAGAGTCTTTTGAGCAAGTTGGGTACCCATGTGGCATCCGGCTATATCATGTGCCATGTTGCCGCGGGAGATCGGCGGCGTTGTTGAGTCGCACTTGAAAGTCCATGGCGTTAAAAGGGTCCGCGTCGTAGATTCGAGCATCGTTCCACTACTCCCTCCAGGGAACTCGCAGTCAACCGTATACGCTATCGCAGAGAAGGCAGTACGTCTGATCAAGATGGAATATGGCTTAGATTGATAGATCAAAGAATGAGGACTGCATAATACTATACCGTATTTTCGTAATTATAACCGTAATGACAGGGACCCTGTTTAGGCAAAATAACGAAAGGTAACACCAGTTTCCATACGTCCGCTTCAGCTTCGATCAAATCACATCACATGGTTCTATTCCTTGGACTCAAATCATATATGATTCTCTACTACTCTAGCATTGGTCTACTCCACATTTTCCAGCGCGAAGGACGGCGACCCGGGGACGGCGTTCTCGGCCATGGGGGGCAGCTCGGGCTTGTCAAGGCCCTCTGCGTCGCCGCCGACGACCTTGCCCTTCTTGCCGCCCTCCTCAACCTTGACGAGGTCGATGGCCTTGAGGCCGGCCGTCTTTTTGAGGCCGGGGATCATCTGGCGCAGGATGGCGAGCTCGTCAAAGGCCAGCTTGCGCTCCAGGACCTTGTCGGCGGGCTCGCCCGACTGGAGGCGGCGCTTGATGGCCTGCACGAAAGGCATGGCCTTCTTCATCTCGCCCATCTTGCCGATCCGGCCGTTGAGCTCCTTCTCGTTGCTGAAGGTCTTGGTGGTGGGGCTCCACTCCTCGCGCAGCAGGTCGATGTACTTCTCCTGCCACGCGGGGAACCGGTCGGTCATGAAGATGGTGAGCTTCTTGGGCTTCTTGAGGTCGAAGGAAATCTCCTTGCCCTTGGCCTTCTTCTTGGCCTGTGCTGCCTCGGCTGAGTTGATATTCGATGCCGTGTTGCGCACGTATTCACGTGCTGCAGAGAGGGTGGCATCTACGGCGGGCGCAGTGGGGAAGAGAGCATTCTGGATCGTCTCGGGCTTCTTGAGGACCTCGAGCCAGATGTACTCGGACCAATGGGGTGCAATGACGGTAAGAAGGAGGGCTTGCAACTCGATGTAACGGAGGGTAATATCCTTGTGCAGCTTGATGCCAGCAGAGTTGCAAGCTTCACGGTAGAAGTCACGGGCGTTTGTGAAATCGTACAGACCGGCCTTGAGCGCCAGCTTGTAGTCGGTAGCCTCGTAGTGTTTGTGCGCCTCAGCAACAAGGGCGTTCATCTCGTTATTGAACAAAGCATCCTGGAAGGAGTTGAGCTCGCCAGTGCGCAGCTCATCCTGATCCTTGACAACTTCTTCGCACCATTCGCGAAGGTTGAACAGGCGCAAGACGTTGTTATCTGCAACGTCTTCCTCAAAGTTGGCATCCGTGATACCGTCACCTGCATCAGCAAGGGCGATACGTGTAGCATCGGCACCGTACTTCTGAAGCATGTCATTGAGGGTCATGAAGTTGCCAGTTGACTTGCTCATCTTCTCTCCGTTGAGTGTCAAGTGGCCGTTGGCTCTGACACCCCTTGGCCAGTACTCCGGAGGGAAAAGTGCCAAGTGGATATAGAGGAAGAACGTCAGATGGTTAGGGATGAGATCCTTTCCAGACACACGGACATCCAGAGGGTAGAAGTACTCGAATTCGCGGCGCATGCCCTCGAGGGTCTCCTTGGAGATCTTTGAACCAGAGAGGACATCATCACCGATATCTCTTCTGCAGAAGATGTAGTCCCAGACCTCATCAGTCATCTGCTCGGCGCCAACGTTTCCGGTGCCCTTCTCGCGCCCGAAGATGTCTTTGTGGAGGATATGGGCAACGGTATAGTAGGCCATGTAGACTGTACTGTCACTCAAACTCTCCACCAAGAACTGGGGATCCCAGGGGAGCTTGGATCCGAGACCGTAGGTTCTTGCGCAAGCCCACTGGTTCAGCCAGTTGAGGACTCCTTCGAACTGGTTCCTGGTCTCGCTGAAGTATGTGTTCAAACCCTTGCCGTCCGCGTTGCCCACCCATTCGAGGGCGGTCTTCTTCCATGAATCCTCACCATAGTCGAGGTACCACTGGTCCATCAAGGCAACAATGCAGTCGTCTCCTGATCTGCTGACAACCTTGCGTTCAGGCTCCGAGTAGGCGAACGCTTCGCCAGCATCGATGAGCTCCTTTCGGACCTTCGGCTTGGCCGTCTCGACCTTTTCTCCACTGTACTTGCCAACCTTCAGGGTACCCTGGTAGAAACCCTCCTTGTAGGCGAGTTCCTTGGCCTCCTCCAACTGCTTGGTGTCCTTGGGAGAGGCAATCTTGAGTTGCTTCACCAAGGTAGGAGCGCAAAGGTCTCCGTAGGTGGGCGTGTCGATAATGGGGAATATTTCGAGCTCGGCCCACTCCTTCTTGATACCGTAGTAGTCGGCCTTCTTGGCGAGGTCGGTCACGGTAGCGAAGTCATCGGGGCTGTCGGAGGGGACCGAGGTCACGACTCCTGTACCCTTGGTGGGGAGAACTGTATCCATGGGGAGAACGCGGACACCCTCCTTGTGGAGGGACAAGGGCGCATTTACGAGAGACCCGACAAGGTCGGAGCCTTGGATCTCTGCCACCTTCTCAATCTTGCCTTCTTCAGCAAAGATGCCCTGGTATGCCATGTTGCGTGCGGCGCGGTCCGTGACCAGGTAATATTGGTTCTCCGACGCCTTGAAGATGCCGTAGGTGATCTTGGGGCCAACGAAACAGCAGGTCTGGCCGTACATGGTCTCCGGCCTTAGGGTTGCGGGGACCATGAAGACGCTGCCTCCGCTGGGGATCTTCTCCTTCAAGAGCTCTTCCGCCTTGGGTGCCCACTCAAGAACCTTCAACTTGAGAGCCGTGTACTCCTGCGGGCCGACGGCCTCACCCTCAGATCTGTCGTGGTCCATACAAGGCTGGCCGTCCTTGATGGAGTAGATGGTGTAACGCTTTCCGAACTTGATCTTCTTCAACTCCTTCAAGCGGTTCATCTGCCATCGAACGAAGGCGTCGTAGTAGGGGTTGGCATCAGTGGTCACCATGGATCTGCGCCAGTCGATACGAGCTCCAAAGTTGGTCAAGTCGCGCTGGCACAGAGGGGGGAAGAACTCGAGCCAGTACTGCGGGTCGGCAAAGAGATGAATCTCCTGGAGCGGGATGCCAATGGCCTGCATGATCTGGAACTGGTACTTCATCTTGACGGTCTTGGCGGCGGCCTTGCCCTTCTTTGCGGAGAACTTGGTCGGGTCCTCCTTGGCGGCCTTTGTCGGCGCTACAGGTTCCTCCTGAACGACGGGCTCGTCCTCCTTGTAGTTCTCGAAGTCGCGGCCAAACATCTTGACCTCGTTGACGAGCTTGTCGGCGCATGCCTTGATGGGCATACCGGTGCAGTGGAAGCCCATGGGGAAGAGGGTCCGCTTGCCCTGCATCCGGGCGTACCCAGCGCCGAACTCGATCTTGGAGACGGAGAAGGAGTGGCCGGCGTGCAGGGTGCCGTTCATGTAGGGGTAGGCCATGGTGCCAAAGAACTTGGGGTACTTCTCGCGCAGCTCGGCGGCGGATATGGAGTGGAGGGGGATCTCGGCGGTCGAGGGAGCATCGGGCTGGAAGACGCCATCCTCGTGCCATTTCTGCTGGTACTTCTTCTCGACAGCAATGAGGGTGTCTCGTTTCTCGGTCTGGGGGGAGTCAATTACACGTTTAGATGGAGAGACAGGGGTCGACGGGCAACTTACGCCTTTCAACTCCTTCGTCTTGGAGACGGTGAGGCCTTCGAGGGCCTTGGACACGGAGGTGGCAGCCATGATGGAAACCAGGAATCGGGTGTCGACCGAGGCGGAATATTCTGGGACAGAGCGCGGCGACGTGGGCTCGTCTTATAGATGCCGATGCACCCGCGCAAGACGACAAATGAGCGTGTGAGTCAAGGGACCCGGAGCCTCAGACGTGTTGTTTGGGCTGAGAGGCTGAGAGGCTGTGAGGCTGTCTCGACGCTCGACGCTCTGAGTCAACCAAAATTTGAAGCTCGACTGCGACTCAGACCACACACCAGACCAGGCGGCTGTTTCGCGGGGTCAAAATCAATTATCGCCCAAAAGTCGCCTGGCCCCGGGGTCGCTCTTGGAGGGGTTTATGCAAGCCCCTGCGCCCGCCTGGCCCACTGAGTAGTGCACGTTGTGCTATCGCCTCGCCATGCATAACTTGTCTTATCGTCGCCGCTCCAGTCGAACAGCTGTGCCGACGCCAGCCCTGGCCATGACTGACCCGTGTGCATCACGAGCTCCCTTGCAGCGTTATTGCAGCACTGCGGCACCTGGCGCATCGAGCGCCCATACCATTGACTCAGAGACAGTGTCCGACTGCGCACCCAGATCATGTTCGCAACACTTGTCCGACGCGCGGCCGCGGACTCACTGCCTGCCAGGCTGAGGACCGCGGCGAGGCCGCCGCCCCCGGGCGTCTACAACAGTCGCTTCAAGCCGCGGAAGATCTGGCCGCCCGACTTCTCCAAGCTGTCGCAGAAGGAGCAGTTCCGGTTCGAGAAGAAGTACAAGCGCAGGGTGAAGCTGGCCACTGCGCGCCCGCGCTGGGACAGGCTCGTCAAGATGGCCCAGCTGTTCAGCGTCACCAGTAAGTCTGGCCCGCACTGGTACTGTCGCTGCGGGCGGCGAACATCGGTAGCTCACGACGGAAAATAGGCGTTCTGATATACAGCGTGCTGTTCATGGACTGGAACACGGAACACCAGCCCTTCCAAGGAGTATGTTTCCACCTTGAGCCACTCATGCTTTAACAGACCGACTGACTGGCCTCCCACTTAGCTACGAGATAGGTTCTGGGGCGCCGTGGAATCCTTCTCCCCTGACAAACGATACGATCGTCGCAAGACAGAATAAAGGCCGCCCACGACGACGACGCCGCCTTGTACATTACAGGAATTATGCATTGCATGACCCGGAGTTTTTTTTTTTGAAACCGGGCAATGGAAATACCCATTTGAATTACCAGATGTAAATATATATTGTCGTCGCATGCTTGTGACAGTAGTCCCTTTTTGCAGCCCTCTCCATGGAAACGCGAGATGCAATCCCTAAGTGACTATAACGCCAAACACCGCCCATGCACGTTGTCATTGCCTCTTTCTCAACCCATCACCGTCCCGGCCAGACGAATGTGCCGCCCAGTCCCGCGCCCAGTCCCGCCCCGAGCCCCGAGCTCCTAGTCTCGTTGACGGGCCTCTTCGCGACGGTGCCCTGCGACTTGACCCCTGCGACGATGCGGTCCAGATTCGTCTCGATGACGACGCCGCCGACGATCATCTCGCTCAGGGTCGCGTGCAGGGTCTCGAAGTTGAAGATCAGGTCCAGCTCGCAGACGTTCTCGAACAGCTTGTCGAGCGACTCGACGTAGACCTGGATCAGGTCCAGCAGGGCGAGCGGGGACTCGGTCGAGGTCGAGATGACGATGAAGTAGAGCGTGGCGTAGTTGCGGTAGGTGACGAGCGAGGGCACGTCGTTATGGGGCTCCGAGGCCGAGTGCGAGGTGCCCGAGGCGGCGAGTATCGGGGGCAGCGGCAGGAAGTTGCACGCGCCGTCCGGCCGGTTGGAGACGAGGGCAAAGATCTCGTTGATCAGGCGCTGCTGGATGCTGGTGTCCTGCGGGCGCGCGCGCGCGCGGGCGAGTTAGCATGGACGGTGGCGGGCGAGTGAGCGAGTTACCTACGAGCTGTGTGTAGAACTTTGTCAGACGAGGCTGACCCTGGCCGTTGAAGACCAAGACGGCGTTGATCATCCTATCGGCAGCATCCGAGCGAGAGAGGTGTTGTTGATACTGTCCCGTGTGAAGCAGGGCACCGTGGTGACGGACTCGCCGTCGTGCCGCCCCAGCGTCGGGCTGGTAACAGGCTTGTCCGCCCAACCGGCCCCGCCATAAGCCTATAATCCATCCATGGATAAGCCTCAAGCCTCGCCGGCGGGTTACAAGACACCAAGACACAGCGGGGCTATGCTGTGCAGATGCGCACTATGGCACACCACCTGCAGGTGGGCAGCGCTTACGTGCACGGGCCCCCTCCCCCCCGAGACCCTGGGACCTGGACTTTAAAGACGGATCCCCGCGCCCGTCGCTCCCTTCTCCTTCCCTTTCTCTCCCCAACCCACCCAAGATCACCACAGTCTTGGGACCAGCATACCCGCCGTCTCCAGGAGAAGACGGCGCTTGAACAATCCCCCTAGCATTCCCAGACGTTTCTCACCCGGTCTCGAGTGGAGACCGACCCAACATATCGCCATGGCCTTCTCAACCGCATCCATCGCCTACGTCCCGAGCCAATCCGCCGTCGGATTCTTCCGACCGGCTCAACTCTGCGCCCTCTTCTGCCCAGCCTAGTGGGCCGGCGCCGTGGGAGATCTCCGTCTTTGAGCCCGCGGACTTCTTCCAGTACGGCGTCGCGCCTGGGCTCGGGGACCTCGCCTCCGCCAACCCCTCCGCCCCCGCGGACAATTGGCTGGCTGGCACGGGGGGAGATGGCGGCTTCGGCATTGACCTGGCTGGAATAGAATGGGCCGCGGGCGCCCGTGCCCTGCCCGACACCAACTTCGGATTTACAGATGTTATGCAGAATGATGTTTTTGGTAAGCCCCGTCGCCACGTCGAGCTCGGGAACAGACTATTAATAGGCCCCCCTCCTGCAGACCAACTACTTGCATCCACACTCCCTAGTACCACCTCTGGACTCACTGTCACTGTACCTTCTTCATCCTACACTCCCATGTACCACTCTTCTGCCTCATCCCTCTCTCCTGATCTGTCCCCCGAGCCAGCCTTCGCGCCGGTCTCGACAGAGTCCCAGGGGCAACGCACCTCTCGTAAGCGTTCCCCTCCGGCGGACCCTGAGACCGCTCTGAAGCGCCAGCGAAACAACATCGCTGCGCGCAAGTATCGTCAGAAGAAGATCGATCGCATCAGTGAGCTGGAGGACGAGCTCAAGGGGGTCAAGGACGAACGGGATGACTTGCGTGTCAAGCTCGCTCGTCAGGAGGCGGAGACGGCTGCTCTGAGGAGCCTGTTGAAGATCAAGGCTGGTATAGAATTATAGTGTTAGCAGACTGTTCGGGAAAGAGATGAATGATACAAAATTGTTTTGCGTCAAAACTTTGAAGAATCAGACGATGTCGGCTCGTGTGTCTCGCTCATTCAGCTTTTGATAAGGAATGTTCACATTCGGCAAAGGGAACGTATGTTGTCATCTCGTCACGGCGCAGTGTATGTATGTTGGGCGGGCCTCTACTTTCCTTGCTTACATGTCTTCATTATACGAATGCGCTGAATCGTCCTTGACATCGAGTTCATCCCAGGTTGTCATTCTACATTCTACAAAGACATCATCATCCCGGAGTATTTATTGCGTACAGGTTTCTCCTAGAACTAGGCCATGATGCCAAATCACTCATTCAAAGTCATATCGTACAGTATATGAGCGTGTACCGCATCACTTCTCATCATTTCACATCATCTACTGGCCGTGTCCTACACAGCAGCCTCCTCGAAGGATTCGGCGGCGGAGATGCCTCATGAGGCTGCAATCTAAAGTAATCCCCGGGAGGTACAGCATCGAGCAGACCCGCCATTTATCGTCGCCGGATGTGTATGAGACCAGTATGGCGAACATGGCGAAAGTGGTGTTACCCGAGATCTGTGACTAGGTTACAGGACGACCCGCTGCCAAGAGATCTCCCGCATGGATCGGATGATGGGTCATTATGATTCATCCGCGCTAAACCTCTTCCGCCGAGGGCCCCGGCCCACCAATCAGAAGAGTCCAAAAAGTTCTCGGTTTTCGTGGACATTGGCCAATCACCTCGCCGCGTGAGTCAAGGCTGCGTGATAGTTGTGTCGGGGTTGGTGGAAGTTGTGCAGATCCAAGGAGTTAAGATACATGTCGCTGGGGCCAATAGACTCGTCGAAGACTTTATACATAGATGGACTGCTCGCAGAGATGACGAATTGTGACTCATTTAGCCAGTCGTTGAGTAAATTATACAGCAAACCCTTGGGGACCCAGGAACCTACGCGACACACATTCTCGGACCGCGACCTGTATTCCTACGTGCAGCTGCTGTGAGAGCCAAGGCACTCGAACATAGGCGCCATGCATGCCCAGCGGATATAGTAGCTGCATTGGTTGCCTATGGTTGGCAGCGAAGTTCTGGCCAGTCGCCACGACTCTCTCGTGGAGGTGTCACCCGTATCGGTGCGCGCTCCTAGGCCAAGCCTGTACGACATGACGCAGATTATTGCAGACTTGACCTACAAGTTTTATAGGGACTAGTTATTCAACAGCCAGCATGCAATTGTCTGGAAAACCGTAGCTGGTTTAGACTGACCAGCCCCCCTATACGGTCGAGTTTTGTGGCACACAATGCATGCGCCTCCACGACCCCAAAGTCCCTCGCACCTTTTTTTTATTTTACATCAGACCGCACATTTTCTCGGATGAAATTTATCTCCAATTTCTCATCATCCTCGTTACAAGTCAGACCATGGCCCCTCGCCACGTTGTGTCGATAGCAGAACTCATGTCCACACTGCACGCATCGGGCGAACGGGACTGTGTCGCCGGCCTTATATATGTGCCCCTATCTGCTGTCAGCGAGACACCAGAGAACGCCCGGGACCCCGCTGACGGCATTCTGGAATGCGAACTTTTGATATCTAGGTTCCGCCAAGTCAGTGAGTTTGACATCACAAGTCGCGACGTCTACACTGCACTTTGCATGCGTGTCGCTGTTGCCATAGTGCTCAATATCTCCGTACGCCAGTGGAAGAGCCGGGCAATACATCGCATTCCATACGTTGGTTTGTAACTGTGTCCGTATGAACGTTTTCACAGTCAATACATGCATGCCTGTGGAGTGTGTGCACATTGTAGCGACACTGCGAATGTAGGGAAATCAATTCAAGGTTTACTCTCGGTACACACATTGCCCTCTTGCGGCTGGTCCGCCGACGCCTCCCACGTGGCATAACAAGACGAGTGCCGTTGGATCGCCTAAAGTATGTCTGACCTATTCCGAAGTTCCTGTTGCGACTGCCAGCAGCTGGTCGCGGCCATACAGGGAAATGAATTACATTCCCCGGAGATAGGAAGGGTTGTTACAATCTGGGGAATAGTCTTGAATGAGAAACTCCTAATCGAGCGTCTTAAATGTCAGGGTTCATGCCGACATAGAGGCAGGGAGATTCAGGCTGTGGTCCGGATCGGTTCATTTCAGTTGTACCGTGGGGAACTGGCAACACACCCGTCATTGCGCTCAGGTTTGTCAGCATAGTCGCCCTCAGCAAGCGAAATGGATCTGTCAAAATGCATATAGTAATCTTTGATTCGCTGCAATTATCATACTTGATCATTTTGGGAAAAGCCTCTGAAGGTTCTCTCACCTTGTCAGTGTCAAGAACTCATGCTGAGGTGCATTGCGGTGCTTGTCTCCACTCCCTTTTCCTGCTTATCACGCATAGCGTAATCCAACCGCGCACGCAATTCACGTGATAGTTGACGCTATACTGATAAACTTACGATGTCGGATCCGCTACGGGATTCGTATCATTTGAGTACAGCAATCCGGAAAGTAGATTCTAATACATGCTCCTGCAAGTTACAATGACTGTTGATCCTATACCTCACCTGAAGATTGCCGTTGTAGGCGGCGGCCCTGGTGGGCTGGCGACAGCTATTGCTTTGTCCAAGATACCAAATGTTGAGGTGACTATTTACGAGCAAGCCAGTCTCTTACGCGAGGTCGGAGCTGGGATTAGTATTGGGCAAAATACATGGAACGTCTTGGAGTTACTTGGTGTTGCGGATACTCTCAAGAGTGGTCATGAAACATGGACTGTTCTGAATATGTAAGTCGTTGGCTGGAGATCATCACGTCGCACGGGCCAATATACTTATGTCCTTGGCAAGGAACGGTCGCAGTGCCGAAGAACTACTTCGTCGCGAGAAACCCCTAGTTCCCAGTATACGAGCACCCATCCGTACTCAGCGGACTGCACTTCAATCGGCACTGTTGGCACACGTCAAACCCGGGGTTATCCAATTGTCGAAGAAGCTTACGAGTATAGTTGACCGAGGAGAAGAAGGAGTGGAGCTGAATTTCAGCGACGGCACAAACGTCATGGCTGACCTTGTCGTGGGTGCTGATGGTATTCGCTCTGTAAATCGCCGCATTCTCTTCTTGTCGACAGTTTGAGCTGACATAACAACCAATCAGGTCGTTCGGGACAGTGCTTGGCCCTCATACGAACTCAAGTTCACTGGAACCACGATATGGCGTACGCTGCTCCCCTGGGACGCGGTGAAAGACTTAGATCCGCGCTTTGAGATCACGGGCTGGTGGCACACACCGACAACACACGTCTACTTCTCACCCGTGGGGGAGGGGCTTTGGGAGATAGCTTGCCGGGCCTGGCATGACCCTGCAACCCACAGTGCAAGTAAAGTCAGCTGGGGTGTACCAGTGACGAATGAGCACGTTGAGTCGCATTTCACTGTACGCCCTTCTTTTAGTACACTCCTGGATACGGATTTTGTGAGAGAAAAAACTGACAAGACAAAGGAATACCTTCCTGAGATTCGCGAAGCACTCGCCCGTGTCCCGACAGATGGTTGGCGGGAGTTCGCTGCCTTTGCCGGGCCTGAGCTCTCCAAATTAACGGCATGGGATTCAAAGGTCGTCCTTGTGGGAGACTCATCACACGCCTTGTCCGGGGCGTTCGGTTCCGGTGCCGGGTTTGCCATTGAAGATGGCTGGGTCTTGGCACAGGCACTGTCGTACTTCCGCAACGATAGGCGCAAGGCGCTTCACCTGTTTGATGAGATACGCCTCCCGTACTACGCCAGAATGTACGCGCATCTTGAAGAACAGTCGACACTTCGAGCAGCTAAGCTTAAAACTTTGGGAAATCCGACATATGACGAAAGGGTGGCGAACAAAATTATATCGGACGGTGGCAAAGATATGAGTTGGATATACGGCAATGACATAGGCGCTGTCTGGAAAAAGAAGGCCGAGTCATTGCCAGCATGAGTGGGAGCGGCGTTCTTTGAGATCACTTGACCATAGAAGACAACCGTAGACTGTAAGAAATCATTCACGTATCTCACATTTCTTGTTTCACTAGTCAGTCATTGTCTAATGATTATCTATTGTGGTGCATGGGGCTTTCGGACCGTCTATCGGAGTCCATACCTGCAGGCATTCAGAATATTGTAATCATACATTCTTGGTCACTTCGGGTCTGGTAAGGTATTCATAGAACGTTCGCTGTTTCCTATCAATTGCAATGACTGTTCCACGCTAGTTCAGAAATTTCTGTCTTCCGAAATCCAAGTTCCATGAAGGTCTTCCTTACAACCAAAGCATTGTCCAGCTCCAAGTTTCCTGCCTCCCAAATCCCAGCTTCCCGCGAAAGTCCTCATTCCAGCCAAATCATGGTCCAGTCTGTCGACATAATGTGAACACAAGCACAATACTGTCCGGTTGTTTGTAGAGAGGGTCACATGTCATGTGATTTCAAGGTGGTGATGTTGAATTCTCAAGGTCGTGTGACAAGATGCTGTGAAGGCTGTTCTGGAAGTCAGACGCTTAGCGTCGTATTCAGTAAGAGCCTCTTGAATGAAATGACCCGGTTTTAGGGTATTTCAGGTGAAAGATGGCAATCCATACTTGGGTATGTTTTCGCTTCTGGGAGTGATGTCCACGTTGCGCTGGGTGGGGGGGAAATTACTTCGGCGCGGCCTGCCCGAAGCAGCCTGGGCAGGCCGCGCCGGAGTCCGGGCGACGACGGCACTCCGAGAGCTGTTGGTGTTGACAGCTTTGTTGCCGGTAGTTTGTTTGAATGCAATCGATGAGCTTGTCTGAGATTCAGGTTGGACTTTTCGCCTTTTGACTGGGTCCAGCTTGTAAGATATCGCAGTGGAAGTAGCCTTGCGCTTTTGTGTTGGCCTTGAAGTACTTAGTGTTTGCTGGAGGCGTCTATCGTTGAGGATTTTGTTAAGGCCCGCGGTTTTGTGCTTCATGTGAGTCCACAGGTCCATTCGACTCTCTTCGGTCATTCTGAGCCTGCGATTGCCTTTGTTGAATTTGCCGAGGGTTGTGATGGGAACAACAAATGGGGTCTGGATATATACCCAAGATGCCTGTGGCTTTGGGAGGAGATCGTCATTCTCGAGGTGGAGGGTCGAGCGCTCGTTAGGGCATTCTGAGCCATCAAAGGCTCGGAAATCATTCTGTCTCTTTCCGGAATGGCATGTCTGTTTCCAAGGAGGAAGATAGTTATTGTAGTAGCCCGAGCCGTAGGCTGAGACACTTATCACAACGGCATGAGTTGCATCGTCTGACTTGCGGGAGAGAATGATGACAGGGTTACCAAGGGCTGTCTTGGGGATATAACCGGAGTTGACCAAGCAATGGTAGTCGGTGTCGTCGAAATGGTGGGCAGATTTAAGGAGTGCAATGTCGCCAGTCTCCCATTTGAAAGCCTGGGCGCTATCAAACGATGGCTTGCACTGGGCCCGCTCATAGCGTGAGGCGGACTCTATTTGCGCCTTCAGACGCTTGTCGGAAACGAAGTAAGACATGGCTGCGAATAGCTGGTAGCTGTTTAGCGAAGTATAGTTGTCAAGGGTCGCTGTGAACGGCAGCTGAGAACTTGTCGAAAGTGGCAGATGAGTCTGTGTGGCACTTGAAAGTATCGCACAAGAGAGCCAGTACGGATGGTGGAAAGAGAGAGAGAAATCTTTAGAACTGGATCGGGCCTGGGAGAGTTATGTATGCCGAAGAGCGAGACTGACTTTTTATTTATTCGCGCTCTTGAAAGTTGAGAACGTTTTGAAAACATTTATTTTGTTTTTCTTAATATCACGAGGCCCGATAGGCATTTGACGCTTGAGGGCCCTGGTGAGAATTCTGGTTTTGTACGGATATGCTTTTGGTTGAGAGCAATACCTTTGTCACGGGTGGGTCTCAAACTCGAGGAAAACTATAATATGCTCGTTACGGCCCACACGGTGAAGTATTTGCGTGCACTACTCAACCAGCTTAGGCTTGATCTACTTCCAAATCCTACTAGGGCTGTAAAATCCCAGGAATCTACATTCTTGAGATCATGTAAGGAATGGCGAGGCTAGAACTCGTCGTCACCAAAGCTTTTTACATGATTTAGCAAATGTTGTGGAGCCAGCGGAAGATACTGCCCAGGATTGGGTGAAAAATGAGGACCTATGTATAGCAAAGGGATGAATGTGTTCAAGACTTAGCCAAACGTTCCCTAGAGGCTGATGTCAGAACAACCAGTTGACCTCCCGTCATGAGCAAAAGAGGAATAACAGTTCAGGAAAAGATTGATGAGTACACTACGATCTGCAGCAATCTGCCTGTGTGTCCATCTCCCTGGGATAGCAGAAGAAGAGAGAGTTCTTAGAGAACATGGCTGAGAAGGTTTTTATAGTTCTTCTCCGGAGCTTGTGAGCTCTTCATCACAAATGAGTTGAGCTAGATACTTTCAATAATACCGATCGGTATTATGACCCACAACTTCAGAATCTCCCCATTAACTACGTTATGTATTTACAAGTACTGAGGTATAAGAGAGACTTAATGTGACGCTGTGACTGGTAGCCACAGCGGGCACCTGTGACGGAGTTCAAGACGTAATCTTGGCTTGACTAGGGGGTAAGCTTCGCATGAGCAGTTCATTACAATTCCACATTTCTCAGGTTGTTTCAGTTCATGCTAGCGTGCTTGTATTCTCCCGTTTTCGCACAATTTCCATGGGTGTATTTCATGTTCTCTATACTCCCTAAGCATTGAAGTAAGACTATCTGTTTGGAGTGTTTTCGACAGATCAAGAGGTGGACCACCCTTGGAGGGCTGGTTCCAGTTAACTACTATCTCAGTGTCTGCAATTTTGTTCCTGAATAGCACCCTCAAGCAATAAAAGCGAAGCCCCAAATCGCTACTTTGAATGGTGTTCTACACTGCTCCTGGCCTACACGTATTTGATATTAGACCACAAACAGAACGAATCGTGTCTTAAGCTTCTACGTAAAGCACGCCTGTTCCTCTATCGCTGGGATGTCACCATCAAATATTTTGGTTATATTTACGTTACTATCAGTACAAGAATTCCACCCGACTTACAGTAAACCCTTATGGGCAACACATTCGAGGCTTGCTGCTAGGAACCAGGATGGCGCAATGCGTTCGGGATAGAGCGGGTACCCCACCGCAATTTAGACCCATAACGGCTGGGGCCTTGTCGACGTTTGCGCTAACCTGGATGTTGGCATATCGATGGACCATCATTATTTAAAAGTCGCTAACTAGCTAACTAGTGCTAGGGGGCCTAGATGTCTGAGCTTTAATGATCGTGACTTGTCTAGGGCAACAAAATCTGAGGATAGCGTTGATCTCAGTTGCCGAAAGGCCGAGCATGCCAGCCTAGATACACTTTTGACCAAGATCTGCATTTCACGAGCATGTCCTTACGGATGGCAGGAAGGGAGAACTGGTATTTAATCCAAGAAACACGCTCGGTCAATAAGACGATGTGATCTCTACCGTGTTTCTTTCGTGTAGATACAGTCTTCTTAGCAGAAACCCAAGTCTGCACAATGCATCAACTCACACTCGCGCCACTGCTGGGCTTCCCATTTATGCTGCTAGCCGTACGTGCGGCGCCAGTCGGAGAAGTCCAAATATCCAGCACCTGTGCATCCTACACGATCATCAACACACGAGGAACCAGCGAGCCCCAAGGAGAATCTTCAGGTTTCAGAACAATAAATTCTGCCGTCACTTCTGAACTGTCAGGCGGCAAGATATACAACACAGTATACGCCGCGGATTGGTCACAGAACTCTGAGGCTGGCACGCAGGATATAATCAACAAAATCACCTCCACGCTACAATCTTCCCCTGCGGAGTGTTTTTTTCTCGAAGGCTATTCTCAAGGTGCAGCTGCAACGGTCAATGCCCTCCCTAGCCTTACTGGTGCTCTTTTCAGCGCAGTCAAAGGTGTGTTTCTGATCGGGAACCCCAAGCACAAAGCTGGTTTGGAGTGCAACGTTGATCCAAACGGTGGCACTACGACTAAGTACGTGAATGGGCTGCAAGCGGGTTTCGGTGAGACTATTCCCGATGACTGGATCAGCAAGACTCTTGATGTCTGTGCCTACGTACGTAGTCTCTGCTATTCTCAAATCATTGGATGCTAACATATAGCAGGGAGATGGAGTTTGTGACACAACTCACGGGGCTGGCATAAATGCCCAGCACCTTTCCTACCCTAGTGATTCCAGTACTCAAAAGCTTGGGACGAACTTTGCTGTCCAACAACTTGGTGGCACTGCGTGATGACAAGTATCAGGTAAGAGGGGTTGGGCACACTCAGGGGTTACATGGAGACGTGAAGGCCCCGGCGGTGACGATCGTACTAGTTGGTAGTTGAAGGAGTCGGTTTGCCAGCAACAGCTAGTACGAGAAATTTGGACGCTGTGACAAGTAAAAGTCTCTTCATCGGTCGAAATTGAGTTCACTCTTTCGATAATGCATTCAATAGGCGCAACAAAAAACACAGCGTTTCTTACTTCTCTTCCAGTTCGAGATATCAGTGGTATCCTGATACTCGCCTGATAAAACGCAGGCGGACTTTCCTTGTTTTCCTTTCTCCAACTCCGCCCGCTCAAGGCAAGCACCGCAAGCTTGTGGTGTTGTTGGCGCCGGTTATAATGTTTTAATTATCGCCGGACTTCGTTGACGATGGACGTGGTGTGCAAACAATGCTATATCGTACGAGAAGATGTATTACTTTCATTGCCACTATCTCCACCTGCATCATTGATGATGAATCTCTACCTGGAGGTAGTATTATTTTCATTAGTCAGTTGAATTGCTTGGTTGTGTGGCCTTGCTGTCCATTGTTCCCATGGGCGTGGTCCATGGGGGAACGCCAGACCGCACAGAGCCCATTTCCAAGAGAGGCCGGGCGTCTCATTCAGCACCAGTGGCTTTATCAATGCACATCTGTTTGCCTTCAGTCAAGGCTGTCTAAAAGGTCGCACGTAGCGGAACAAAAAGTCCTCCAACGGGTCAAAGCGTTGCCCCAATGAGCCAAGTTTGGACATTTACGACGGGATTCACAGCTGCGAGTGGCATGCAACCAGTGCGTTTTGTGGTACGATTCCACATAGCTTGATGATTTTCCGCTTCTAACCCGCATCACATGAGAAAATAGGGAAACGTCAACGGGCCGCTCATGCATTGGCGAGCTGTCAGATGAAAGTACTGCTGCATACGTGGGGGTGTGAGGGATGGGATCAACGCATGGCGAGCAACGATCATTGCTTAGCGTTGAATCCGTGTGCAAAGACGGCTCGAGCGATAACTGCGTGACCATTAATGCAATTGTTAGCTTGATCCTAATGCAGCTGCGCTTGGATGACCGCACTGCACTGTCAATTGAGACTGTGAATGGCGCATAAACTCAAGAGTTACCACAATTTCAAGTCTTTTCTGACTGGCTGCATTATTTCGTGGAGAGAGATGAGCGCATCCTGTCCACATACTGCGCCCATTAAGAAAAGACTTGCATGGCAAATATTCACGTTGCCAACGGCAAGAGAAAAGATGTGGTCGGGGCCGGTTGCGCCGGACGCACATAAATGCACTACCTGTAGCTCTACAACGTCGTGCAGATATATGCAATCAGGTCAAAGCGCGCGCGAAGCAGATCATATCCTAATCCGTCTACGCCGATGTAACTCAGACGTTCGGCTGCCGAAGATAGCGGTTATGAGAAACATTTGTCCTCTCGACGACTTCGTATTTGCACCAGGCGCCTCTGTGACCGTAACTGATCTGCCCTTTGCGCTTTGCAGTCAAGACCTAGGCTAAGTGATCAGCCTTGCGAACCAGGAATGTCAACGCACGGTGACTGGGTTCAAGACAGGGGTATATTAAGCTTATTTATAGTTGTGACGAACCTCACGAAAACGGCAATGAAGTTATCAATCATCAGTCATTGCCTATATCATTCCAAAAAGCGGTCTCGCAAAGCATCGAAGTGAATACATTTTCAAACAACTCTAGCAGGGTCTCCAGCATTGTGCTTGTGCCGGCATAATGGGTGACTCACATCTTGCAGTTCTGATGGGTCAACTCCCTAGATGTGCAGTAGGTGTTCAGTCTGCTGCTCCATTCAAGTCAGAGATTCTAAATAAATGAAGCTTTCATGCTTTACCACTGCTCTAGGGCAGTCGTCATGTGGCTTGGCCGATATTGGCTGTCAATGTACGAATCAAGCACTCAATGCTGTTATAGAAAGCTGTGTATTGAGTCACTGTACAATACCCGAAGCTTTGAGTACGTAGTCTCTGAAATCAACAGGATGCTCTGGAGACTATTCTGACCCTGGAAGATACGAAAAACATTACCCAAACGATATGCGGAGCACCAATTCGATACCAAGCTGCAGCCTATTTGCCCGTTTCGGTCACTTTGATGGCGATAGCATCTGCCCTTATGCTTATTCGGCTAGGTTACCAGAAGTTCATTTCTGCCAGTGGCCTATGTCTTGACGACTGGTTCATTCTCGTCACCTGGATTGTCAGCATAACGTCAAGTGTCGTCAACCATGTCTTAATAATGCATAATGGCCTTGGTAGGGATATGTGGACGTTAAGCATCGATACAGTTGGAGACTTTCTTCGAGGCCTTTACCTCATGGAGCTTTGCTATTTCACCGAGGCTCTTTTCATAAAGCTCTCGATGATTGCCTTCTACCTCCGAATTTTTCCAGACAAGAACATTCAGCGCATCTTGATTGGAACCGCTATATTCGTTGGCATCTCTGGTGTTGTCTTCCTCTTGTCGGCCATCTTTCAGTGTACACCGGTAGCCTTCTTCTGGAAACAAGTCGAAACACAGCAAGGAAGGTGTCTTGATATTGGCGCATTAGCCTGCGCCCACGGAGCTGTCAGCATAGCTCTGGATATATGGCTACTTATGATCCCTCTCTCGCGACTTCGGGGATTGCAGATGTCTCGTGGAAAGAAAATGGGGGTTGCATCAATGTTCCTCATTGGATCCTTGTGAGTCAGATTGAATTGCCTTCTTTCGAGATTGATCCTAATAGATACCGCAGCGTGACTGTCATTAGCGTAGCTCGCCTTGCAGCCCTTGCTAAGATGCGAAAGTTGACAAACCTCACATGGGACTACTATGAAGCGTTACTGTGGTCTGTTGTCGAGGTCACAGTTGGCATCATGTGTACATGCATGCCCTCACTCCGCTTGACATCTGTTCGGGTTGCAAGATGCTTGAGGACTAAAAAGCCCCACATTTATGTCTATGGCGGTCCAGACTCGTCAATAGAATCGGGTTGCACGGATAAGTTTAACTCAACGAAAGGCAAGTTGAGTCTGAATAGTGCAGAAAAGCCATTACCTAGACTGCCTGATGCGCCACCAGGCCAAAGTGTGGACTTCACAAAGCAAACGCAAGATGATGCTTGGAACGACAACACTCACCTTTTGGTCCCGTTCAGGACGGTACGGGTGTACATCAAACGACCAGCCCATGTCGAGAGATGAGTTGAAATTCAACTATATCAGTCGTTACCTTTTGCTCTATCATATATGGTTTGTGACATTCGTGCATCATTCTAAGAATGTAGCTTAGTAAATATACTTCCAAATGATGTGAGTACAGAAAGACTCATTCATAGCCAAGCTCGCTCCCTGTCTTCTACACCGTATGACCGCCTTTCATCTCTTGAAACTGACTACTTAATGTTCTCTACGTTTTAATAATTTCTGGGTTAATACACAGCCCATGGCCCGCACAATGTTCCGAACTTAAACATTCCTTCTAAGAACGCATGCTGCCAGCTTGGCAATAAGGATTCTGTGCATGTGCTACAAGGGGGGAGAGGGGGTGCAGATTGCCGGGGGCGTAACATCTGCAGGGTGAGAGTAGACTCTTGCGCTAGGCTGCAATTCGATGATGCATCGTTGATCTTAACCTCCCCTCAAAATATGTATCCAGTCATTTCCAATTTCATCTTCTCGGCAAAGAAGATCACAGGTTGCACTACAGTGGCCAAGGACGAAGACCATGTGCTTCTCACCCCCAGGAACGTGCATAGCATAACCACCCACGCTACAGCCTGGTATGGATGAAAGGCGTAATCTACGACGATGTACTCATATTCCCTATTATCATTGCGGTCTTTATATGATCATATGTGCCTGACTGATAACATTATCTAGCTCCCTCCGTCATAAATAACTTGATCCATAGTTTCATGTGCTTCATGCGCTAAACATTACCAAAACGCCTGGCCGCGTCACAGAAAAATGCATTACCAAGGTGCGATATCTCCGCAATCTTCTAATACGCCACGCCTGATCAGGCCGCGATAGAGAGGTCGCAGTGTCGAGATGTTAGAGGCCGTGATAGCGAGTCCAACCTCTACAGTAGACCATATAGCAATGTCGACAGTAGCAACTAGGCTAACGTTAGCTTTTACACTTTGGTTCGAAAGGCCATCAGCCATTGATAGTTCGTACATAAGAATTCCGGATCTCCCAAGTTTTGAAGATACGCCATACGTATCAACGGGCAAACGCCGGTCCTTAAAATGCATTAGACTGCAGTACTTCAGAGAATGATAGGATGCAGAAGGTTGAGAACGAATAGAAGCGTGAGAGAACCAGGTATCTTACAATCCACCCAGACCTAGGAGTACTGTAAGAGCAACCCTTGTCTTTTTTTGTAGATGGGTGCTCAGTACAATTGCTGCAGGTACTCCACAGAGACCAAAATCGCAGAGAGCTGAGACTGTCCCGTAGCAGTAGCCCAGCCCAATGAAGGCGTTTATCGGTACACAGGACCCCTCTGCACCAGACAATGCCTTCATCCAGTAGAAGCTCACTGGCGCGCACTGGAAAATTACCACAAAGGTAAAAACCACGCCCGCGAGGGAATTCACGAGTTGAATAAGATAGACGGTATAGACCTGGGCCTTGGATATCGCGATACGTAGCCAGCACAGCCCAATGGACAGCCTGGCAACTGTCACGGCTAAACCGTAGGCCATGTAGCATAGCCACCATATCTAAAAGGCCAATTAATTCAATTTCCGAAACTTGGCTTGAACGGGAAACAACTACCAAGAAGGACGTCATCTTTGTCATATCGTCTAATTCTTCGTTCCGTCTGCCAGTTCCGTTACTGGCTCCAATAAAAACTTGAACAATATACCAGAAATACAGAATCTGCTTGAGAAAATAGTTTAGCATAAGTGACGAGTGATGAAGTGATTTCACTTGCTGTGGCAGCACCCATGACAGCATCATCCTTGCGAAAAGCCTTGATGAGATATATCCGAGTGTAAAACCTGGCGACAGTCGTGATTACGGACAGCAGGCCAAACAAACTCGCGACTCCGACTAGTGCTTCTCTCTTCCCCATGGCATCGATGAACAGGATTGATCATGGGTTGAGTCGTGCAAGACAGGCGAAACATGCTAGAATGAGTTCGTTTCGCTATATAAGTGGTCTAACACTGCCCAGGCGGTCGAGTTCGTCCCATGCTGCGCTAGCCGTGACACCCGGCAGATCCGTGCACTAGCGGGGCTGTGGTCTAGATCATCTGCCACTAAAGCGCACTGACAATACGCAGAATGACACTAGTATACGAAACTAGAGAGCTTTCTCCAATTCTCGCTGGGTAGCATGCCCCATTACAAGATGGAAACCCTTTGGCAGCACTCTGTCTAGTCAAGATTCAGTTCGCAGGGGCCAAAGACTCAAGGCTTCTTTATGTGCGGCATGCGGCGATTGTCTTATGAGTAAATCGCCAACCGTTGGGAAAGAGTCGTTTGACGATTAGTTATCCAGTTCTCTTTTCGTACTACTTAGCGTATCTGTGAACGCCAAACTGCCCTATGTGTTTGTGGAAATGACATGCGAGGTCTGCCTGCAAACGCTATGACACTAGGCGATCGGCGCGGTTAATGGTAACTGGTGGCTTTCTAAAACTTTATCCGTACTAGCCAGTAAGTCTGACCACATGGCACACTCACCAGAACTTCCACAAGTATTGGTGAGGGGAAGTTTACAACTTGGAAAGGCTTAACTGCTGGTTCCTTCTTCATCGTGGGAAGAGCTGCAAAGAAATGAGGGCATGGCTAGGAGTGTGAAAGGAGTTGTTGGTCCCTTACATTCGCTATGCTACTCTACTATTTGCCCTTTCAATACATCTAGGAATCCTCTGACAACTATTTTACCGTTCGCTTGATGATATGTGTGAAATGCAAAAAACTTAGAGATCGATTACTTGCAGGAGTGCCCATCTACCCAGCCCCTTCCTTTCCCCGTGCTGGACTCCCCCGAGGGCAGGACGGTTCTTTCAGATAGCCAAGAAACGAAGCCACCGCCAAGTGTAGACCCTACAGTGAATGGGAGGCCAACGCAAGAGCTATGAGCACGGCCGGACCTAGGGCATGACCTTGGCGTGCGCTTTCTTCACAATATAGAACCTTGTCCGGCAAGCGCTTACATTAACTAGTGTCGCCGAAACATTCGCTGCACTAATAAGTAATCAGAGCATCCAGTCTATTCGAAAGATATCACTTAAAAAGATGATCCAAGCGTGATTTTGGGAACTCGTGTGCAAGCTTTCGAATACTCGCTTGTCTGGTAGCCCGTCTTTCCTTCTCCCCGTCATGCAGCGCATCTGCTGTCCCAGCAGACCCGAACAAGACACCTAAGGAACCCGCCATGACGGGCCCAGTGAATGGCGAAGCCGCGCCGCCAGAGATGACTGTCAATCCAGCTGCGCCTAGAAAAGCTGCAGCCCCACCGCGAACTCCGTTTTCACAGGCCTCAGCTCTGGGTCGGCAAACCTCAGCTTTCCTAAGCTGAGCTAGGTGCCTCATTATATTGCGGCATATGTCGCCGGCACCTTTGGTCAGAAGGTAAGCCAGAATCAAGGTGAAGTCTGCGCCATTCCACCATATGTTATAATACGTCCAGTCCGCTTGAAGCCGGGCATATACTGTAATATTTTGTTAAAACGTTTCGGACATCAAGCCTCAAAGGTGACGAGCATCCTCAGCTCAACAACAAAACAGATTTCAACTTACAAGTTGAGCACCTTGGAGGCGCATTCTCCATCCGGATGGATCCAAGCTTCTGGATCGCATTTATTTTTATGATTTGAGTAGGATCCCAAATTGTACCTCTTGAGCTTGAAGCTTGGTCGCCGCAATAGTCCCAGAACAATGCTCTCCTTAGCCTAGTGGCTAGGGTCTCATTTGACTTCCAGTCACTTATGGGCACAAGACACAGAGCAAAATGGCGCCGAAAGACAAGGGACGCTAGCATGTCAGGGAAAGAGGTTGCCCCCTTTGAGCTCCAACAAATTTCTGGAGGCTGGTCGTTTGGTGTGCAATAAGCGTCGCTGATCAACCGGTACCTATGTGTTGGTGGCGTTGTAACAAGAAGAGCATAATACTCTCGCGAGTCGCGTGAAGTATCCGTTCTACGGCTTTTCGAAGATGAGCCTTGAATATGGACCAACTTGAAGACTCCTACCTATGCCACAATGACCGGCATTAGTATTGGTTATTTGGAAAATCTCAACGCTTTTCGAAGAAAGAGGAGGCGAATGGCAAAGGCGAGTTTGCAACACAGCCTCCCTGAGATACCATACCAGCAAGGATGGTTCAACAGTAGGCATATATCCTGCCGAATCGACTTGGAAAGGGAGTATTACTGACCACGAGTCCCACACCGCAAACCTTCTTTTGACCGTGGTGTTTCTCTCGAGATTGTTGCCCCATTGCGGCTCTGTAAGGGGGGTGGGGGTGGCAAGCTGGTATACTATCACAGGCCGGCTCACTGAATATCGATTTGTGACGGGTGGGAAGCGTGGCCGTAGGAAGAGAAACCGTGTGCATTAGCTTCGATCTATATAGTGGAAAAAGAAGAGAGGGGTAGAAGAGCGTAGCCTCATTTCAGAAGTATCAAGAGTTCTACCGATTCAACCGTTTCCAGAGATTTTATTACCACAGCAAGCGCCTTGCTTTTGCGGCAGGCTGCGCAGATTGGAGGCGTTCATTGGATGATTTTGGTCACGACCGCTACCCCAACTGCATAGTTTTTTTGTAGACCATCCAATAGTAAGTGTATTTGTTGTGCTAGAAGATGGGAATGTCATGTTGTGTAGCAATGTGCATTCGTGCTGGTGGCATCGTGTCATCTTGCTATTGGGAGAAAGTATCGCCATATGCACTTGTATGAATGAGCGAGCCTTTTACCACAGCAACTATTGCATGATAATACAAGCTTGGCAGTAGCTGAATGCATCTTGTCAATCTCCACTAGCAATATTCCTGCAAAGGAGCGATGCTCAAGTGTCCGATATGGAATGAAAACCTGTAAGGAAGATCACGGGTAGCCTCATTCCCGCTGACATTGCTTTGGGTACTTATCAACAAGTTTAGTGAGATTCTCTGGAGTCTTGAAGATGCCAATAGATAGCGGCCTGAGAGGGCTTCGCGTGACTCGGATGCCTCAGAATCCTTGATCTACAAGTACAAAGGGGGTATGCAGTGTCCACAGATCAAGCACTGAACATCTTGATCCTCCATGTTTTCCTCTGGGGCCAAACTAGGTGAGTGTTTGCGGTACTTTACCAACATCAACAATAACAAACGCCAGCCGTGCTACCAGTGTAACCTGCTATACACAGCCATTTTCTCATATTAGAATCAATGGTCTGTAGTATACTTATACTTGTGATGCCCCAAAACACGAGATGAGTCAAAGTAAGCACGACCCACTGTGTTCATTCTGATGGGAATGATTCTATGCCATATCCCACGAGAAAGATGCAACACTGAGGAATCTCGCCCATGGTTGGTTGTAGGTATTAGCCTAGATCCTACAGGAAACTATGGTCTTGGACGAGCGCTCTCTAGTATTCAGAGCGATCATCCACGGTCTTCTCGAATGAAGCCCGCCTCTTTTGGACCATGTTTCTTGAGCAGACGAATCTGAGCGACTGCTATCATTTAAACACGTCTCTCGCAAATGGCTCACAGCCTGAAGGCCGGGAGAACTCGGTAGGTTGCTGAGACGTCATGCTATAGAGGCACTGAGCCAACGCCGAGGTACCAGGAAGGCATTTGGTAATGGAAACAGCCTAACTCGACCGTGCCAGGCGCAGCTAACGAGGACATATAATGGTGCAATGGGTATGTGAATTATGCTTGTGTCTTCTCATTCTACACCAATACCAAAAGCTACGCCTACGCCGATATGCGAATACCTTTAGCTCAATCGAACCATGCAGTATGTAATGAAAATATGTACTTTCACTCCCCGGCCAGTAATTACTCGGCAGTCAATTCCCCGATCCTCCTCTCAATTTCAGGCACCTGTCGAAGCAGAACGTCCAGGTCCTCCTTCTCGTCTTCGAGCTTGAGTCGTTTCTCGGCGTCAAGCTGCGTGAAGATGTAGTTGCCCTGCCCATCGAACTGCAAGATCTTGCTGTGGTATTTCCACAAGCTCCGTCTATGGCTAACAGTCATAAGGGTGATGCCCAATGCCTTGGCATTATCGTACATGACTTTCTCTGTTTCCAATGTGACACTGCTCGTGCACTCATCCAGGATGGCGTAGCGCGGCTTGTGGTAGAAGAGGCGCGCCATGGCGACTCGCTGCTGTAGACCCCCGGAGAGGACATCACGCCATTCGGCCTCGGCATCCCAGCCCTCTGGGTATAGGTCGACTAAGTGCTCGAGGCCCAGGATCTTGAGCATATCCAGAAGCTGGGCATCGGTGACACCGCGCGCACGGACTGTGCGGAGACTATCAGGGTACGTTATCTGCTGGCGCAGGCTGCCACGTGAAAGGTATGGCCTCTGGGGAATATAGAAAATGTCGGAAAATGGTGGTTTGTGAACGGTACCGCCGTAGACGGGCCATAGGCCTCCGAGGATTCGGAAAAGACTCGACTTGCCGCAACCATTGGGTCCAACCACCAGCAAGTGATCACCCTGCCTGAGCGTGAAGGATAAAGCTCGAACGAGGACATCGCCGTTTGGAGAGATAATAGGCACGTCGAGGAACTGAATATCCTTGCTCTCGACAACAGTGCCCCGACCTGCCAACACTGCGGCGTTGTCCTCGGTACCAGAGCTGGAGACTAGCTTCTTCTCAAAATGGCCAGCCTGGATGTCGTCCATGACTTCTAGGAGAGATGCAACACGCGAGGTGTAGCCTGCAAGTTCCATGACCTCACGGTAAGAGAACATGACACGCCCGAAAGCATCAGAGGCGCCGAGCAACATCCGTCTGTTGGTGACAAACGTCTCTGTCCTGTCTCCCATGCTGACAACGCCGCCGGCGAGCTGGCCAGGTAGCTTAAAGAAGACAGGTACACTGCACAACAACAGCCCCAACGCGCCCCAAAAGTACTTGATGACGAAGTCTTCCATGACTCCGTGGTAGAAACGCCGACGCAAGATGTAGTTCACATGCTTAATAAGCGTGAAGTAGCCTTTGTCCAGAGTGTCCTTCTCCGCCTCGTGGCCTGAATAAAGTGCGACCTCTTCGCCGTGGTCTATTAGTCTGGAGTGCTGGAAACGGAACTCTCCTTCAAGTCGGGCTTCGTCGGCCACATATTTGCCGAATGGTGGAGTCAGAGCGCGCATGACATTGGCAGATAGCTGTACCAGCAATGACATGAAGACCACGCCTTCGCCACCTACGCTCTTCGATAATGAGTATGTGTATATAGTCTACTCGGCATCAGTTGAAATGTCCACGAATAGATCTCGAGCCATTGGCTTACCATATCGAGAATGGGCTTGGCCAAGTTGCTGTATAGCTCGGCCAAGCTGTTAGAAAACTTTGCTACATCGACAGAGATGAGTTGGTCGGGGTTCTTTATACGGTCATCCAGGGCCGAAATGCCGTAGAATGTGAGCTGCGACAGGTACTTGTCGTGAATGTACTGGGTTAACCTGGTCCGATACTTCAGGGAGAGCTCGGCCTGGTGGTACGACAGCATGGAGTTTGTGAAGGTTGCGGGCATGGCAATCAGCATCCACCAGAAGATGCGCAGCAGAAACTCCCTCCCGTTTCCTTTGACGAGAGCCTTGACGATGGCTCCGTCCATCTCGGCGACCTTCAGACTGATCAAGGTCCGGATGACGAGGAAGACGCTGTGGCTGAGGAGCAGGCGCGACTCCTTGCTCTGCCAGCCGGGGACGACGATGCGCAACAGCCTGAGCAGCGAGCGGAAGAACTCGCGGTTCAGCTCAACCTTCTTCTTGGCGGTGGCATCGGTGCCGTCGCTCGATGTCGTGCCCGAGCGGCGTTTGGCCTGCTCCCGGGCGGATGCGGCCTTCTGCTCGGATATGGCATGGCGCACACGGTTGACGAGGGCGAGGAGGAGGGTGAGGTAGACGGCGCGGGAGATGCGCGTCCGGTTCGAGATGTACAGGTTGGTCAGCTGCGCGATGGCGCTCTTAATGGACCGGTCGGGCAGGACCAGCTTGGATTGCACCGCCATGGCGGCGGACCTTGAGGAGAAGTGTCCTCCAAGCACGTCGGCGGAGAGAGCACGGGGGTGTGATATCGCAAGACGAGAATCGGGTTCACGAGCTCGGCTTCATGGGGGCGCGGGCTACTGCAATGCAAGCGGGCGCGGCAGAGTACAGAATAGTGCGACAGCAGCCGTCCGACTATCTTACATGGCGGTCGGCAGCATCATGTTGCAGGGAGACTGGAGACTTGAGACTTGAGACTTGGGGGACACACGATGCCTTTGCGGACGAAAGTCACAATCGAAGCATCGATCGTTCCTCGGCGGAATCGAGCGAGGACGACCAGGCCGCTTACCATTCGCTGGTAGTGACGCAGGGTCAGCGATGGCATGTGATTCCCCCCGGTTTCCCCAGCTTCCCAGTAGCGCCACGCTCCAGTAACTACCTAGGGGAAGGCTCTCTCTCTCTCTCGGCAACTGGGCTGGAACTAGACAGTAGACCGGGCCACTGACAGGAGTGCCCAGTGCCCAGTGCCCAGTGCCCAGGTGGCTTTGCTGACTACGAGTTACCGCTGCCCAGGCCACCTACTTCATACAGGCTGACAGGCTACAGTAATAGGCTGCAGTAACCAAGAAAAGCACTCTGGCACTGTAGAAAACCGGGTACTGTGGCGGGTCATGCTATTGTATCTGGTCTTCTGTGGCGGTGCGCTTCTCAACCCCCCGGGCTGCCCGGGGTAAGATAGGCACTAAAACGGCCAAGTGAGTCTTCGGCCTCTGCAACGGTCGCCGCGGGGTCTCGGAACAAAATTTCTGGCTGTCGCATTCTCTTGTTTCCACTTGGCCTGGCCCCGAGTCACCAGCACAGCACATCAGCGCATCACACGCACACAGACCGCAAAGATGGCCGACGGAGAGGAAGAGATCGCTGTCTACGACGAAGTCGAAATCGAGGACATGACTTTCGACGAGGCCCTACAGATTTACCACTACCCTTGCCCGTGCGGCGACAAGTTCGAGATCGCACTCTGCGACCTTCAAGATGAGACCACCGACATAGCTGTCTGCCCCAGCTGCAGCCTCATGATCAGAGTCATCTACGACATGGTATGCCGTTGCCATCATCTGTCCAACCCGAACGTTGTACTGACATTGCATCCAAGGATAACCTTCCCAAGCCAGACCCTGAGCCTCCGGCAGACGAAAAGCCGGTCGAGCAAGTTCCGATCGCCGCCTGAGAAATACCCTCTCCACTCGGGAGACGAATAGATATATGATCCCTTCGAAATTCGGGGTGCAGGTCAAGTGGCGGTTGGCGCCAGGTTCAATGCAGATGGGCCCTTGCTGCGGGCAATCGACGTTTCCTGCTTCAATCGAAAGTGGCTCGGCCAGTGTATAGCTACATGTGCAGTTCGCAAGAGGAAAAAGAGCACTAGTATGACAAACAGGGCTTTGAAGGCCATGCCTCCATGTACGGCTCTCGTATATCACTTCTCCACAAGACAACATACAGCGGCATGCCAAGAGGGCGCGACGAGCAGCTTCGACAGCTTAAGAAGCCGCATAGCGCCGGCATGGGAAGGTGGATGACGGGACATCGACGTGACGGAGAAAGTACACAATGCTACGGGTTCTAGATCATATACAGTCGTCGGCATATGATCACGCTCCAGACATACAGCGACAGTTTTGTAAGTCCAGCATCACCGTTCGGCAGCCATGAACGATAAAACGGGGACGATGAAAATTTGCTATCATTGGCACCCCGTATCGTATCTACATCGATCCTCTCTCTATGTGAGGTATGTCAGGTCCACCATATATATATATATATGTCGTCGAAAATCTCGTCAAATCGGTATCTCTCATAAATGCATGCCCAGTAGGTATCCAACGCCAATGCCGATGCCGATGCAACCTGAACGCCGTTGAATGAATTGCCGCCGGAAGAAAAAAATGAATGTTGGGTATCTCGTGCTTCCGTCCCTCCACCATCTACACATATCTATATCGTCTCTCGCCGTTCGGTGTTGTACCATCTCATAGAAGACAGAGTCCGGCGACACCAAACACAATCAAGCTGAATATCGACTTGTCTAGAGTTGGCGGCGGTATATCGCTCGAAGCTGCGGCGGCTGACGGGGATTTCGAGGAGTCCATTGACTCTGCAGGAGAGCTTGTCGCTGCTGTAGCTATGGTGCAAATCATTTAGCTACGCCAATTCGAGAACAGTTAACTCGGCAGGGACATACTTTGCGTGATATTTGCGGGCCCTTGGGCATATGGGCCAGCAGTGCCGGCATCGTGGCTCAGTAAGACTGGAACCTGGGGAGCACTGCGTGGTTGTACCGCGCAGATGGCCGGGATCGCAGCAGCGAAAACAAGGCTGGTAGGCCGCATTTTGAGGGTCGAACTGTCTGGTTTCTGGTTTATGCGAGCTTGGGCGTTCGTGACAGAAATAAACAATGCAGACTCGCGGTGCGCTGCAAGATATGCCTCGATTCTGAAAAATCGACACAGGCAAAGGGCAAAGGGGTGGCCCGCTAACAGCAGCAAATCTTACGATAAGCGGGATAGCACAACAAGTGGGAAGCTCGATCGGTGGCAACGAAAGGCTCGGGCGCTCTTGGAGCTTTAACAGGCCAGCCAACCAGGTCTGCGGCGGGGCAGGGGCAGCAGATCAGGTTCTCAATCAAGCTGGCACGACATCATCATCGCCAGACCCGGCAGAAACGCTGGAACCAGGAATGGCGGATCGGGTTCGACTCGCAGGCAAGGGGTCGGAGCGTGGAGCGTGGAGCGCTGCTGGGTGGGTTCCACGTTTTGAGAAACGGAGCGGCAGAGCGGGCTGCATTGAAAGGACTCGACTCGCCGGAGTGGCCCAGAGCTCGTACTATCTTTGCTAACAGCTCCCGTTTCAAGACCTGCCTTGGAAGTTGGGGCCCTGTCAGAGTCCAAGGGCCGATTTGGGGGCTCCACCAGACCAGCCAGGCACTTTTCGCACTGGACCGCACTAGGCACGCCCACGGCATGCCTGCTACGGACGCCCGCCGGCCCTGCGTGCCCAGTCCCTATCGTCGCCAACATGCGCGAAATATCGACCGAGAGCCCCCTCCCCAGAGTCAGGAAAGATGCGACGATGACGGAAGCGCCAGGGGTGTGCGACCATTGTGTTGGTGCTTGAGTTTCTCCATCCATGCTCACTGCTGACGCTCCTCTTGTCTGCCACGCAACAGGAAACAAAAACCTTGGGGAGGCCGCCTCTTGACCACGCATCTTCGGCCAGCTCGCTGCCATGCGGCATTGCAGAAGAGCCTCGTCGTGCAGATTCTGCAGGACATGCTTTTCTCACCCCCTTCCACTGTTCCCTGACGATCGCCACGGCACGAAGTGCGCCTCTTCTTGCTTGCTCCCCCAGACTAGGAGAAATCAAGAACCGCCCGTTCGTTGCATGCACGGCTGAGTCCGCTTGGCTCTGGTAGGCCTTAGCCCACGCCATAGTTCGGCATGGACGCTTGCGCGGCTACGGTTTAGGCAAAACCGGGAGGTTTGCTCTGCTTCATTGATTTTATTTCACATCAAGCGCGGGAAACACGCTGCGTGGTCGTCAATATCAACCTTGATGCAGCTCCTGTGAAGCTTGGATACCTGCGACAGCCATTCCCCGCGATAAGCTTCCTGCTCTCATTGTGTCGTCATTGTGGCAGGGATTCGGCGGGAACTCGGCATAGGGCGACATGCCTTCATCCATCACCACTCCGTCTACCCATCCAGCCAGCCATCCTCCCCACCTACACATGCATAGCAACATGCTTATCACGAAATATTGCTCTCAAGGAGCTGACTAGGCTAGCCCGGATTCCTACGAGGAAATCAGGAAGGCGGCGTGCGCAGCAACCCAATATTCGTAGATTGTAGACACCATGTAGATAATACAGTGAGTGCCCCGGTCGTTTCCGAATGACAGAACGGTGCCATCCGGCCATTGGTCACATCGCAACACAAAGGCTTTCGTCGCTCTATCAGAAGCCGAACCAGCACTCGTCCAGGCTCGTTCAGATTTCACACATTGTGCGGGTTTATCTGTCTACTTCGAGACCGAGGGTTGATGCAGGGTGGTGCAATCTGCTCAAGCGTACTCCCGTATACTATACATCCCTAGGATAGCTTTCCAGGTGCTTGTCCGCCCCAATACGAATGATATTCCAAGCCCTCGCTTGGTTCTGTGCCCATTGTCTTTGTTTCCAATCCTATGCACGTGCAATGCAGGTACTAATGGTTTTGCCGGGCGCAACGTCGAGGTTCCCACTGCCAAGTCAATCAATTGGGCCCATCTCGGGTCCTCACCACCAGAAAAGTCCTTCCACTGCCCTCCAGGCCAGGTGTGGCTCGCGTGCGCAGATGCAACTTCGTGGCCGGGACTCGGCTCCCATCCAATGCTCTCTCGAGGCGTCCATCAACTCGTTAGCAGGTGACTAGTCAGCTTGCAAGCCGCGAGGATGGAGAAAACCCCGCCATGCCGAAGACCCCTGTCGAGCATGGAGAGGCGCGGCGCGAACCCCTCGGCTTCTCAATTGCGAAAATCCCATTCGCGGCAGGCTGACGAGCTGGGCTGAGTCCGGATGGGTCTGCGATGCACCGACAGATTGGAAGCTCCAAGTCCTTGTCAGCTGCGCCTGGACCGTTGCGACTGAGCCGCGAGGAGCCAGTAGTCGCTCGGAATCCTACAGACCAAGCCAGAGGCTTTCTTCAGCGGAAGTGCAAACTAACTTTGCGCCGGTGGCCTTCGCTGCCTCAACGTCCACTCTTTGATCTTCTGCGCGCGGTTGGTTCCGGGAATCTGGGGACGTCTCCCCCGAGGTAGTAGCTCGCAAGCCAGCCAACCCGGGTCTTTTCGCCATCGATCACGAACAACACCGATTGCGACCGCGAGACCGCACCCGCAGCTTCAGCCCTCCCTCACGAGATATTCGCAGCCCTCGGGACGCGCGTGACCGGACCAGCTCTGGGTTCCTGCAATAAGCCGCAGGCCTCCCCTCGATGACCCACGAGGTACATGCCCATTGCGTAACCTAGGGGTCCAATGGGAGCACGCCGCCGTCGACACTCCCAAACCGCGTGAAGCAGGAGAGCAGGAAGATGGCGGGCGACAACGGCGGCACCAGCCAGGCCGCCGCCAAGGACACGCGATCCGACAGCGAGACGAACGGGAACGCAAAGTCCAAGGACAGCACCCCCACGGCCACCAATGCCGCCTCGGCCAGTGCCACCGATGCCAATAAGAGCCCCAGGAAGCGGCGCAAGGTCAATCACGGTATGCTGTGCTTCGATGCTAAACTCCTATCCCCCTTGATTCAACAGGAGAAAGATCGTATCAACGAGCCATGGCTAATTTTGGACCGTGTTCCTACAGCTTGTGTCTACTGCCGTCGATCTGTAAGCTCTCTAGTTCCTGTCCGACATCTGTCACTGCTCCCCCCGTCCATTGGGTCCACGTCTGCGTATCTTCCCAGCGTGTGTGGATCGCACTGATAATGGCCCGTCGCTCGCCGGGGGCGCCCTCGTCCTCATGGCGCAGTCGACAACCCATTCGCGTGGCTCCGCGTACCTCTGGTCCAAACAGTGAAGCTCTTCTTGGTGTGACATATGGCTAATACTTAGGCCTGCGGGCTTCCAGCATATGACTTGCGATCTCGTATGTAAGATCCTTTCCTTTTGCGTTACTTGTTTAGAAATTCGGGTCTTGGCCTGCATGAAATAATGGAGTCGTCGCTGAGCCTGTTTGTGTGTCTATAGGAGAGGCCGTGCACAAGATGCATAAAGCGGAACATCGCTCACCTGTGTCATGACGAGCCCCGAGATGCGGACTCGAAGAAGCCCAAGAATTCTCATGGTACGGCCGCGCATGACGAATCAGAGGTCCAGACAGAAATGCCGCGCAACAACTCGATAGACCAGAACGATGCTTCTGCGGCGATGGGCCCGCCCTCCTTCAACGGCGCCGGCGCTTCCCAGGGCACCAAGCCAGGCTTTGGCGCAGGTGCGCTGGGCCGGGGGAATCCCCTACAGCTTGTGTCACCGGGTCCGGTCTCTGGGATGCAGGCCAATGCCTCTAGCAGCAATATGAACCAATGTAGGTTTTGTAGAACCCCCTATGAGAGCCAGGGCCGCCGAAAGCTGAAGTGATCGTGTAGTCGCCGGGTTTTCTGATGCCTGGTTGACCGCCCAGAACCAATTCCACGATATGCACAGCTATAATCCCCAGTACATGCTCGCCCCTGAGGTCACTCATGAGTTCAACCTACTCAACGACTTCCTCAACACGAGTCTCCTCGATGACACCGGGGCGCTTCCGGACGATCAAAATCTCTTCAGAAACAGCCAGTCTGACATGGCGGGCTTTTCGGGCAGCAATGCCAACCTCCTCCCGCCCAGCGCCGCGCAAGGGGGTTCGATGCTTCCGCCAAACATAGAGCAGGCCAACTCCATATCGCGGCCGGCGAGTGTCATTCCGACGGACAAGACGCGCGAGTTCTATCTCCAAGCAGCAGACCCGTCAGGCAACGACACTCCGGAAGAGCGCATGCAGCGAGTTTTGAAGGCCAAATACGATGCCGGCCTCTTGAAGCCGTTCAACTACATCAAGGGGTACGCGAGGCTCGGCAAGTACATGGACAGCCACATTGCCGCTGCCTCGAAGCAGAAGATACTGCGCCAGATTGATCGGTTCCGGCCCAAGTTCCGCGAGAAGATCCACAACCTGACCGACATGGAGCTCATCTACGTCGAGATGTGGTTCGAGCGCACACTGCTGGAATACGACAGAGTGTTTGCCGCGATGGCCGTGCCCGCTTGCTGTTGGAGGCGAACGGGCGAGATCTTCCGAGGCAACAAGGAGATGGCAGAACTGATCCACGTGCCCGTCGAACGATTACGAGATGTCAGTGGGGACCCAAGATGAGAAGCACTCTGGCCACCTGAGCTAACGCAGATGTACAGGGCAAGATATCTCTGCACGAGATCCTGACGGAAGAGTCCCTAGTACGCTACTGGGAAGAGTTTGGAACGATTGCATTCGACCCTGCACATGATACCCTCTTGACGGCGTGCGCGCTCAAGAACCCGGACGATCAGTCGCACGACCCGATCGTCAACTGTTGCTTTTCCTTCCATATCCGGAGAGATGACCACAAGATGTAAGCAGCGAGCATATCTTGCTCTTTGTGGTGCTGATGACGCTAACAAGCCGCCAGACCCAGTCTCATCGTGGGGAATTTCCTCCCGCACGACCCTGCGCACTAATGCATGGATATACACTGTGCATGTTTTCTCTGGTGGCGTGATAACCGGCAGTAGCTACAGAAATGCTGGGTCGATCTGATATAATCACCCGGGTAGTTCGGCGTCTTAAACCTCGATACCCTTCAGGCGGCTCTCGTCTCTTGTCACGTCATATATGCCCACTATTTCCTCGGTGGAAAGACAAAAGCAAACTTATCAATAATTTAACATCTATCAAATGCCTGAGCCTACATGAATATATGCCAGTTTTCCGTGCTCTCTTTTGCGGGCTCTCATTTTGAGCAAGGCTCGGTTAGGTTGCATGATGCCTCCTCGGAACGCATCCGGACGCGCCTTCCCTAGATGTAGAGTGAGGCAGCAGCAACACGCCACGCCATCCCTTTGGTCTCCCGTAGAGAAATCATTCCACCCTCAACTTATTTTCCAGTCCATGGAAATAAATCCTTGAGAACAAAGTGATTTGGTGCCTACTCCATCTCCCCCGACATCACTAAGAAGCGGTGTGAATGTTTGCTACCTCGACTCTTTCCCGGCATTCAGTGCATTCTCCTGCGCGTTGATCTCAGACCACGACCGGATGGAAACATGGTTATTCTGTCCAACAATAGAAAGCGAATAGAATTGGTGTCGTGCAGACCCTGAATCCTGACGACCGCAAGACTTCACGATGGCACCACCAACCACTGCAAATGACAACCACAAGCAAGCGGACGCTTTCATCGGTTAGTCTGGATACGGCTTTTATGGTCCTGGTCACCCACGTTGACAGTGCCTAGCCTACGCGCACGAACTCCATAACAGACTACGAGATCGGAAATCCGAGAATCAGATTCGCCAGCTGAGGGCAGAATTAGAAAGTCAGATACGCGCCGCCAAGTCGTACAGCCTGCGCAAAAGCCGGCGGTACGAGCCACTCGATGCAGCGGGTACCGACCTTTGGAATCTGTGCACGCGCCTGAACCGTGAACAGGACGGCGATTCTACCACTTCGCTTCGGCAGACGCTGACACTGGGTCGGGTCTTCGCATTTTCTCTCGTCTCCCTTGCCCACGGTTCGAACAACGCCTCCGTGCCCGAATTGATCCGCCTCACAAGAATATCTCTCAAGGCAGGAAGGTCATGCATAGGCAAGCTGCCAACTTCTGGTACTGTGGATGTAGTGCTGCAGAGCTGATACCTTGTGTAGGAGATGGTGAGCTGGAATGCGCACTGCTGACGCTGCAGAAGGCCGCGGACTACAACGGACTCCTGCAGGGCCAGCGGCATGGAATGCCAGATGATGAGGTCGTTGCCTGCAAGAGGCTCGAAGTAGAATACTTCATCTTGCGTACCGCACTAGTAAGTGACCGTTTCCGTACTAATGATATGTACACAGTGCACTAAAGCTCTTCAAGTCATGGAAAGAGGGCCGCCTCGATGTTGCCGAACATATGTACGGCAAATCTGAAACCCTGAGAGATGATTTGGACCCCACAACGGCGGAGAAGCTGACAGACACTCTATTTGAGATCGGCCGTGATTTTCTAGGAAAGAATGATTCTCCGATGGCTACCAAGTGGCTTGAAAGAGCGTACGAAGTAATCGGCAGCCAGGAGCTTGAGAAACTCTCCCGAGAGGCGACCGAGCTTCGTCTTGCTGTTTGTCAAGCGCTAGTGCAGGCTCTCCTTCAGTTGGGCACATCTGAAAGCTATCACAGGGCCGAAAACATTGTCTCTTATATCGAGTCTGAGTTGGGTGACAAGGTTCTTGTGCTGCTTCTTCGCCTAGAGATCCTCCTGAAAGTGCCAGGGGAGGTTTTTGAAAGCGACGCATATGCCAAGGTTCTTCGTCGCCTATATAGAGCCGCCAGCCTCTCGGACTCCATGTTCAAGCTTGTGGTTAGCCATATAAGGAAACTTGACGACAAGAGTCCGACCCTGGCGTGCCAAGTACTCGACGATTTCATTGCCAGTCATGTCATTCCCAGCCAGCGAGATGATTGGCTGGGACGTACGGTGCTCATCCGAGTCCACATGTCAACCAACCAAAGGGAATCGATCGAGACTACAGAAGGTCTCCAGAAACTTTTGGATCAAGTCGACCTGGGTACTGAACAGCCTTTGGCTGCCGATACATCGATCACTATCCTCACTGTATGTTATCCTATAATGCCCAAATCGAAGATCTTGTACTAATAACTACAGCTCATTTGGAAGAAGCTAGACTCAAACTTCAGGCAAGGGCAGCTAGAAGTGTGCGAGTCATGGTGTAAAGTCGCTCTCCATCCTATATTACGGCAATATGGCCCTGCTAACGCCGGCAGGGTTACCAGGCAAGTTCCCCAGCCCACTTATATCATCGGTTGCTCAGACTAGGTAGAAAGTTACTTCTTTGCGCCCTACAACGGAACGATGTAGACGGCGCCAAGAACATATTTCAAACAATGTCGGAAGATGTTCAGACTCAACAAATGACCCTATATCTGGGCTACAAGCTGGCCATTAGGAGCGGCGATCAGGATATGGCGTCGCGATGCATTGACCTCGTCAGCAGCGCAGCTTCTAATGACCCCAAGTTCCTGTATGCGTGCTGTGTGGATGCTCAGGAAAGCGGAAATGAACTTTGCCTCTTGAAAGCTCTGAAAGAACTTGCCAACAAGAATGAAATCATCAAACCTGACGTTCATTTCCCAGCTTTGATAAGAGTCACTATTCGACTTCAAATCTCCATCCTCGCTAAGGAAGACCTGCCCAGCATCGATTCCGACATAATTATCAACGACTTGTGTGAAACATTTGAAGGAGGTTAGCAATTTCATTTCACCAGCTTCAGGTCTTATCGCTGACACTACATAAGTTCTTGGGGTACTTCAACGAGACCCGCGGGCTGGAGACGGTTCCAAGTTATTCTCAGTTACGGAACTAAATTGGTTCTGCAAAAATGCGTATAATCTGGGCATCAGCCATGCAAACGACTGGGGCCTTCAATACGTGATACGTATGTTCGAGGTCTGCCTCTTGATCATAGAACACTACCCGAAGGACCTCCCCGGCCAAGAGATGGGCGACATCACATTGAGGGGATTGTTTTGCAATTTCATGGTCGCGGTAGCGTATGCTGCCTTGGCTCGAGCTCAGGATCAGATTGAAGTACAGCTGCAAAACTACGTTAACATGCGCAAACGTATTCGAGGTTTTGACATCAAGTTGGAAGCGCACCTGGCTCATCTGGATAACGAGAGTAAGGAGGATCTTCAGGCAAAACTGGGGATGCTGCTAGTTTTCGACTTCGAAGCTGCCATATCCCTAAAGGCTTGGGATGATCTCGTAGTCATTACTCGGAAGGCACAGACTTGCAAATCTTTGAGGAGTCTTCAGGCGATGGCCGACTACCTTCTCAGAGCCGAAAAGCCGCCGATGCAGAGTACGTTGATCCCGCTGTCCGCGTTTGCAAGTACTTACGACTTCTAGCTCTCTACTCAGCATTGCGCACCATTATCAACGAGATTTGGAAGCTTGAGGGATTTGACATCAACAAACTTGCAAAATACCTGCGGTGCCTCACGCAAGCCACGCTCCCGGACAAAGATCTTTCTCTGGGGTTGATAAAAGAGACTTGCGACTACGTCAAGAGGGCGGAAAACGTGAGCTTTCAGGACCAAGCGACTTTGTGAGCATGCCCTGACTTTTATCGCTAGACAGAAAAGCCGTTTCCAAAGTTGGAACTGGAGTGGTTCGCGACGACTGCGTTCAACCAAGGTGTCGACTACTATGAAGCACAGGAAGACGAATTAAGCAAGAAATGGATCAGCCAGGCCTTCACTCTAGCCCACTATCATCGAGATGGTGGCTTTTTAGAGAAGGCGTTGCAGGAACATCATACCCGTCTGAAGTGGGATTAGCGATGTACCGTGTGAGATGGTTGTTTCCGTACAGGCTATACTGGCCATTTTAGCTGTCGCCTACGTCAGTTTAGAAGCTTCTGAAACGAGCATTGTTTGCACTTGTCTGTTTCTTTCGTGTTTTTGTTGTCTCGTAATGCCACCTCGGTATGGTGATCTTGGCATCGATGCTATTGATCGTAAGGAGTACACTGTTGTACGGACGTGTATTAATTGTATGTAAAGTGCAAGTACTGAGCGTGCAGTCGAAGGTTCTACGACCGCGGACATGAAATGAAGAAATTCTCGCGATTCTCATATAGACATAATGTTCAAGTATAAGGTCATGAGAACGGTGCATGATTCCAGGATTCCATTATTCCATCCCCCGAGGCCCATACTGATTGCTTTGTCTGGCCAAGTTCTTAACTAGTGTACCATATCCATGACGTACTCGACCCAGCCCACGACGCAGGAACGCTGAAGTCATCCCAATAATTGGAAGTCCTCTTGATGAAAAGTCAGAGAGATTTCTCTCGAGTATGTATAGGTAGAACCAAGAATTCTTCATTCTTCAGGATTAAGCATCACATCAAAAACGAGCGCTGCCAAGATGGTTAAGGACGATCAGACAGTCATCGAGTCAGTACCGTGGCCTCCACTGAATAGCGCTAAGCAAGTTGCTAACCGCATCGCATAACAGGGAGTTCAATGACATCGTCAATATGTCGGCTTCGGAACCTGAAACCTGGCTTAAGGAGGAGTCTTCTGAGAGCGCAGGCTGGAATAAAGATGATGGATCCGGCGAGACAATCGGACACGAGAGGAAGGGTTTCTCGTCTACCCTACTGTGTTCACTCACTGACCCCTGTGGTCTCGTTCCTGAAACGATGACTTGCACCCGGAAACCCGTTTCTTTCCCTATCAAGCGTATCATTTCTGAATTGGCCTGAACTGATTGCGACACAGCGGGCGGAAGATCATCGAGATCCTAACGAAGAATCCCAAGAAGGACGCAACCAAGTACGACGACGACGACATCGCGCACATGCGGCGCGTCGTCGCTTACTGCAAGCGTCACTTGGCGCAGGAGGAGAAGGCGAAGCAGGACCCCGAGAGTAAGAGCGCGCGCTCGCTGAAGAACTGGGGCCACGATCCGCAGAAGGCATAATGCCGGCCGATTCGATCCTCGCAAATGCCTGCGCTTAAACTTGTGCTTCGGCGCTGGGATAATAGACAAGTATCCGGTATTCAATGAAAACATGTTCGGAGGCACTTCCTTGTCGTGTCGTAATTCTCACGGGCTCACACCTCAACCCCGAGGAGCGCCCTCTTCTCCTTGACCCCGGGCGGCAGCGTCTCGACGCCCTCCATGCTCTCGTCCCCGCGCGCGCCGGCCTCCATGTCCCGGAGCTGCCTGAGGAACCCGTCGTTGGGCCGGACGCAGGGCCGGCGGCTCACCAGCAGGCGCAGCGCCTCGCGCAGGCTCAGGCCCTCCTTGCGCACCAGGTACGCGGCCAGCACGGCGGGGCTGCGCGAGACGCCGCCGACGCAGTGGACGAGCACGCGGGCGTCCGGGTCCCGCCGCGCCTTCTTGATGATCTCGCCCGCCAGCGCCGCCGGCGCCCCCAGGTCCGCCCCCGGGACGTCCAGCAGGCCCAGGCGGTGGTATGCCAGCGCCGGCGACCGCGGCGACACGGGCTGGCAGCCCAGGGACACGACGTGCGTGATCCCCGCCGCGAGCGCCGTGCGGGGCTCCGTTGCCGTGCGAGGCCCGAGGTACAGGTATGGTGTTATCTGGACGATGGTTGCCGAGTCCGAGGAGGCATAGAGGTGAGATGCAGATTGCTTTTGCTTCTGTTTCTTGCGCGCCATTCTTGAGATACGTGGAGTGCTCGAGGATACGTTGAATAGAGATTTTTCACGGTATAGTGTGCCATGACAGCATTACGACTGTTGTGTTCGGCTGATGAAGTCGTCGTTGAGGCGCAGGTGCTCAGGGCTGTGCAGCTTTATGAGTCATCCGGCTTATATCAGTGGAAGCACTCATTGGTTCCCACGGTCGTCTGGATTGGTCCAGGTTATACTAGCGCTATAATTGAACAAACCATAACTTGAATACTACAGGGAGGAATTCTTGTAATGTCGTGCAGTTTGTTTGGTCGCGCTACTCATATCACAGCTCAGCACCACGCGTCAGTGAAACCCGGGTGGGATAAGGCTTGAAAAACTAAGATTATCATTATCAGGTATTTCGACGATCACTTCCTTCACCCAATGGTCGTGACATTCATCGCCTTAACCCATGGCTTCCAGTAGTTGTCAATGGTCTCGGCGTCGTTCCAGCCGCTCCAGTCGAAGTTAGTCAAACCCCAGGTGTCGGCGAGTCCCTGAACACCACTTCGCACTCGGTAGGAACCGGCGAGACCCCACATCATCCAGCTAACACTGTGCTTCTTGGTGTACTCCTTCATGCAGTTCTGCAGTGTGCCGTTGTAGAGCGTCGAGTCTTGGGCATGTCCAAACTCCGAGAAAATTACAGGCGTCAAGCGCTGCGCTGGGGGACAGTCGCCAGTGATGTCACAGGCGGGAGGCGGCTCAATACCGAGAGCGTTGAAACCGTTGCGGTATAAACCAGCCTCGACTATGGCGCAATCACCAGTATCCAAATCGTTGGACATGGGGTAGAGATGCAGTTCCCAGACGATCTTGTCAGCAAAGGGGTAGCTGTCAAGGTCAAAGTATACCGGCTCTCGACGGAGAGCATCACGGATGGCATCACATTGATAGCAAGGCGCCGTCAAGATGTTCTTCTTGGTTGTCAAGGCAGACAAGTCCTCGTCGTATTGCATTCCAGACCATGTGATGAGTAGATCGGGGTTGGTGTCATGGATCGCGGCAGCACCCGCGCTCATGTTGCCCACCATGGTCTGCCAATTGTAGTACAGGTCCGTCACATTCCAGGATGCGCGCAGTTCGTTGCGGAGAGACATGGAGACGATGTTGGGGTGCCCCTTGGCCCAGTCAGCGACGTAGGACAGGCCACGGCGCCAGTTGGAGGCATTGAAGTTGTAGTCGTCGAACCAGGAGCTGCCATCGTAGTGCGAGCAACACCACTGGGCTTTTCCGACGTGCACATCGGGGTGGATGAAGATGCCTTTCTTCAAGGCCAGGGCCGCGATGTCGGACCATATTTCAAAGCGGGTGGTCTGAGGAGTCCAGCCGGGGTTCTTGGACACGATTTCGTTGGTTACCTTGGTACCGTTCTCATACCCAAGGGCCATGATCATGGTGACTTCGAGAGGGACATCGTCCCCGTTCCGTTCGTATATTTCATCCACCATTTGAATGGCATAGCCCCTTTGACCTGTCAGTCAGACAATTTAGACTGGTAGAGTGTAGTGACTAACATGCGAATGTAGTTGAACCCCACGCTCTTCACGTTGTCGAGAATCTCCTCGGCAGACGCCCATTCCAAACCCTCCGGGACCATGGTTTCTCCTGACAATACGGTCTTAGCATTCTCGCATGCTTTCAGTCATATTAACGCTATCACTCACCACTCATAGGCCAATTGACACCTGCCCAAGTGACGACTTCACCTTTGCTGTTCACCACATCGCGTCCCTGCGTTTTGAAAGGGCCGTAAGGCCAGCCATCGGTCGAGGAGTTATCCTGCCGCGGCCGGACCTCTCTCTGCCAGCGCGGTTCATGGCGTGCTGGTAATACCGGAGCTACGGGCATCCACGAGCAGGTTGCCGAAGTGGCGAGCGACGCGACCAGTGTCGCGGAAGTCAAGACTCTCATGTTGGGCGATCAAGGTTCGCAGCGAGGGCACGCGTGGAGAATAGACGCTGTGAGAGGAGGCCGTCCAAGGTTCAGGTGTCGCGAGGACCGGCAGACCGGTTTTATTAAAGGCATATCGGGGGATGTTATCCTACAGCGGCCCAGATCGCCTATCCAGGACCAAGTAAACTACGTTCGTGCGGGGTCGTTCAAGATCGTGAGAGCACAATAAATGTTTGCACGTTGGTAACCTGGGCACCGACCATCCAATCGCCTACGGCTCCGTGATCCCCGCGAAGGAACCAGGGTATGCTGGCCATTTAGGCGCTCGAATTGGCCTGAATGACGTTGGAGACAAGCGGTCTCTTGGGGGAGATGGGGAAATTCTCCACTGGTTTGCGGGGTAGTTCAGGGGTCGTTCCCGAAGCGCTGGTCTTGGCTCATGATCAGGTTGCATGTTCGGGTTACAATCTTTGCGGTGAGCGGAAGAATTACCTTCTTTCAGAGATCAATTGGCCGAGACAGTGGATCTAAAGAACATGAAAGCAGTCCAATGCTCAATGAACTCCGTTGGCTCCAGCACCCGTCTCGCTGGGTCAGGCTGCCATGCTGAGCCACCACGCGGCACGAGTATCCGTCATCAGGTATTTAAACTAGCTTTGACAAGTTTTGTGCGTGTTGGTGCCTTGAAAAGCCAGGAGTTCCCGATCCACGTACTTCCATATAAGCCATGTCTAGATCAGTTCCCGAGTACACCTGATCATGGTTGTGAATTCTGCGTGTAAATCCAGCAGGTACTTGGGTAGTTGTCTAGTGGCTTGAATGGCGACTGGCCAATGTCCTGACCACGGCGGTGCGCTATGTTTCGGGTGAAGCGGCTGAAGAACTAGTACTGATACTCTATCGATCAACCGTCCGTGGGACCTCGTGTCTATCACATGACTATCAACAACATGTGGTCTGAATTTGCTTAGATGTGACCAAGACGCTGCGGTACTGGATCAACATGTAATGGCCTAGACTAGAACGAGGCTTCATATACAGCAGCGACAGTGTAGGGCACCTAAGTGTGATAAGAACTAGAATTTTGACGCAAGAATTATTGCAGTGCTCTCCAGTACAGTTCGATAACACCTCTTGCCAGTTCATTGCTTCTTAGACCCCATTTACGCTACTCCTAGTTAAGCACAGTATCATGCTGAACAGTGCCCTCATCAGTGGCAGTGATGATTTTCCTCCGACTCTCTGCGTCAGTCGACTCTGTCCATTGATTACGTCCACATCCGCCCTGGATGGCAATCTTGTTGTGGGAACTTGTGCGTAGCGGGCCAAGTCTGATTGAGCCGCCCGATACTCCCAATCAGCGAATCTGGTATGGTCCTGCTGAACTGACTCTCTCATGTATCTTTCTCAAATTCATTATTCGCCAGGAACATAATTAATAAAGAAGACGAGTTTATTGACCTTCTCAACCACCCACTCATCGACGAAGTCATACCATGGTACCTAGGCGATCACTCAATCATCTACTCCTACACAGCCAACATTGCGCGACTTGGCAATGTCCCCATGCAGCTGCATACCGATCAGTTGACCATATCGCCACCAGCAAGAGACATTGCTTACGGTATGGATATCATGTTCTACCTCGAGGATATCACCGACAACAACGGCGCCACTCGCGTCTACCCAGCGTCGCACCTTGGTAACATTGCGCCGAGTGACATATCTACCGTCGTGAGCTCGGATTATCGACCTTGGTTCATGAAGCTACACCAAAATACTGACTGAGCATCAACAGGATGGTTCAATCCCAGCAGAAGGCCCAGCCGGTACAGCACTGGTTTTTGAAAGCCGTCTGTGGCACGCAACCGGACCGAATCGTGCTGAGAAAGGGGAACGCCTGTTATCCTACTCTTTTCCATGAGAGCTTTCGTTCGTCCGCAAGAGAGCGCCTACTTGTTGTTGGGCAAGGACGTCGTAGCCAAGCTACCAAACCGGCAGAAGGCTTTTCTGGGGTTCAGGACAGCGCCAGGGCTTGGGGGTACCGAGGGAAACACGCTTCAAGGGTTCTATGTTAGTCGAAAAGAAGACGCCATTGGAATCTTGTGGGAGCCACACGCTGAGATATATGACGATTGACTACTATTTGTTGAGTAGCAATGTGCATAGATTTAGTTACATATGGTCCTGTTGTGCCAAGCTTCCCTGACATATATTTGCAGCGCTTCCTTATACAATCACAACGATCGACCCTGACCCAAAATGAAGTCACGGTGTATGCCTAGTAGTATCACGCAGAACCCGACTATCCAACTAAACTCCGAGTCCATTTCTCGACCCAAATCCAGATTAGCTTCAAAGGCATACAGATACCCCTTTCAAGCTTTCTTTGTTTTCGTTTCAGCCTCCAGCGCCGCAGCCTCGATCTCCTCTTCCGCTTCTTTAAGCAGCTTGGGCATTCGGTCCTTCAACACTTCAAGTGACCGGTTGTCTTTTCCTGTAGTCGCTTCGCTCAAAACAGCACGCATCATAGCCTTATACTCAACATCGATCCACTAGAACACGGCCTTCTGCTCCAGTTCGGTCCGCCAATTGGGCATCCGCTCCTTCCATGCATGCACGCGGTCCTCCCACTGCTCCAGTAGGCGAATCCAAGTGATGCGGCATGACAGGCAGTAGTCACGGTCAGCATCCGACGTGGTATCTAGCCGCTCCACCACGCGGTGTCCTAGATATAATCCGCAATGGACTCCGAGCCGACGCGTGGTCGTGCACGGCAGGTCTTTCAGCGGCGTGGCGTTGGTGTCGGCGTGCCGACATTGCAGGTAACCCCGGTAGCGGTAGTAGCACATGGTCACTTTTCTTCCTTCTGTGCCCTTCTCAGCGTCTCGAATCTGAATCGAGAAAAGCTGCGGATGCTATCAACAGGGGCCTGCCATCTCGTGCCTATGAGGGTCAAACATATCCAATGACCGTGGATGCCGTCTCATTTGGAAATAAGACCTGGTATTGTTGCAGAGATTATACAAAGAGTATGTGCAACAAACACAACCTATGGATCTTTATAATGCTCTTTGTACTGCATACTCCCCTTCAAAACCCCAACGTCAACCTGGTAAGTCGTGCTAAACATTCTCTTGCACTCTCAGGCTTTCAGGTATCCTATGCTCTCAACAACGACCAATGGAGATAGAACTCACACCAATGTACTTTCGATTTATTTCAATACTGTTTGTTTAGATATTGTCCCTATAGTCTAGTCAAGATGTCAGCGTCAGCTATCGAACAAAAGCATACCAGAAAAAGAAAATTTCACCTAAGACTCAACGAAGCCCGAACCTTGACAGTTAAAATTATGAACAGGAGTGGTGGACGGATGCTGGAATATCATATACGGCCTAGAGCCTTCATCTCATCCTCGTAGACTTTTTCAAACCATTTGATAACGAACTTCAAAAGGCACATCAAAAGGCACATCAAAAGGCACATCAAAACTGTGAATCCCAAGACGTATAAGTATCCCTCGTAGTACTTCTGTCGTCTATAGGCTCATCAGAGCCTTATAGTGACGCTTGGCATCTACGGAAATACGCGAATGGGAACAGGCCGTGTATAAAAAGTGGATCCCGAGAGTCAAAACTACTGCTCCCGTGTAGAGCCTTGTCCCTGTGCGCCTGGTTGGTACTAAAATTGCAGTGCTGGGTAGCTGCATTGTCAGGTTGTAGTGCCGGGTGGCTGCATTAGAGCTCACTATACAGTCTGGCAATCGGTCTTTGTATAAAACCCCCTCTTCCGACGGAACGTTATGTACATAGCAAGCCCGTATCTTTGGGCGTGAACCCTGCAAAACCGATGCTACTCGCGCGGTTGTGGTCTTTCGAATGAAGCCGTGAAAACAATATTTATTGCATACCTTCCTTGCATGCTTGAATAGCAAAATGTTGATTGCATTTGATAGGGTAAAGGAGAGGTATCATGTTCATATCTTCTTCAACTTCGGAACTCATATTCATGATAATGCCTCATCTGCCCAAGATCTTCTTTTCTTCTTTCTTTGTTTCTCTTCGTTGCCGTTTGTTGACTTTCACTCATTATTCAAAACCCTTTAAACCGACCATCATCCCAAGCATCGTCGGCGTCCGTACAACTCGTGACATGCGTCTCGAAGCTCTTCCCCCTCCTCGCGCCAAGGTCCCCGGGCGCGACTCCCAGCCCTTCCTTCCAGCTCGTCGTCGCCTCCTCGACCTTGCACACCACCACCCGCTGGATGTTGATGGCCGGCCCGGTCGAGTTGCGCGTGCTTGCCCGGCTGCTGAGCGAGAAGTGGCGCTGGAGGGGCGCGGTGCTCATGCTCATCGACGAGCGCCGCGACTCAACCAGCCTGGACGCACGCGGATACAGCGGGGATCGGAGGGACGATCGTGGCTGATCGTTGCTTTGGAAGACGTAGGACGCGTAGCTGCGCGGATCAAAGGCGGAGAAGCGCCTTACTTTGGGGAGAGTCGGGGGCAGAGAAAGGGTCGAGGCACGCTTTGACAGCAGGTTTTCGCGAGTGCTGTACTGTGGTAAAGTCACAAAGGGGCTTGTAGGGGGAAGTGGAAGTAAGTAGGCGAGATTAGATAGGACCAGATATCCCTGGACTTCCGCCGTGCTCCAGAGGATACCGGGAATGCTGTTATCTGTGAGGAAAGTCAGTATCGTGAATTGATTGGCTGGGTAGTTGAACCCACAAGTCATGTCGCGCGTGTTGCTAAGGCTGAGCGCCGGTATGCGAAGGCCAGCTGCAACGCAGACACTTGTGTCCATATTAGTTAGTCTCACACCTGCTTACGGAGGTAGAGGGGTGAATTAGACTCACAATCCTCCCAGTAGCAATATCAAGGCTGAGTAGAACAGCTTCTGTTTCCTTGATACCCGGAGCGAAACCACGGCTTGAATAACTGATACCAACACCGTCACATCCCCGCCAACGTTCAACATTGCGGAAACGGTATAAAAGGTGTTGGTATCTATGCAGATTCCTGGCGATCCGAGCCAGAACTTGCTGATAGGGGTGCACTGCAAAATAAAGCCGAAGAGGTTGGCCAAGAACACACCAAAGATAAAAGCTCCGACCGCAAGCACGGCACCTCTGCGGAAAGCAGTCCTCGGGGTCAGTCCGTAGCCAAACAACAGCAGCGAGGTCTTAACCCCGAACGTACTGATGGCCCAGAGCAGGTGGAACACATAGAGCAGCTTCCGGAACTCGACCACCATGTCCTCCGCGAGCGCACGGCGGTGCACCCCAAGGCCCAGGGAGAGACCTGTCGACGTGTTAGGCAGCATGTTCCCGCAACGGGCGTCAAGTGCAACAAGGGGAGAGTCCCACCCAGGTAGCCCAAAGCACTCAGCGCGAGGGCCAGCACCGTCGCCAACACCACGACCCCATCGTTCCACCCAAATCTGGCCCCGCCGGCACTCCACGCGCGGCAGCGCAGGCTCAGCCAGGCGGCGAACGAGGCGACGGAGAGCCCCAGGGACGCCGTCACGACGCCGGTGACGAGGCGTACGTTTTGGTCCTCGTCGGGTTCTAGAGCCATGGGCAGACTGAGGATGTATACCAGAGAAAGTCGGTAGGTATGACGGAAGATACGAAGAAGCAAGGAGAAGAATCCTCAACGGCTGTTCTTTGTTTTTTTTTCGTTGGCTCTTAGAAGATGGAGAAATTTAGAGCCCGCCTGGCAGGCTCGACAGCGAGTCTGTGGCGGAACGTCAATTATGTATTTACTCTAAGACCGCAGCGTCCCTCCCGTCCGTCCGCCGGCCCAGCCATGGCAGGTGTTTGTTTTCCGGGGACCGAGCGAAACCTGGGGATGGCCTCCGGCAACATTGGTGTTTGTTGTGACTGTGGTGTTTCCTTTCTTTTTTTTTTCTGTTGGGGCTTGCAGCCAGCCGGCGCGAACGGGCTAAAGCTTGGGCGAATTAGAGTTGACCAGAGGTCCTCCATAGCTCGGGATTTTAGGTTTAGAATGCATATAGTACGGGAGGGTTGTCTCGCGGCTAGTTAGCCGGCTAACTTGTCTTAGGGAGTTGCAGAGTCGTAGCAATGGCGATTTGTTCTGCGGTTGCCTGAGTTTGTGGGCTCTATACTGTGAGGACATGCGCAGCGACGTCTAAGATGATGCCGACTCGTACGTAGACCCAAATACTACATTTACCCAAGGTCTATTGTGATATATCCCAATCTTTCAACGGTGTACAAGCAGTGCCCACGTTGCGGGCGCAGAACGCTATCTAGAACACTCTCGATCTGGTCTCGGACATCGAAAGCCGCTAGCGCAACCGCAAGCCGACAGGAACGGGAAACCCTCCTTCGAAACGGCCCGCAAGGTTCGTCTTGAGATTGAGCACGTGTGGCTAAGAGGAGCTGGTGAAACACGCTGCCGAAAAGATAAAGGATATCAGGGGGCGGGAGAGTTCAGGGTTTCTGCGTCCCTGAAGAAGCTTGATGGAAGGAACAGAAGACAAGAGGAACATTAGGGCCTTGTCTGCCTACCAAGGTACCTTATTCTACTTTGTGGCGAACTGCTGAGATACTATGATTTTGAAAAACACAGACGTAGCAGTGAGCAACTCCCGAGGGCGAACAACACTGAGAGGTGTAGCAAGCCACTGTCCCCACACGGTACCCCGGGTTATAGACTGTCAGAATCCAACATCAGATTAAGCTCGTCCGCCCCCAGTTCACTCTGATGTCTCGCTCCATGGCCTGCCAGTACTTGCAGTATCGTGGTCACTGGGTGCGAATACATACATCGAGAGCCGAATACATTCACCCAAGCCCAGGCAAAGCCAACCTAGCCTCGTTTTCTAGAGAAGACTCCTGTAGTTCACATTCGCTGGCATTGAATAAAAACATAAAACGTTGGAAATAACGCTTTCATTGGATGCAAAAGCTATCTCAACATGCTCTACGTCTCCATCGCTGTCATCAGGTGCCCCTGAGTACTCTACTAGGGGGCCCATGGAGTTTTCTCCAACCGCTTCAAACCCCATCCCTTTTCGCTTTTCAAGCCCACCGCCCGGGACACCGAAGCTCAAGATGCTCCCTCCTTCGTATGCTAGGAAAAAACAACACGTGCTGTGTGGGGGTATCAATAGATATAATGTGCTCCGATCGATCCAGTCTAAAGGGAAGGGGAAAAAAAGACAAATAAATCTTCAGCCATCCATTTTTCATCCGCTTTGAGGGGGGCGGGAATCGGCGTAGTCGTTGGATGTCCAATGAGAATCCATCCCGTTGACTGGCCTAGCCCGAATACGCTTGTACAACCCCGTTCCTACTCCATCTACGCATAAAATCTTCTTGTCGCTGTCGACCCATGGTTCCCCTCTCTCTACCTCAGCCAAGTCCCAGCTGCGTCTCCTCCTCGGCCGGGATCGGCGTCCGCACCATCATTGCCCTCTCCTCTTCAAACTCTCTGAGGTCTGCGATGCTGAGGCTTGCCACGCTGTTGTCCTCGCTCTGCCCCTTGTCGTTGGGCAGGGGGCTGGGGCTTCGGCTGGAGCTCCCAGAGGCGATCCGGGGTGTGATGAGGGCGGGGGCCGAGATGGCTTTCTGCTGAGCCTGCTTTGCCTGGTTCCTCTGCTCTTCTCGCTCCTGCATAAGCTGTTTGTCGGCGTCGATAGCTTTGGCCCTTCGCTCCTCGACATCTTCCCTCTTGACGACTTTCCGCAGCCCCTCAGAGGCTTGGACCAGGCCGTCGATACTGATGGCGTGGTTCGTCATCTGACGGTTGATGTAGGTGTAGATCTCAGACGGCGCATCACATTGCAACAGCTGTTGTTCGTTCAACTTGAGCAGCGCCAAGGCAACCTGGAATAAGAACGTGCTGCCGTCGTTGGTGCACAAAACAACATCCCACACTCGGAAGAGCGCTTCTGCCGAGAGACAGTCTGTGAATATGCTCAGGAACCATTGGAATGTCAGTGTCTCGAGCTCGATTGACATTGCTTCCAGATGCTGCGAAAGCTTTGGTAAGACCTGCGAGACATACTGGCGCAGAACATGCTGGTCCGCACGCGAGGCCATGAGGCTGTGATCAAAGTAGCCCTCCGGCAGAATCCGCTCGATCATGCAAGTTAGGATCCAGAACGTGTCCTCCGTGGAGGGCATGATCAGGAGCAGGTTGGCAACGATCAGATTCATACCCTGGCAGTACCCAACGCCGGGGTTACGTCTAGCGTAAGCAACCAACACCTCGTGCAGCTTAGCCACTCCGGGTCCCTTGAGGAAGAAGATGTTGTCCCTGAGGGTACGGTCAATGTCCCTATCGATGTCGGTGACGGTGCTAGGATCAAGACCCTCGGCACCTTGTGCGACCAAATCGTCGTAGTAGCCAGGAATACGCTTGAAGGTGGCGCCGGAGCATTCGGACCAGATCTTGGGACGATACGTGACGGGTATGCCGCCTAGGACAAGATTTCGAAACTCGTTCCACTTCGCCCGGCCGACCTTTCCCTTCATGCCGAGATCGGCAACGCCGATGATCTCGCCGTCGGCTAGCTTTGCTTCAGGCAGCATCAGGGGCGCTTGTTGAAAGCGAGCCTCAGCAGCGGCAACAGCAGCAGCCGCTGCAGCTTCACCCTCGCGTCTCCTTTCAGCGCGTACTTTGCGTAGGAAATCGTTCCAGCGGTAAGTCTTGTCGCGCTGCAGTGCATCGTGTACCTCGTTCAACTGCTCCAGTAGTAGTTTCACAGGCTCAGTGTCTTCCTGTGGCGCAGTAACCATCGAAGCATCCTCGCTGGGTTTTGCTGTCTCGCTCGCTGCTGTCTCATCATTGACGGCGGCAGTGGTGCTCGCGGGTGGAACAAAGCCACGCCCCTCAGCCGTCATCAAGCCTGCTGGCGTATTGGCTTCATTCGCTTCGAGTACCTCCAGGGCGGACGCTGTTATTGAAGGCGTATGGGATAAAAGTTCAGTGGGAAAGGTCGCGATCTTGAGGTAGTCTTGCCATCTCTTGGGTCTTCCCTGGTCTAGAATATCTCCTGTCGATGAGGGGCTATCTGGTCTTTCGACAGACCCTGTCTCTGTTAAGGATTTGACGTCGTCCTCCACCAAATTTGGTGAGATATTGGCCCTCCCGCCCGAGAGCATTTCAGTACGGCTGCCCCTTTTCATCTGAAGGGCGACCTGGGCAGCTTCCTTCTGCCGCTTTTTTCTTCGCTGGTCATAAATGAAACCAAATCTATCCTTCAAGAACTCTGATCCGGCGTGATTATTATATACGTGGGTCAGGATTGGAGGCTGGCCCTCTGGCGAGAAGATGGTATCCATCTCTACCGGGCCAAAGTTATCGGGGCGCCCACCGGATGGGCTGGGTGGGCTGGCACCAGTGCTGTCCCATCTTTCGTGTGGTGTACTTCGGGGCGCAGCGTTCATGGGGGTGGGTGCCGCCCGCCGCATGGCCATGAGGGCCTTTGGGCCCATCTGAGTAGATACGGCTCGGGTTGACACATTAGTCCGGCCGCTCGCAGCAGATGAGGTTCTCAAAGAGCCAGCGTAGCCCGCAGAATCGGATCTTCCTCTGACGGAATCGCCGTCCCGACCCGTAGCCTTGCCGGCGACTAGTTGGAGTGCCATGCTGGCAAGCGATGCCGACGGCTTCCTCGGTCCAGGAGCGGAGTATATGCTGGAAGCCCGGCTAGAGCTCCTGACGGACTCGGTGTCTGGCGGTGTGAAAAGATCCTCCTGTATGGTTGGTCGGCGCTCGCCGGTCGTGGGACCGCGCAGGGCGGCCTTGGCCCCGTCGCCGTTGACACTGCTCGCCCTACTATTCCTCTTGCTCGTGCCCGTTCCCAATATCCAATCCTTCCAGCCGCGCATGGTGCCCTTGGGCTCGTTCTCTTTCGGCGTGGACACGCCCGTTGCCCTGATCGTAGCGTCGTTGAGCCTACCATATAATGAGCTCCCGTGAGACACGGAATCTTGCATTGCGTCGCTCATCAGATCCGAAAGACCTCCCTTCTTGGACTGGTCCTGTGCTTTCAAGTCGGCCTCAACGACGCGCAGCCGCGTCTCGAGATCCAAGTTGGACAGTCCGCATTCTAATATAATCTTCCGCAGAGCCCGTTCCCTCTCGTCGGCCCTCCTCCGTAGATTTGCGATCTGAGCGTCGCGCTGGGCCAGGTCCTCGGCGACCTGGCGGACCAGATTGACGGCGCCATGGCGATTGATCAGGCGCTGGATGTGGTCGTCATCTGCGACATGAAGGGCGCCCGGGATCTTTCTGGTGGAGAGTGGGGTGTCCTCGAACAGCGAGTTCCTGTTCGTCCGGGGGGTGCTCTCGGACGTCAGGTCGTCGACGATGGAGTTGACGCTCTGCGAGTTGGAGGGCTTCCTCCTGGCGTCGTGGGTCGGGCTGGCGTTCCAGGCGGCCGAGGTGATGTTGTCGAAGAAGGGCGGGTCGGCGCGGGGCGAGTCGGGGGAGAAGGACGGGAATGACGTGAGCGACTTGTCGGACGCGGCAATGGACGAGGCGGAGCTCGAGGGCTGTGAGGTGAGTTTTGCTCTCTGGCGCGACTTTGCGCGCATGGTATGGCCGCGGCCGCTCCTCAGCGAGGTGGTCGAGAGCTGCGAGGTGGAGCGCTCCAGGTGGCCGGTGGTGGCGGACGACGGTTCAGACTCCATGTCGTCGGCGGTTCCAACATAGCCAGCGGTCAGCGCACTGCTCTGTGTTGCTGTCGGCGGTGGTGTTATTGCAGGTTGAGCGCTCGCGGCATGGTGTTTATGGGATGGGAGAGGCCCACGTCAACAAGAAGCCCGAGGCAACGAGGCTACAGCGGAGCGGTGCTGCGACTGTTAGACTGTTAGTCAATGATGGCATTCACATGATTTGTTGATTTATGCAGCCCGGTCCTGGTGTGGAGATGTGCCACGTCGAGATTCGGTAGCCGTGCAGGGTCCAGTCCGTCGGGCTGCTGGGAGGGGGATAGGTAAAACGGGCCCCCCGTCATGATGATCCGTCGGCCAGGGCAGGGGGAGGACCAGCAGCCCAACCAGTCAGTGAATTATTAGCCAACTTACACTTGGGTAACCTAGCTCGTACCGTGTACAGTAACCCAACGCCAACGTCACGCCCCAAAGCCAACGGCCCTGTCCCAGCACCTTAATTGTTTATTTGCCCGAGCTTGAACACCCCATGCCTACGGCCTGTTTGTCCTGTTTGCACTGCACCCACCTGCAAATGCCAGAGTCTTGCTTTGGAATGCAACGGCGGGCGGTGGCGACGACTGTTTGTGCACCCGAGCCCGCCAAGCCTCGGTGACATCAAATTGCCCCAGGGTCCAGATCGGGTACAGACGACGATCTGCGATGCAGCCGCTAACGGCGAGACCGCACCTCCACCGTCCACCTGCATTCATTAAACGTCACCTACAAGAGGCATGGTCAGATCAACTTTAGCTTCACGCCTACCGCTCCCGACATTGTGTCAAGCTCAAGGGTTTTCCCCTGCCCCTGAGACAAGTCACCGGTCAACTGTCACCTGATACAAAGTACAATCGGTCAATTACCGAAAATGAAAAACACTGATGCCTGTCGCTGACGACTAGAATCTACCGCAACGCTGTGATGAACATGATGCCGGAATATCCTGGGCCCCTACGCTGCCTTTCCAGATAGTAGCCGGCCAAAGTGGCCACTACACACATATCTGGCCTGTGCTACGAGTCCTGAGACAGTCCAGTCCAATGAAACCGTTCTTTTTCCCCTGTACCATGACCTTAACCTTTACCTGGGGATGTGCAAATCAAATACCAAACTCCTAGAATTTCTCCTGTGTACTTATACAAATCGCGTGGGCCTGGTGTACCAAGATACACTGTAGCTCTTGTCGTCTAGTGAAAATAGCTTCCACGCTGCTCGGGTGTCAAAAAGGTCGGACCGCGTGTGCTGGGGGTCTCATCGTGCTCTCTCTTGTCTGCTTCCGTCCACGGCACGTCTCGAGGTGGCACACGGTGCGTTATCTCTTCCCACGTGATGCATGTGAATCGTTCTAAGTCAGAAAGTTGGTCAATCGTATATCCAGGACGGATTCGGGCTCCAAGTTCTGTGTATCGTACCTCGTTTGGTTCGCCTGTCTCGCTCGGATCTCGTGCGGCGGTAGCAGTGGACTGCGAGTCTGGTCTTCCGGTTGCGCTGTGAGACGCACCATGAGGCTGTGAACGATGTGTTCCGGCGCCGTTGCCGTTGCCGTCGCTCGCCTGCGTCAATCCGCTCTGCTCTCGGTTCTGGTCCGTTGTAGATCTTGAGTTGAGCGTGATATTGATCGTGATGGCAGTGTCATTACCGTTGTCAGTTACCAGCCGAAGAAGGTTCGTGAGCTCGTTTCTGGTTCTGGAAATAGCCTCCAGGCACACGTCAGAGGGCGGTCCTCCGTTCGTCTGCTGGCCGTTCTGGCGATGGCCGTTTGCACCAGATGTGATGCCGTTAGTGCGGACCGTACTGTCGGAAGACATGGTCAAGTTCTCTGCTTGTGACGGCTTGTTGACGGTATCTCTCGTCTCGTCTGTTTGGATGCCCTGAGAAGCATGAACCGGGGACACGGTCTGTGTACCACGGGGCTTTTGCTGTGGTTCCCACAGTCCGTTACAGGAATCACCTGCTGACCTTCTTCTTGGGGTGTCGTCAATGTCGGAACCAGTATCCATTCCACTGGGTACGTTCGGCGCACTGGAGGATCTGCTATTACCCACGTGTTTGTAGGCCGCGTCGCCAGCTAGGAAGGCCTGGTCTTGTTGTGCAGTCACTGTTGCGTCTGGATCGTTTTGCTGTTCAACAGCAGCAGGAGCAGGCTCGGGTTCGGGAATCGTGCCTTGTAAAACTCGAGACTCTGACGGGAGTGCAGATTGCGCATTAGGTACCGACTTTGCGTGCGGCAATGGTGCGATGCGATTCTCAATTTCAGATGACGCCTGTTCGACGATTTTATGTGCGACACCAGCCTCAGTGGAACCGCTCTGGTGAACCTTCTCAACTTTCTCAACATGGATCGTATTCGGTTGCTGAGCAGATTGTTCCAAACCGTATTCTTGGGTCCCCGCCCCCATACGAGGGTGTCCAGGCAGTGGTCCAGGCAACGGTCCCGGGAACTGCGGATGCGCCTGCCAATGATGAACGCTTTCTGCAGATGCGTTCGCCGGTCCAGGAACTGTGCCATTCATGCCACCATAAATGTCGCGAGGGCTCGAATACAACGCCGGGCCATCGAAACCGGCTTGACCCGAGCTGTACCGAGGCACTCTACTGTGAGGCGCGGTGTACAGAGTATCATACTGGCTATTGAACGCTCCTCCGTGGTCAAATTGGGAACCTTGAGGATAAGAGCCATGGGAAGTGGCATTTTGAGGAGCGTACGGATTGCCGACCATGCTGTTGAAAGCCGATCCGTAGTCACCGCCGATGACTGGGTGAGGACCTCCAGGCACGTTGAAGTTCTGAAATGGACTCTCAACGTAATAGTTGGGCATATCTCTGCGGGGGGGAGCTGTTATGCCTTGCGGTACGGCCTGGTTTCGTGTATCCACATGACCAAACTGACGGTTCGGTCCTTGACGCGTTGTCCTTTTGGGGGGGGCCCAAAGTGGCGGCATGTTGCGTGTATGAAGCAGGGTTATTTCTCGAGTCCCTAGTATAGACTTGGCCTCTATCCGCATTGCCAGTGGTCTCATTCTTGGCCGGTGCCCGTTTTCCTCTGGTGCCATTGTTGTTGACTCTTCCCGTCATGAAGCCAGTTCGCTGATTTGAACCATTCTCGGCCGGCACCTTTCGCCTGCTTGATGTGTTTGGGGTGAATGACATGGGTGCATGGGACTCTGATACCTGTTTGGCCGTCTCAGTTGTCAGCAAAGAAGAGTCAATGATGGAGTTCGTAGGATTGTGAACCCGGCCCAGATCAGTTGAGGTGCCAGGTTTCTCGAATTCCGTGCCAGCGGTCTGCTCCTCGGGGACAGACGTGCATCTTTGTTTCTCCAGCTGCGAGAGGAAGTCAGGGGGCCGGGCATCACCAACCGTTAGCTTCTCCTGCTTTTCCTTGCCTTTATATGCTTGTGCATTGGCCTCGGGTGCTGTTGACATATTCTCAGTCTGATTGCTTGGAACAACGTTCTCGACGGTAGAAGTACTCGGACCATCGGTCTTGATTTGGGCTTTGGATCTCACGGCCTGGCTCTGGCCAACAATGCCAGTCGGCTCCCCATCTGCGATCTTCTGCTGTGCGTTTCCAGTATGGTTGCGGGACGAGGAGGCTTTAGGGTCAAAAGCCACAGCACTATCACGACGGAAATCAAGCTCTTCAGGCTTCTTGATAGCTTTCAGATTCGATCGATTGTTTCTTGAAACTGAATCTCCTTCATTGATGCCTTTGTTGTCATGTCGAGGCAGAGACTTGGGTATTTTGCCATCTTGACGGTCTTTGCTGGCGCCCTGGTTTCGAGGTCTCGAAGACAGTTGAGAGTCAGCACCTAATAGCTCCTTCTGCTGCGCCTTGCCCCCACGAGGGTTTGGTGCCCGTTTGACAGTGTTGGCTCGCGATGACTTCTTCTCCTTTGTCTGTCTTTGTGTACCTACGGCAGGTGTCTGAGAGGGAGACTCGACGATGCCCAGATGCGAAGGACCCGCTCTGGCATCAACCGGGATGTGTTCTTTCATGACAAAAGAGCTGACTGCTTGGGGTGTATTGCTCCAAGGTGCCACAGGAGCGACTGTAGAGGGCGTTGTCTTCTTTTGTTCGGTCGCCATGGAAACTTTCTTCGCCACCTGCTGTCCAGAAGGCTGTTCACCACGGCGTCCTTGGACAGGCTGGGCAGGTTCGGCTTTCTTCTTCAAACCGAGAAGCTCCTTTCCTGCGTTTATCTTTCCCATTACACAAGACGTGGGAGTCTCCTGAGAGCTGTCAATTGAATCAGATTTCACACGAGGAAGCTTTCCACGCTTGACCGTAGTCCAGTCGTCACCATCGAGTGTCACAGGTTCCATTCCTTGGAGGGCTTCCGCATAAGCTGTGGCTGCGAACGACTCTGACTGTGCAGAAGTGGAAGTCGTGGTGGTTAGATTCTCCTGCGGGCCCGACTGCTCGCTGGAGGCAGCTTTTCGGTTGGATACTCTGTTCGACTGATCACCAGAGATGGAATCTGTCTCATTATTCTGCTCGGGTTGGCTTGCGAGAGCACCTGACATCATCGCCGGATCTTTCGTCGACGCCTTCTGCAGTTTGTCAATCTTGTCGTACACTAGAGAATCCAGGGAATCATCAGCCTTGTGCTTGTTTTCCTCCTGGCCGCCTTGTGCAAGGTGCGACTCGTTGACGGGTTTGTCGGCTGGCTTCGACGAAGATTCTTGGCCAACCTTGCCATCGGCGCCTGAGCTCGGCGTCTCTAGAGGTTTGGCGTTGTTGATTGTAGACTTTGAGTCTTTGCCTTTAGCTTTGCCTTTTCCTTTGCCTATGCCCTGCTTCTTCTCTGGCAGCACTTCTGATTGATTTCTGACCCTTGTGGGCTGAGAAGCGGATAGCTGCTGTTCTTGAGCCCTCGCTGCAGCCTCTGCTATCAGGTTTTTCTTCTTAATCTTCTTCTTGATCCTTTTTGCCGCTATAGTGTGCTTGCCTTGGCGCTCTTCCGGCTGGGTCTTGGGTACAGCTGAGTCCGAGGTATCAAAGATGCCGTCAGTTGTCTCCAGGGGTCTCTTTGTGCTATTTTCAACTTTCTTGCCAGAAGAGTGTGGATGAGCTTTTGATTCACCCAGAACCTGGACGTCAACCGTTTTATGTGCAAGGCCAAGTCTCTCCCTTGCCGTCAGGCCTCTGTCAACATTCTCTGGGGTAAGAAGATCCAGTTCAACCTGCGGAGAATTGCGCAACTCGCCGTATTGTCCAAGAGAACCTTTGTGTGCTGGTCGGACTGTGTACGGGTGAGCTTCCAGAACTTTGCGACGCGAATTGAGGTGCCGCCCGTCGATTTGATTCTTCTGTTGCTGGTTGCTCCGAGCCTTGGGGTGGACATCAGGTGCTGCAGCTCGGAAGTCTGCGTTGCCGTTTGATTGCGCCATGTCCATCCCAACTTCTTGTGAGTCTGCGGAGTTGGCAATACCGGATGCCGGTGCAATTGTCTTGGTCTTTGCTTCAGCTTCTTTCAGGGCACCATTCACTACAAAAGATATGTCAGGGTTCTCTGCCTCGGACTGCTGTGCCACTGAGGACTCGGCCGGGTTGGTAATGGCGCTCTGTGGGTGTTGTGACGGTGTGATAGCCGCCCTGGTGCCGCTGTTGACTTGTTCCCCGATGGCACCTACGAGTCCTTGTTGGTCCTGATCCACCGGACAGGTGTCTGCAGATAGCTGTGATGGAGTGAGGGTTAGAAATCGACCAGAGCATGAAACGTGAGAATCGATGAATTGCAGATGGCTCACCTTGGCTTGGCCAGCTGCTCCGGCTTGACGATGCTTGGTATCGATATCGCTTCCAAAGCTTGGCGGAGGCGCTGTTGAATCCCAGGCCTGTCTGTTCCTAAGTGGCTTTGATGCTTTCCTGCGCTGGGACTTGGTCACAGGCTGGAGGGATGCTTGGTGGTGCTCGAGATGCGCTCCTCCCTCCGGCCCAGGATGAGGATGAGGAGTAATAGAATAAGGATGAGGTTCAGGTGAAGAAGAAGGTGGCTGCGGGGTAACCTCTTGAGATTCTGGCGTTGCTCTGTGACCCAGGCTCCTATGCAAACCAGTTGCGGCCTTGTCACTGCAGCTTGTCGGGCGTCGGTCCTGGGTGGGCAACGGGGACTGATGCTTAGACGGATCCAGGGGCCTGGTGGGCCTTTCCTCCACCACCGGGTTGCGACAGTGTTGGCCTTCTTCCTCCGGGCCATCAGCTCGACGGTTCCATTCTAGTATACACAGGTGCTTGGGCTTTGACTCCGTTCCCCAGCTGTCCAACACAGCTTCCCGCCGTACTTGCAGGCTACATCGAGCAGCCTGGGCATGAAGATCCGACGCCGGTGTATCAGTGCTGTGGAAGCGACCGATGATACCTGCCGAAGGCGTTTCGCACAAGAGGGTTTTCAATGGGGCTACGGTCGCCTCGAATACGTCTCGGTTCGAAGTCAACTCCATATTGGTAACGTCGATCAAGTCGAACCTCATTGGGTTCAGCAAATGCGTTGTGTCCTTGTTAAGGTCGATTTGGGTCATTGTGATCGTCGTTGGCTCCATGCTTTGCAGCTTCAACATGAACCGGACTAGGAGAGGACGCAAGTAGTGGAAGAGCTTCCCGTACAAGTCATTGCTGGCTGCGTGAGACTTGACTTGTAGGACGTCGGCTAGTCGCCAGCCGTTTATTGGCTGTCTGGACTCATGCAGACACCTCCCCTTTTGGAAGAACGAGTGGTTTCGTTGATTGAACTCCCTAGTGTCCGTCAACACTGGCAGTACGGCATCGCTTAATCGATACAACATCTTGGAAAAGCGCCAGCGTCCATCGGTTCTCGACAGTTCCCTATTCGCCTGAAAGTTGGCGGCCATGGAAGTGCCAGACACGGACTGCTCTCGTTCCATATCGAATCGGCTGATGGGTTTGCAATCTAAGTATTCAAGTGCTTGCTCATAGATTCTTCCGCGCAATGCTAGTTCAAGTTTGCTTTTGTCGTCCTTGCCCCAAGGTAGGCTGACCATTGACAGCATGTTGGGAGTTTCGTTCACTCTGGTATGCTTTGAGAAACACTGAAGAGCTAATGCAACTCTATCACGGAGCAGTTGCATTGCCCAAGAGGGTAAGCGTGCCGAGTACCACAAATGGATGATGGCTTCTGCTGTGGAGACCATATTATCAGGGCTGATGCAGGCTATAAGTATGATGAGGTTTCGGCAGACAACCCTGGCGTTCCGATCATTCAATACGAATACAAACTTATCGGCGCGGGCTTGTGGGATCTCAACAATAGTCTTGATCAGGGTCCCTAGGTCTCCCGAAGCTCCCAGTAGCACATGGATCTCCTCTTGGTCCCAGAGGAGATCGTTGTTCGGGTCTAGCATGTTATAGGCGGGCAATGAGGCAATCAACCTATGGTCATCGCTCTGTTCCCATAGCTCAGCACCATTGTCATCGATATCCTTCTCCACCTTGGACGGCATGGAAGCTTCTTTCCGGTAAGAGTTGCACAGACCCTGGTGGCTGACCTTGAGATCTGCTTTTCTGCAAGCATCACTGCAGTACTTTCTCGTGGAGGTATTCCGTTAGCTTCGCGGTCACGGTCGCGGTCTTGCTGCAATGTTGGGATGAAACATACCTTCACAAGTCCACATCCCTCGCATTCGATCAGTGGTGCCTTGTCGCATACTCTCCGATGGAGATCATCCATTCTGCCGCAGGCTAGGCGGTTTATCGGCGTGGAGAGCGCCATGGCACATTAGGCCAGGAACGCGTCTGAGGCCAGAAGTGACGTGTCCGACCAGTGGGATGTAGAAGCTCGATGGGATCAGGGCTTGAATGGGAAAATGGAAGCCGTGGTTTTCTCGTATGCTCCTCCGTTGGGTGCCAGAGCGAAATTTATTGATGTGTTCTGAAGGACGGAGAGAATACCGTGGAGAGATGTAACATTCGGATTGACCTTGGCACGCGGATGTGAGGCAAGACGCGTTGCTGGACAGCGGTATTCACACCTTAAGAGCATCCAGTGCCCTCAGGAGACAAGGTCTTGAAATCGCGATGACAATTACTCGGCTTTGGGAAGTAGAATTTCCGCTAAGAACGATAGGCAGCAAATCTCATTGCTCACAGATGCCTAATTTGGCGTATCAAGGAAAGTAGCCGTATAACCGTCACGTCTCTTGTTTTTGTTAGTGGTGTTTTGGTTTGTGGTGATCGGTAATCAGCGGACATCGAGATATCCGATGGCAAGATACAATGTGCAGTCGGCCGTAGTGAATACGCCAGTATCTACACACTGAACCCGGATTTGTTCTTTCAAGGGCAGGCACCTCAGTTTGTTTCTGCACCAACCAGCTCAACGTACTACTCTATTACCATCATTTCACATCTGACACACGAGAATGTTTGTGAACCACATTTTCCACTTATATTGCTCGATCAAGAAGACTGGATACCACTCTGTAGAGCAGTCACGGGGCTAGCAGTTACCACAAAGCAAAGCAGAGCAGTAGATAGATGTGATTTTGTTGATGATATTAATGAATTGGATATGGTAGCTATGGGCCACGGAGGTGAGAAGGTACCCATGAAATGCAAGAAATAACTCGAAGTTTCTCCAATCTAGCGGCTAGCAATCAAAAAGTAGCAACACAAGCAGTGACAAGACTCGAAAAGAATACAAGAATGAATTAAAACGGCTGACAGGTGGTGTGTCTCTGCATGTGTTACCAGACTCTTTTTCATGCATTGCCAACCAGACATACATAGATCATATGCTTCCTGCTTCTCTTCATTGCCTCTGGCCATGCTCACAATCAGAGTATTTTGAGAAACTTCAAATGGATGCAAAAGTGCCAGCACCACGTACTGCGAGTAATACATGCTAACATGCTGAAGAGCACAAATTTCCTGTTGATGTCTATTCTTCAGCCGTCTGAAAGTTGGGATGATTACACCTGGTTTAAGCCTAGACCCAGCACCCTTGAGGACGTAAATCGACCTAGATATCTCCGTACCGTGAACTAATGCCACATAGATATCAACGACTTGCTTGATATGATAAAGGTAATCCACGGAAGTGATTCAGAATCGTCCCCCTCTTCTGGCGAGGCGGCGAAGTGGGCGAGTCTTGGTATGGCCATATGCACGTGTGTTTGCAAGGCAATAACTCAAAAGCTCACAGCAGCCACATACACGCGGTTATGTGAACTGAGGCAGACACGCGTTTAAAAGATCGCTGCCATTATTGCAATATGTATCACCATACTCGATATGTCGAGGCTGCCACAGACTTCCCGGCGACAGTCACGGGCTTTATGTACTAAATCACATGTTTCCTCCGTTGATCCATGTACCATGGCATGCCAAGCAAACGGCATCGGTGTTGGCCTTGTGAGCGTGTTGAATTGTGCCTCAGGCGTCTTTTGTCGTGCCCTCAATGCCGTCAAGCCGGGACTCCACATCCGGCCGTCCGTGAAAGAACCAGCAATGGCCAGTATCTTCGGTAATACCTTTAGGGAAAACCGGGGAACCTGGTTGGGAGCTGGATTTCTGAAACCTAGGTACGGGCTATGGCTGACGTACGTGGTGGTCCAAAAGGGAAGGTCCCGATCGACCACCAAGACATGTGCCTCGAGACTCCTCGCCGCGAGGAAGCGGATCGTCTGCTCCTTCGTCTACTCACTGGCCGCCCAACTTGGCGCTCCAGGTGGAGATGACACCGTCAATCTCCGCCAGCAGCTGCGTCTTCCTCTCCTCGCTGCACCAGCTACCCAGCACCGCACCCGTGACAATGCTCTCCCACTCCTTCACCGTCAGGCCGAACGTGTCTTGCAGGACACAGTAGTTCTCCAGGATGTAGCCGCCGAAGTAGGCGGGGTCGTCGCTGTTTATGCTGAAGCGCACGCCCGAGTCGAGGAGCTTCCTCAGGGGGAACTCGGAGATCGACTTGATGCACTGCAGCTTCAGGTTGGACAATGGGCAGGTGGTGAGCAGGGTCTTCTGCTCTACCAGTCGCTTGATCAGCGCATCGTCCTCAAAGGACCGCAGGCCGTGATCGATTCTCTGAGCGTCGAGAAGGTCTAGTGCCTGGACGACGTAGTCGGCCGGTCCCTCCTCTCCCGCGTGGATGGTTCTCTTGATACCGGCCGCCTTCGCGGCGTCGTACAGCTCAGTCCACATCTTGGGAGGGAAGGGCGCCTCAGATGAATCCATACCCACGGCGAGAAGCGTGCCGTCTGCGAAGAAGCCACCATCCCGGGCGTGTGCAAAGGTCTTCATGGCATCAGGAAGCGGGAGATGCTTGACCAAACACATAATGAGCTCCGTGGTGATGCCGAAGTCCTTCTCCGCCCGCCTCTGGGCCGCTTTGAGACCAGTGACAACCGTCTCGAATGCCACGCCTCGCTCCGTGTGGACCTGCGCATCAAAGAACACCTCAGCGTGCCGTACGTTCTGGGAGGCCGCCTTGCTGAAATATGCGTACGCCAAGGCCTCGAAGTCTGCTGCGTCAATCAAGGCCGACATGGCGATGTAGTAGTACCCCAGGAAGTCATCCAGGTTGGCGAAGGTCAAATACCGGGCCTTCAAGGCCTCAATTGAGGCGAAAGCCGCATCTTTGTCCGCCGGCAGAGTGATGTTGTTCTTGGCTGCCAGCTCGAACAGGAGTTCGGGCTCAAAAGTGCCCTCGATATGAAGGTGGTGCTCGCATTTCGGCAGAGCAGCCAGAAATTCATGGAATTGCGACTTGCACATCTTGGACTTCCACACGCTTCGTGAGACAAGAGCTCAACAGATCTTCGAGTAGCTGAAAATCGACCTTTGCACGTAAAACCGCTAAGCTGGAGCCGTCTCACTTTTAGGTACTACAGGTTCGATACTGTTTCGCTGTACAATCTGCTTCGAAACTGTGACTACGCGTACGGAGCAAAATCAGCAAATAGGTAGATATAGGCACGAAAAGTCGTCGAGTGGATATTATGTGTCATTGAAGGGAGTCTGCTAGCTACGACGCCGTTGTGTTATCACGATCCCGGTGGCTGACGGCCAGATTACGAGCAGTGCGTTTTGTGGTGTTCGGCGCCTACCGGCGAACGCTTGCGAAGCCCCTCCGCCCGGCCAAATGTGAAATTTGGGTGCAACGGTGTCGAGGGGAATCCAGACTTGTCATGTCATGTTCGGCCTTATCCATTACCCACAACGGCCGGGGAAATTTTTTTCTTTTTCAGATGCAAACATTGAAACTCAGCACCCAGTAGGCTGTTCGCCCAACCGGTGATCAGCAATGGAGGCGAATGGAGGCGAAAAGCAACGGGATGTCGTTCCCGATGCGCCGCCGATCATTGAAAATAGGTTCGGCGCCGGACCCGAGACAAAGGGTTCAGGTGTGTAATCGGCGACAAGGAGGTGGGATATAAATAACGCCGATCAGGGTGAGATTGAACCCAGTTGTCATGCCCACAGACTGCCAGAGCAAACGTGGTCAAGCAGGCGATTCAACCTGTTCGAGATGCATCCTCATGCGGCTCTTCCAATAGGGAGTTACGGGCCTGGTGCGCAAGGCGATGAGCCCTCTGCACGTAGCTGGACAGGGCCACGAGGTTTGCTGCAGGGAGCACCCCCCACTGATGAAAGATCCCAGGGGTCGTGGACTCACTTGCGTCGTGTCGACCCTCACACATCCTGCCTGAGGTGAGTCAAACCAACCGGGGAGGCAGGGGGTCTTTTTTTCTGGATGAATGATGGATTCAATTGATGCGACCTGTTGCTATTTCTAGCGTCGCACGACAAAGTTTGGTTCCTCACGAGGGTTTTTATTTTTATGCTTCAAGCAGGCGGTTGAGGGGAAACAGGAATGACAGGAGTGACTTGCTTGACTCGGGCTTCTGTAACACGCATCGTTAGAGAGGCTGGATCTCCCTACCTAGATCAGATCTTCCCGATGGGCACGAACTTCCCGAAAAGCTTAAGACCTAAAATAGACCCGTTGGCATGTTTGATGGGCGGGAAGGATTTGTTCAGCGAACAGACGTTTGCTTAAGTCATAGTGCGTGAGTGTGTGCCGTCCAACCCGTCGTTGACCTGTGGAGTTCGCTACAGCCAGCACGCACGGTGCGCATGTAGATATGTTACTTTTCGTTTCAACCCTCGACGACGTTTGGCAACGATTCCGGTTGGCATGCGAGACAGGCCCTTCTCTTTTTGGCCCAAACCCCTGTCGCATGGTCCCTATTGTCGGATTTTGACTGTCGGATTTGACAGTCGAAGCTGGCCTAGTATAGTCTTTTACAGTTCATGCGAGCAAGGATCGCTTGCATTTTCCACCTCTCGGCGCATCGTAAATAGACAAGCTTCTCTGCAACAGAGGGGCTCTCGGCTACCGCGAGGCAGGCTCTCCATCTGATTGCGCAGGACTACACAGATGCGAATCGGAAGGCTTCGTCTCCGGGTGAAGCGACGCCGTATAGTGCAGCAGTCGTAGAGGGTGATGCAAGGTTGCTTGTCCTACACTGTTTCAAGAAACACAGTTGCATGTACCACGTGCGTGGTCGAGGTTACCACGTCGCTCCCCTACCACCGCCTCAGGTAGCACGAGCAGGGTGGATGGTCATACCACAGCACGAGTCGCACGCACATAGTCAAGGCCGAGCACGTCGTCAATTGGCATGTATAGCTGGCAGGGAGCTCAGCTTACGTTGCGCAGCCTGACGCCATGCGGCGATGCGGCTTGAGTTACAACTGCCGGGTAATCTCTCCGTGGAAGGCGTCGCAGCTAGCGACCCTACCGTGGCATGCAACGGCCAACGTTCCCCGGAGGGCAATAACGTGAAAGAACCCATGCACATGCAGCGGTGCAAGTAGTCAACGGGTGGGTAGCAATTGACGTACAGTAGGGTGAGGAGGCTCGAGAGTTACCTAGCTTGACAGGCCTGACACCGGCCGTGACAACGCCGCGGGTCGCACTCGGCATTAAGCTTGATGCAGTGGCTTCTGTGTCACCACGGCGACTACTGCGGCATTCGTCACATGGTCCCTTTGGAAAGTGCAACAGTTCTCTTACCGAGTATAAACGGCAAACATGCCATCGGCGACGGGAGAATACCTCACCTACTAAGGCGGGGTTGACATCGCTCGTTGTCTTGGCGAGTAACATCGCGCCATTGCAGACGGGACGTCCGTATCCAAGAGATTCCTGTGCGCAGAGACCGTTGCTTTGATATGTCGTGTGGCACATGTTCCGAGCCGTTCCCGAGGCATTGCGATGGCGACTGAAGCTTCTGGAGTGCCTACTTGCTGCGAATATAGTTACCAGGATGGAGAGGGTATGCACTATGCAGTCAGCCTGGTATCTGTTGAGAGTATACACGGGTCAAGCCTCATGATAGTCCTTGACGTTATCTAGGTCAGGCCATTCTATGTTTGGCGGGATGCAACCCTCTTCCCTCACATTGGAGCGGCATTGGAACTTGATTGCCTATTGTGGTAATTCGATCTTGGAAGCTCGCCTGTCTTAGTCTGAGCGTCGAGTCTGGAAAGTAATAACTCGTATGCGGGGCCGATTTGGTTTCCCCGTAGATTCGGCAATCGGGCAGGATCCAGGTGTTGTAACCGCTCGGCTCCACAGCTCCATTGGGAATTTCCGCCCCGTGTGCTGCGATGCGACTCCTAGAGTTGGCGCTATGATGTATATGACGGGGATAGGAATATTCGATTCTGAAGTTTCCCGGTTCATCGTTGGCATAAAACCTCGTTTATATGTTCAAGAAGCAAGGTCATTCATCGGCGGCTTTGTACCACCGCTCAATCCCTTGCAGATTACCGTACGTTACTTTTTCCTGGGCTCTGCGGTCAATCTCCAGTTCCAACCGCTTGGCAGGTTGACACGGCTGCGTCAGCAATATTGTGGCCTCTTTCCTAGATGCCCTGGCGGAATCGCGTAGCGTGGGGGACTTGGGCACTACTTGTTTGCTCATCTCACTACTGAGGTATCGCTCTGAGTTAGCTTTGATAGCAATCAACGAACACTTAACGGCGTTATCAAAGATAAACAAAGAAAAATTAATCTTAAAGCTGGATCGTCGGTCAGCTGCCTTGGGAACTCGGAGCGCTGCACTGCAGGCCACTGGTCGCAGCCGAAAAGGGCAAAGAACGGCTCGCTGCTGCATATTGGAATGAAGTTTTGCCAGCCACTTGGCGTACTGATAGGGGTCTCAAGAGACTGCCTCGTCATGTTTTTGGCAGGTTTGGGGTGCGCCGTCGTTGAATGCGCCTGTGGCTTTCATCTGGAGGCTCCCGACGCAGCTCACCCCAGTCCTAGCGATAGCTGGAAGCTAGGCAACCCCTGATCGAGGAAGCAACCGGCCGAGCGCATAGAACGTGCAGAGAGCCGTCGATACAACCTCGATTTCGTGCAAGGTTCCTTCCCAGCGTCCTTGAATACTGGCCAGCGGCATTAGCCATGGCTTCGAGAAGAGTGGTATTCTAATCCTTGATCAGATGCTCAGGTGCGTTACCGCCCGCCGCATGTTGATCTCGACTAGTCTCGTAGGACCATAATGCGTAGGTATGCGTCAGGCGGCGAGTCGAATACAGTGTTCACAGGCGGAAGATTCCGATTGAGAACATTGATTGCTTTGTGGGTCTTAACTATATTGATTTTGCACGTGTAAATCAAGGCAACACGGCATCGAATAATATGTCTGAATCCGTAATCGCCTAGTTGGTGCCAGGTATCAAATCTCAGGGCATCTTGTTCAAGAGGAGGTGTTCTTGGATGCGCACTGTCTACCATGGATGTAAGCTGATATGTAGGTCATCGTCGTTCACTACTTTCGGGGGGGTGACTTCACCATGCCTTGCTGGTGTGTCTACACAGTTTGTCAAAGTTTGGCATATATGGTTCGTGCATTGCATTGCATTCCATTGCATATACGCATTGCAAAAAAGATCTGGAGCAAACCAGTCGTTCCTCCTTACGTGCGCCAGTACTTGCTATCCTCAGTATCGCCTGGTTGGTTGAGACTTACCGCCAGATCACCTTGACCGGAACAAGCCGAGAATGTTAATTAACGCGCCAGCCGTCCCAGAAAACCCACGAAGTGTCTGAGGCGGAGGGGAATATATTATTAGTTCGAGATAGCGCCATCACCCGGCGACGTTGGCGTCCGGGTTGGAATTAGGCTTGCGTTTGGCCCGGAGCCGCGCAGGATGAGAAACCATGACGCTGTAGGCGCTGCAGACCCAGTTTAATAGACGAGCCCTGTGAGACTTCAAGCTTTGCAGATGGCGGCGCGGGATGATATCCCATTGCGTGCACACGCATGACTGGACCCTCTTGCAGATCGCCTTACGCCTCGTGGGAAAGAGTCAAGACTGTGGGCTGTCAAGTATGGGGAAGGCAACTCACACCTGACCATTGAAGGATGCGTGCATGTCTGAACTTATATTGCTACGAGGCGCTGTGAGACAATCGAGCCAGGCTGGTGGTCTGGTCTGCAATCGCCAAAAGTCTGTCGCACCACACGAATACGTACGTAGGGGGCCATTTGCCACTCACGGGGAGAATTGTTCTGGAAAACTTCGCCGAGCTAGAAGGGACGGCAAATGACATGGTCTTAGCATCGGGAGCCTCCCGACGCCATGAAACCCAACCATGTCCCCGGGTACCGCTGATCACCTGGATGGAATTCTGGTGAATGACTCTGCCAGCAGCGGATCAACAACAGTCGAGTCGCGGCAACAGCCCGACTCGCCAG